GCTCTGGTTCAGATATAGAGATCAACTTCAAGAAGTTGTCAGGGGAACCTCCCCTTCGGCCCGGAGACGCGCCCCGATTCCGGTCCGACTCCGGTTCTGACTCCGGTCCGGCCTCCTCCATCTCGCCCGCACAATCACCGATCCGTCAACGCCCTCCCGACGGTCGCCCTGGGACCTCGCCTGCGACGCCACCCAAGCCTTCTGTGCCCGACAGCGGCAGCTACGGACAAGCAGTATATAGTCAGCTACCTAGCAGGCGGACCCTTAGAGTTTCTTCTCTTTGGATCCTCCCCTGCTAGGTCAGCTTCATTTGTATTCGCTTACCAATGTTCACGCTTTGGATCCTCCCCTGCTAGGACCTTGATCTCAGGCCTCCGGGGTTGCCCTTACAGAAGTTCTCAAAAATGGAGCGTGCTCTTGAGTCTTTATCTTCATGACGCAGAGTTTGTCTGGGCCGAATTTAATAACAAAGAGGAGCTCTTCACAGAGTTCAATATCATTGAGCTCACAGTCGGCGAGGTCATTGATATGCAAGGCCAGATCGAAGTGCTGGATGCTGTACTACCACATCCCAATGACTTGAGGGATGTCTTTCATTGCCTTCTGGATTACGCCCATCTCCTGTTGAAGTATCGGGTAGCGAACCCGAGTATCGCCGGCCGAATGACATCAGCGCCGGACCGAGGCTCCGCATCGGGAATGTTCTCTAACATTCCATACTGTAGAATATACCAGAACAAGTAGAGTAGTATAAATACTCTGTATTCCTCTGTAATAAGCATTGGTTTTCCCCTTCTTCCTTCAACATCTCCCTGTCTATTTCCACCGAGTGCTGGCCTCCTCTCATCATTTACTCATAGCAGCAGTAGATGTGGTACTCTGTGCTCAGTCCAACCTGGAAACATCACAACTAGGTCTCCATTTTGAGCCACTAGAGCCCCAGAGGACCGCATAAATCAAGGACCATCGGGATAAGCTGCTAGATTGGTTTGAAGGTCTGTCTTGCCTGTCCCAGTGTGAATCTCTGCTTAAATAATTTAGATCGTAAACCAGTGCCACAATAGCAACAAAAGGTCAGCAGAAGGATAGATTGAAGATGGTGGGTAAGAAGTGTTCTTACTGCAAGAGCGGTTCTTGTCTGCCTTGTGAGATTATCGAGGCAACATCTCTTCTCAAGATGTCATATCATTTTGCATGGGCAGTATGGTTCCAGCACTGTAGCCTGTCATCTGCTGGGTTGATTAGAGGAGTAGTTGTAGATACTTACTGAATACACTCATTTATCTGCTCATTTGTCTCTTTTTTAAAGTGTGTGATTAGTAATGTAGATCATCACATGATGATATGAGCTTGGATGAGCACCACTGATCTTCCGGGAACTGCTTGCATGACTTTCCTGATGGGAACGCCATAAGCCTGTATGCGGGGCTGTGGTGTGACGGAGAACCTCCAGCATATACTTCTTGAATGCGCGGCAGTCGGCCAGGCAGAAGTCTGGCAAGCCACTAAGGAAGTGTGGCTCTGCGCCGGGGATGATTGGCCAATAATGTCCCTCGGGGCAATCCTGGGATACGGGCTGGCAAAGCTACGGGGGCCAGATGGCCACCCGTCCAGGGCGAAACAGAGACTATTCCAGATCATAGTGTCCGAAGCGGCCTTCCTCATCTGGAAACTTAGGAACGAACGAGTGATCCCCCATGATGGTGAGGAACACTCCCCGAGAGAAGTGGTCAATAGATGGTATCGATGTATAAACGATAGACTGGAGATAGACCGGGTGCTAGCACTGAGACCCCGGGGAGGAAGCCTCCCTAGAATGGACCTCATACTGGTGCAGAAGACATGGCATGACGCCCTCAGAGATGCTCAACTCCCAGAGGAATGGCTGAAATTACCCAGGGTTTTAGTGGGTCCCGCAGGAACACTCCACCCCCCTAGCAGATCCCCACACTGCCGTGAATACGGCGTGTAACCGTACATTTCCCTGGGTGGTAGCCTCTTCCCCCCTTTTTTTCTTTTCTCCCCCCCTCAATATTGGGTGCTTTCCTGGATTGCACCCTGCACCTTACACGAATCCTGCGGAATAACCTTGTTAACTGCGCATTTTTTGATATGTACTACAAAAAAAAAAAAAAAAAAAAAAATAACAAGATACCATAGTGTTTTTTTCTCTGAGGATGAAGAGCAGTGTCAGGGGAAGCCCCCTTTTGGCCCCTCGGAGATGCGTCCGATTCCAGTCCGACTCCGGTTCCAATTCCAGTCCGGCCCTCCATCTCGCCTGCACAATCACCAATCCGTCAATGCCCTCCCGACGGTCACCCTGGGTCCTTGCCTGCGACGCCGCTGATAGGCAGGCAAAGAGACCACGCCTAAAATCGTCCTAAACACTGGAATAATTTTATTTTCAATGTTTGCACACTCAGAACACAAAAACATGCATAAACATGCAAAACAATCAATTATGAGCAGTTGTACAAGTTCTGGACTCATCTAGACCCTAGAGCGCAGATAAGGTTCAGTGGGAGAGTCATTTGGAGTCATAAGAAGCGCCAGGCAGTGCAGGCTTCTAGCCGGGAAGCACCCAGAAGGCTGTGGAAGAGTATGACTCATGAATGACTCCAACGGACAAATAAGGAAATATGACTCATGGGAAGCGCCAGGAAGGTTCTAGAGCCACAGCCTCTATGACTCGAAGTTCTAGAGCATCCTAATAAGGTATAGAACGTCACATAAAGTCACAGGAAGTCGGATTATTAGCATTTTGGGCTATTTGGTTCCACTGGGTATATAAGGCTGCATGTATTTTGTGATAGGCAATCAATTAATCCCCAGAAGGCTGGTAGTTTGTGACACCTCAGCCGTCACATCTATTCAGTTTTGCTGTGGAAATCAACACTCTAAATTGCAGGATTAAGTTGCAGGTGCAGGTGCAGGATAAACAGGTGCAGGTGCAGGTAAATTGCAGGTTACTAATATTGCAGGTGCAGGGGAGTCGAGCCATATTGCTCCTCCATCAATACAATCACATAACTCTTTGTTTTTATTCATTCTAATTGAAAGCAAACTCAAAATAATTAACAACAATTCTTTGAAGTAAACTTTAAATTCGCTAGTTGTTTCCTGCAACTCGAAACCCCGAACTCACACACACACAATAGTTAGGATTTGATTTGGTTAGAGTTTGATTGATCATTAATCTGCTCTACTGCTCATTTTTTAAGTGTATTACCGCCCAAGCCTTCTGTGCCCGACAGCGGCAGCTACGGACAAGCAGTATATAGTCAGCTACCTAGCAGGCGGACCCTCAGAGTTTCTTCTCTTTGGATCCTCCCCTGCTAGGTCAGCTTCATTTGTATTCGCTTACCAATGTTCACTCTTTGGATCCTCCCCTGCTAGGACCTTGATCTCAGGCCTCCGGGGTTGCCCTTACAAGCAGATATGACGTAGTAAATGTATCATGGAGGACGCAGTGAACATGGCCACCATCACATGACCAAATAAATTCATTGATATCTCTCCAGCAATAATGTCATAGAGCATACAATACTAGCACTGATTTACAGCAGACTTAGTAGAGAGACAGGGCTTGGTCATGAGCAGACAATCATTCACTCAACTATGGTCACGCTCGTGACTCGGATTAATTAATCCAAAGCATTACAGGCGATTAGGTAAGCCGAACCAGACTCACAATCCCTATCCTGTATTTACCCCCACGCCCCAGGCATCACGGTTGTCTGCGCTCTAGCACTCGCCGCTCGCTTACTGTATGGTCTCTCTCGGCCCCCTGTCTCCTACACGTGTCGAGGAATTGTCCAGAAATATGCAGAAATGAGTTGCCAACAAGTTTTTGATGGTGCGTGATGAGATGTGTGACATACACATGTTTATGATGTGATCAATTTACACAAGCCTCCTGTCATGCCATCACAGTCTACACCAAGCTCAGCTACTTAAACTACTTATCCTCACACCATACAAATATTCCACGCTGTGATGATCATCATGACTTGGGCCGGGCAATGTAAAGGTCAACTTCAGCCTTCTGTCAGGGCTGGACGCAGATGTTGTCCTGGATGATTTACTGCTGAGAGTTATTGATATGGCAAAGACTGAGTTTGAATAGCCTGCTACAGAGCTAGTACTTCTGGCCGAAGGGCTTGCTAGTGTATTTGAATATAATCAATTATGGCCAGGGTATAATATATTATATTCATAATATATTCATATTCATAATCACTCATATTCAATGGGTCTGAATATGCAGAGGGCATAATATAATCATATTTATTCAAATATATTCAAAATATATTCTAGCATAATATAATTGTGGACAGCACTAGGCTAAACACGACCTCGAGTCCTTCTTTTGGGTGCTGCTCTGGTGTGTGCTTTGTTACACCCCACATACATAGAGACCCCTCCGGAGCCCTCGCGTGCGATAATAACATCTTCGGCGGTTATGCGACGGGGAAATCGCTCATATTCTACCGCGACTTCCCTAGCCACATCCCCGAGGGCACCCGGTCTGCGCTTTACGACCTCCGAGTCGGCGACTGGATGAAGCAGATGGTCAGCGTGCAGAATCCTCCATCTGCCCCGGGGCTAAAGCAAGACACACCGGCATATCATGCTGTATTTGGGGACTTCACCTTTCGGCTATTCACCGAAAGACATGAACTATAGTGACCTCCAGAAATTATGCGCTATTGCACTCGCTCAAACGGATGATTGGCCGGAGAATGATGCTGCAATTCCGTTCGTAGAATTTGAGGCACGCCTACGTGCCAGAGATCATAAACCCAAGACTAGATCCAGAGCCACAGAGGAAGAAGCGAAAGACAAGTAATAGTGGTTCAGCACCGTAGCAAGTGGAAATGATGGCTGGTTGTAATAATACTTTTGTTGAGACGCAAGCCGGACCTGGGTTTGCCACCGCAAATAATGAGTACAGAAATGATACAGAAATATAAGATATACTAGTACAACAGAGAAGTCACTCAAAACCCTTCAGGCTGACCGCTCGCTGTCACGGTCACCCCGCACTGCTGCATGAATGCCAACCAGGCCGCGTCCATGCCAGATTCGGTCGTCAACCCCAGCTCAACCATCGCCCCGGCGCCACTGGCCCCTCCAACAGAGGGGACAGCGCCGCCCAGAGTGAGCTGCGGCTGGGGCTGCGAGGCGAAAGTGGGAGAAGAAGCCAGGAAGCCCAGGTCCGAGTCGTTTTGGGCATAGAGCATTTCGAAGAGATCCTGTAGTCCATTGTCAACAATTGGGGCATTGAAACCATGCCGACTTACCGAGGACATTTCATGCTGTGGTTCAGCCATGTTTATGGCAGGATTGAAAGTCAGCAAATCGTCAAGCCACGGATATTGCTCTCCCGTGGCATCAAAGCCCGCGGACGCGGCACCCATCATACTTGAAGACTGCATTGTCGCGGCGGCGGCGGCGGCTTGACCTTCCGGGGTCACGGACTTGCCGCGCCGATGCTTCTGCTTCAGCGACAAGATCCGCTTCTGACCACCAAAGATTTCCAGCTCGTCCGTGACCGCGTCTTCGGTCGAGGCAGGGGACAATGCCCCTGGCTCGGAATGGGACGGCGACAGGGTACTCGTCGGAGCAAGGTCGGGCGAAGAAAGCGCGTAGGCGCGAACAGCACGATCTCTGAGTTTTGAAAGCACAGCCTAGAATATTGTTACGAGGAATCAAAGAATAAACATTCGACATTACGCTAGCGAGTTTGGCGCGATGCGATTGTGCTGCGGTGCGCTCAAAGAGATCGACAGCAAGAGCTAGGTCGTTCAATGCACTAGCTGCTAAACTTGACCGAGGAGACAGGGTGACCACTGTGCCCACAATCACCTACATGCACAATTAGACCACGTGACATTGAATAAGCACACCTCTTACTGCAGCTGAAAAAGTGTGATGCAACAGAAACCACACTCTCATCGCCATTTCGGCACTGCGGTCGAATTGATACGCCGTGGCTTTGATGAGCACACTAGCAGAGCGATATGCAGTCAGGAATGATGTTGCGAACGGACTGCGAAGAGGATTCGTTGGGAAATCGAGCAATGCTTGGGCGTAGAAGCTTCGATGGATGTATAACATCGCTGGAATAATCGGTATGGGAAATTTATAGAGTAGGAACACTTACTGACTGTGCGATATTGACTGGCGTAGAACCCACGGAGACTTGCAGCCGGCGAATGATACTCTCGTTCACCGTCTGCACGACTAGGATAGCTAAGTTTTATCAGTTGAAGATTTGGGAACAACAAGGCCAAACGGACGGCTTGGAAGAGTCGGGCACGCTCAACTGGCGTACTTGTTTGTCAAGTTCCAAGACCGTCTCATAACCAGGCGTTTTTGCAGCCAACGTAGCCTCCGCAAGTCCCACCCAGATGTCACGTGAGAAGACATATTTCGAGCGCCAAACTGCGTTGATTTGAGTTGCACATCTGATTATTCAAAGATCAAGCGCGTACACCCTGGTCTGATCTCACCCAGATCAGTCAGCGTGCTTTCTTCGTCGATTGGATACTCGCAATCCACATATGACAGAGAAATAGCAGGTGGGCGACCAAGGGCTAAACTCTGAGGATAAAGTTACCCATACTGTCGTTGGAAGGAGAAAAGAAGTCCACACATGGGAAACATCCGAGCAAAATACGTCCCAGAAGAGAGATCTTAAAAGGACAGGCATAAGATTGGTGAAGAGTGAAGAACAGGTGCCGACCTCCTCCTTTGTACAGTTTGCGCATCCATATGCCATCGAGCACAGTCACGGTCTTAATTTCGGTAAGTTATTGGTGTTGAATCAGCATCCAGAAGTCTTACGCAGACCAATCTACGATTTTGTTAGCAAAAACCATCGATCTTGATGTTGCTTACGCTCTGTGCCAGCTTAGCAGCAATGCTCATCAAACACCACGCACTATTCCGCGAATATTTCTTCCCTCCCAGACTGTGAAATGTTGCCATCAAACCAATCGCTCGCACGGTATCGACACTGGGAGAGTCGTACACGGCTCTCAGACCGAGCGCAGCCTGGCCAGCACCATAAAACCTTTCAGCGTCAGTGTTGTACGGCGGTAATCGTAGATCCAACAGAGCGCTGAGAGCGAAAATGAAGAAGATCGTCGAGAGTGTGTGAGGGTCGGTGTCTGGAGATTCGTAGACAGACTGTAAGAAAGAGCCTAAGAGCTCTTCTTGTTTGATGGGGCGGAAAAAGAGAGCGCCGTGGTGGAGCCAAGATTCAGCCAACTCAGCTGCCTGTTGCTTTGGTGGGAGAAGACTTCGTAAACGGGAAAGTTTGGATGGGTTTGGACGTCCACCAGTTGGAAACACATCTCCCATTTCGGTGATGTCGTCGCTAAGCAGCTGCTCTTCCTCCTCTTCGTATTCAACGTCTTCAGCCTACCTAAGGTTGAGGAAGCTAAATTTACCACGTGAAATGATCACGTACTATGAGCAGGGCCTCTGTTCCCGCGGACCGGCCAAAATACTTGACTTCTCCGTCGTCTCCCAAGGTCAAAGTGCCTAAAGCGTCGATATCAGGTTCCGGTTTGATGGGAGGGTCTTCAACGCGTTTATGTGCTTCAGCTCCAAATTTTATGCTCAGAAGATCCTATAACAGCCTGGTCAGTAGCGCTTACGCGTCCAAAGGGAGGAGAATAACCTGTGCCAACAGCGGATGGCGTTCACTTGATACCGCACCTTGCAAGATCGCCAACGCTTCTTCAAGTTGTCGTATCCGTTGACTCATGGCCGCAATTTGAGCATGTAATTGGTCGGTATCGGCGAGAATGAAGCGAGTCCCTTGGCCAGCAGATAGAATTCCTTATGTTACCGATTAACAACAGTCCCATAGCTGTGGAAAGAACATACCACAAGGACATATACTCTCGCATCCCCTTCGCACACAAGAGCCACAGGGCACTATTTTGTCGCACTTGAGCTTCAGCCTCCTGCATTCCGCACATGACAATTCTCCCCGCAACCGCTTCAAATCAATGTCTTTCTGTTCTTCCTCAGTGGGTGGTCGTCGTGGGGGGCGTTTGGGAGCCGGTTTGCCGGTCGTATCCACCGGCATGTTAGAAAGCTTTGCTAGATACGAAGATGGCTATTCGCATGCGGGGTAGAAGATGCAGTCATATTACGGAGCTTCACTTCAGTCACGTCGTGGGTGATTGGCTAAGCGATGTCACGTCACGCAAGATCGCTACGCCGGTCGCCGCAAATGGCAATTCTATAGCTATTTTTAGTGGTCATCTTCAATCGTGTTTTATAAACTTGGAGATTGACTTGAAGTACTATGTTTATCTCAGAGCCCGAGAATAAGATCTCAAGCAAACAACATTATAGATTTTGCACCAACCATCCTTCGTCCTATTGTATGGAAACCTTCCAGTGGGTAGCAACTAGCAGTACTAGTTGAGAATAAGTTGGGGGGAAAGTAGTGTTGTATGAAGTCATTACGGGTCGTAAACGAGGAAAGATCAGGGAATAGATAACGAATACCAGCGCGGCTTGTGAGGAACGGAGATCGAAAAACATAACAGATGGGTGAGGGACAAGCGACGTATGTACGGGACAGATATTCGACGGACGAGATAACGAGAGTGATTGGGAGTGGGAGAAACCGATTGGTGGTGTAGGGAAGCAAAGATGAGTAGTGTAGATACGTGTCAAGTCGAGATCATCTTGCAGGAGTCGTTACTTTTCGGAGGCAATTACTTGGCCGGTAATACGATCGACTGTGCTTTATCCTTGAGCACAGTTGGATAGCTGTTCATAAGATGCGCGAGGGCACGTAAGTCCTCCTGATCAAGGAGGGCAATCGTCACTTTGGGAGCCGACTTGATCCCAAATGATTTGACAGTTTTGAATCTACAACGTACATCAATTAGAGAAAAAACAACGGAAAGAATGATCTTACAGTTTATCACCCAGCTGCTGCTTTTGCACGGCAGGTGGTTTATCGAGCAACCCATCTATGAAATCATCCGTGGCCTGGACGACAAGGGGGTCAGCCTTGGGTATCGGCAGGCTTGATCCAGCAGTAGATGTAGCCAAACGGACAATCTCGGCTGCAGGCAAACGAGACAAGGATGTAATGGTGTGACCCGTTGAGCCTACACTGGGGGTAGTAGGTGCAGGAGATGCGGTTGCGCTGGGACCACGTGATGAAAGATCGGGGGTCTGTGGTGAAGCCACTGAACCAGTCGAGGTCTTTTTTGCTTGAGGAGTGACTGGTACTGGCTGCACAGTCTCTTTACGGGGGGATTCATCTCCTTCACCATCGTCACTTTCGAGGACTAATTTTGCGTCTGCGAGCTTTGCACGGAGGACCTCGGCATTGAACAGACACATTGCCCGCTCCCTCTTGGGCAAGCTCATCAAAAGTTCTGTTAGTTCGTTTTGCTTCGTGCTTTCGAGTTTTCCAATAGCCGCAAATATCCTGTCGCGCTCGGATGTAGGCGGTACGGAACCAGAAGGCGATGAAGTTCTTGGAGGGGTGGACAAAGAAGCATTGACCGAAATGGGCGTAGACGGATGCTCTGGCGCACTGGCTGTTGCAGCAAGGGAATTTGGATCAAGCAGGCGTGAGTCTTGTGATGCTGACGGTGAAGGTGACTTGCTGGCTGGACGAGACGAAGATTTCGCGTGTATCGAATTGCGAATGAGACTGATTTGGTCTGCCAGTCGATTCGGATCCTCGATGCATTGAACAACATCAGCAAGTGATATGCTGATGAGCGCTTCGACAACTGCATCCACTTCATTCGTAGGCACAACAGCAGGTCCGAGACCGCGAACACGACGGCTCATTTCACCAGTAAGGACTTCGTGCCTCACAACAGGTGAAAGCGCATAAAGATCATCGTAGCGCATTGGGAGATTGAGAGTACCAGCCAAAGCTGCCTGATGACCCACGAAATTAGCTATATTAGACTTGCGTAATGCAAAACGCACATTGTAATAGCTGCCTGAGCCTCTCCTTCCACGTTCAGGGCGATCATAATGACTCTGGACAGGTGAGCCCAGACTCGCATTAAGATGACGCGGGCTCCATCCTGCAATACTTTCACCACCTTCACTCGCTGTCGGACTGGTTGCTCCACTCGAGTGTCTTGGATGACCATTCCCAGTAGAGAAACGTTGAGCCAGCTTCTCTTGACGGAGTTGCTTGGGCTCGTGAAGCCGTACCACAATCTGTTTGCTGCCCAACAGTACGCCGTTCATCGCATGCATCGCGGCCGCAGCTGAATAATGACATGTCAAAAGGAAGCTTCATTGACAACCGATAGGCGCACCTTGGTCTGGAGATTGGAAGGAGACGAAACCAAAGCCACGGCTCTCGCCATTCTCATTTCGCATGACACGTGCGCTACAGTAGGTCAGAAGTCGGTCGTGTAGTCAAAAACGCACTTGCCTCACGATTTGCCCATATTGACGGAAAACAGTAAAAAGTTCATTAGAATCGATTTCAGGATCGAGATTCTGTTGAATGACACCGGATTAGCTTTTAAATTGAGAAAAATAGAGGAGAATATCAGACCTTGCAAAAGAGATTGCAAGGGTCTATCAGGCCGCTATGGCTAGCGGAGCCGGGTCCAGAGACTGGGGCAAGTTGAACTTGCTGGCCAGGGCCGTGCACAAAGCTATGAACAGGACTGCGGTATGGACTTCCACGCGGAGGCGAATACTATTTGTACGGTGAATGGAAAAACAAAAGGTTTTGTGACGAAAACTCACCTGCGCGGGTGGCTGGAAGCTATACATTGAACCTGATGGCACGAAGGAGGGTGCATTAGGGCTGAACTCGGCCGCCCCGCCAACACTGGTTCTTCGCTGCTGGTAGACCTGGACCGCAATGTTTTGGCCCTGGATCTCGGCACAATGCATAGCCTCTTCCGCATGTTGCGCGTCTGTTTCGTCCCAGAACTCGACCATGCCAGTATCAGCGCCAAAGTGGGTAGGAGCTCTAGTTGACGCAAGTGCGCCAAAAGGACGGAACAAATCGTAAAGTAAAGAATCGTTATACCCCGCAGGGAGGTGTTTGACCAGTCGTGGGAGGGCAGAAGGTGGTGGCAGGGGTGTTGGAGGGTTTGCGGGGGGGGTAAGGTGACAAAACTAAGGGTACTGGAGGGATGAGACCAGGGAGAGGACGCGATTGAAGGGTGGCAAGTGCCTTCTCGGCTGAAAAGAGTGAACAACACGATACACAAACAAGGCAAGACACACCCTTCTCTGGAAATCTAAACTCGATTGTCCCACTAAGCGGATTGTTGCTCCCATCTCTAGTGATCTTTGGACGAAATGGACCACAAGTAACAAAGGCCATGGCGATATTCTCGTCCGTCACGTAGGGTGGTAGATTCGAGATGTAGAGAAGTGGCTCGTGTAGAATGGGGTGGTCGTGTGGGCCATCTTGTTCCTGCACCTGGTAGTCGGCTTCCATCGGAAATGGTAGGCCAGGACACTAAAATCGATCGTTAGGGACAAGGGACAAACCCAAAACGGGGGGGGGCAAACCTGGCGATGGAGGCAGGAGCAAAAATGCTGAAATTCGCACGATCATTTCTTTTCTCCAGCTGTCGATATTCGACAACTGTGAGGTTCATTTTGCCCATGTGGCTACCGCTGCAATGGAAACAAGCCTCGTCGAATCCCCCAACTCTACTGCTTCCCCTTCCAACACCATCTTCAATAACGCCGAGCAAATCCTTGATCTAATTGCAGAAGAGGTGTCGCATGCCCTCCAAACCGTCGAAGTACAGGCAGTCGGGGACCTCGCTCAACTCAAGGCTTTACTCGCACGCAGCGGCTATGCCGTTTCTGTTGGGGAAGACAACATGCTCGTACTATCTTTTAGTGGTGAAGCAGCAGACGCTATAGCTCTTTTCAACGAAACTGGACAACGGACCATACAAGGCTTCCAACCGCTTACCCCAACTAATATGCCTCACACATTTGCTACATACCAGCAATTAGTCGTTGAAACATTGCGTCTTGTCGCCGATCCTACCAATGCTCCGCAACGGGTTGTTGAGTTGACGCAAACCGTCCAGAACTTGCGAACTAGGAATCCGGACCTCATTCTTGCCAAGTCCGATGTTGAAACCTGGAGGGCGCGTTATATGGCCCTGGAGACAACGCTTGAGAATGTCCAGCAAGCGCATGAGATGGAGGCGCAGGAATGGCGGGAGAAGATAGCCAACAATCCAGATGCTCAAGAACTCGCAGCTTGGGTCGCTGCTGCCGCGCCAGTAAATGTCACCAATCCAACCATGCTGTCCACCGCAATATCCATGGCCATGACGGAAATCAACTCTTCACAAGCTAAATGCGCATCTCTCGAGTCACAACTCTCTGCCGCGAATCACAGCATCGGGGAACTTGAGGAACAATCTGCCTCCTGGGTCACCGAACGTTTGCGTCTCACAACTCAGAACGACCGCAACACCATAATCTTGACGAACGAACTGCCCGGCCTGAAAGCCAAGCTCCAGAAAACGGAGGGCGAGCGCATTTCCCTTTCAAATCAACTCCAGACCCAAACAGACATGTTACATCAGCTGAAGAGCGAAAGGGATACTTTTTCCTCGAGCACACAAAAGGAAATCGGTACATTGAGATCCAGGCTGACGGAGCTGCAAGAAAATGTAAATACTGTGACGGCAGAGCGAGATGGCCTGAAGCGCTCTGCTCAAGATCACCAACAAGTGGTCAGTTATCATGAATTTTCTTGTCCTGCTTCTCACCACAGTAGGCCGAAAAACGTCAGGCGGAATTGGAGAAGCAACTGAAAGACACGCTTCATGGTGCGTTTGTTGATATTTCTTACATCTGATTATTCATTCTGCCCAGAGAAAGACAGTCTTCTCAAACACCAGAAATCAGAATACGAGAGCCTCCAAACGCAACGGGACTCACTCGCGAATTCCCATTCAACCTTGCGAACTCAACTCGAAACGACAAAAAGTGAGGCGGCGATCGAGCGCGACCTCCTGCAAGAAATGTCGAAGTCGGTTGAACGCGAACGCGATCAATTGCGTTCTGAGTTGGACAAGTTGAGGCGTGATGTCCAAGCTGCTGACGACCGCGAAGCGCAATTAAAGAAGCGTCTAGAAGCTATGCATACTAGGATGAACGAACTTGCAACTGAGCGAGACAAGTTGGCGGATGATGCGAAGATTTCTGCTGCCAGGGAGGTAGAATATATCCGGCGACTTCAAGCCGCGGAGGTACAGCATAATGACATACAAACCAAGATGGCCCAGGCTGCGCGAGACCTCGAGAATGACAAGCAACGGCAACAAGGTCAGCGGAGGCCAAGCTCTTCAGGCGCGTTGGAAGCAAGCTCGAATTCAAAGCCCCGTTCTTCAGCAAAGAAGAAAGATGATCCTCCAACCATCTCCTGTGCGTCCTTATGTTCGGAGTCATAGCTTGACTCACTAAAACTGGGAAGCTCGTTCTCCCAAAGCTCCACCCCAGAGCCCCGTTCGTTCAGTTATCAAGGTCCAGCGAACTCCAGTGAGCACCGCAGAAGCCAAAGGTGACAAGAAGAAATCGGGTATGCGTCGTAGTAAAAAGTGTGACTTGGGGGCTGACATCGAAAGATTCTGATGTGGGTAAACGAGCTAGAGCGATAAGCTCTTCAAAAGTTCAAGCGCAAGATATGGAAGTGACCGACTCGTCTAGTTCTGTTTCAAGACGTGGTATGCAGAGTGGCTCAACGTAGTCCCTAGAACTGAAGTTTTCCTAGGTCAACAGTCTGAAAGTGATACTTCTAGTCGCAGTACGTGCTTAATTTCCATTAATTTCGCTACTCAATATTCTTCAGCATCGCTCAAAAGAGCTGCATCCTCGCCGTTATCCTCAGCTCGCACCAAGGTGCCACACCGCTGGCAAAAAGAGCCCACACCAATCACTATGCCGAAGAATCCCAAAGGATGATACCTTTTCTTCAACTGGAATGTACGCATAGAATGACTAGATGAACGACTACAGACTTCTGTATTTTTGCTGTGTACTACGTTGTGTAAATTTAGCCCTAACCAACGAGCAAATATTTCCGTCATCTGAATCAGTACCTTCGTCAGGATCTCCGTTCACCTTCATGCTCCACTTCGCTCTTAGCCCCTCCCGACCTTGCTACTTATAGCGTCCGCCATCTACAAGCAGTGCCCACTCCAAGACATCCACGGACGGACCTTGAAACACTCTCCCATGTCCATGGACGAAATCATACCCGGCTTGTGGGTTGGGGACCTCCCCAGCGCCACCAACACGGCCAACTTGAAGGCCAACAAGATATTTAGCATCTTATCGGCAATGCGGGGGAGGGTTACGATAAACGAGGTGGGTTCTCCCCTCGTCTTTTCTCAAAGCTGAAGCACTGATTTCAGACCTTCATTCGGCACCAAATCTCACTCGACGATACTGAGGAGACTGATGTCCTTGTGCACTTTATACCGGCGATTACGTTCATCCAAGCCGAGCTGGACAAGGGGCGGGGAGTGTTGGTGCATTGCCAGGCTGGAATGAGTGAGCTTGTTGTCATCCTTTTCGATTCTAACTGAGACCGCTGGCCAGGCAGGAGTGTAACCATCGTCGCCGCATATCTTATGTATACCCAGAATATCGACACAGAGGCGGCATTAGAGCTCATTCGCCAGTCCCGACCTAACATCGAGTGCGTCATCGAAGTCTAATCGCTTTTATCTAAACCAACACCCTACTAGCCCTAACCCCGGTTTCCTTCACCAGCTCGAAATATTCCACCAAGCGGCTTACAAGATCTCACGTCGAGACAAGTCCACCAGGATGTTCTATATGGAGAGAGCCGTCGAGGAAGTCATGAGTATGCGGCTCCGCTCACCTGCTTCACACAAATATTGACTCATCTCGATAGACGGCGACGGAAGTTTGCCTGAAACCACCATGTTCGCCAAATACCCTCGCACACCTTCTGATTCTGCCCCAGGCACTCCCGGTGGGCCGCGTCGCAAAATTCGCTGCAAAATGTGTCGACAAGAGCTAGCCACAAGAGAACACATGCTTGACCATGGCCAGTTGGGAGCACCAACACCGGCTGCTGTGACTCCCGTTGTCTCGCGCCATCCATCAATGACCATGGCTTCGCGACCACGGATAGGTTCATTTGGGACTGGGGCGCGTCCACGACGGCCGTCTGGCCTTGGCGATACCATGCTACAAATGTCAGCGCTGGAGACCGAGGATGATTCCCCCAACGCGGAAACGGTCAAAGAAGAAGTACCAGTAGCGCCAGAGGCCCGAAGGACACTTTCTGACCCACTCCGTCGCCCACGATTACGACCCTTGATCAGCGGAGTCGCTGATTTGACCATGTCGCAATTATCAATGTCGACATCTTCTGCGTTGGACACAGAAGACGACAGTGGTCCTGAAGACAACAGCGAGGTTCAACCAATACCTCGTACTCATCCGTTTGCGCTTGCGACTCAATTGGGCCGTCGCCTTTCGGATGCAGTGATTGCCTCGCCTGGAGAGCCGTCTCAGGCGTCAGAAAATGTGCCAGAGCACGCCCCAACGCGGTTCTCTAGCGCGGATGACATTGCTGAGCAACTACTTTCGAATCCAAAGCTTGCTGCTTTGCGCGGGTCACCCGTCATGTCTCCTCTAACACCTATGCTCGGCTCCTCTTCAAAGGCATTCCCTGTGTCTCAGCCTATCATCGTCAATCCCAAATGCTCTGGGTACTTCGTTGAACCTGTATGTTCCTTCTTAGTGTAGAAAATTGAAATCTGACTCCCCTCACCTTCTAGATGAAATGGATGGAGCCCTTCTTAGAAGAAGGGCAGATTGCGGGCAAAATAACGTGCCCCAACCCGAAATGTGGTGCTAAATTGGGCAATTACGACTGGGCAGGGATGTGTTGTGGCTGCAAGGAATGGGTTACTCCGGTGAGCTCCCCCCCCCTCATTATTTTTTGTTCTGCTCACGAATGCGTGTGGCAGGGTTTCTGCATAAACCGATCTAAAGTCGATGAAGTTGTCTGAAAATTTACTTGTGTCGAAAATATGCGGCCCTTGACTATGATAGACGGCATGGTATCTTTATCTCTGAGTATATTTAGATGTGGGCACTCCGGCAATGCAGACATGACTCCATTGGCTCGACGTTTGTGCGCCAGAACACGGGCAACAAAGAAGATGATAGGAAACGCCGTTGATGGGTTCATTTGCAGTGTGCTATCCTGACTCTTCGAGTCTCTTCCACCATTGCCAACTGTTTTTACGCTTTCCCTGTCGGCTGGAATGCTTGACTTCATATTGCGCACTTACCGTGTAAGACGAGACTGAACCGTTTTGCTTCGTGGTGCTTGGGACCAACATTGCTGTAGATTTGGAGGCCGCCTCGTTGCGCAGCCGACGTTGGAAGCACAGGCAAACCGCTCAAATTTGGCTGTTTGGGGGCTGCAAAAATCACTCCTGGAGCGTTGGTCAAGCCAGCCCGAACTCACCCCGAGGTTGTGTTGTTCGCTGTGGCCGCCCGCGACCCAAAACGCGCTGCAGAATTCGCCACTGAGCATGGTTTCCAGAAAAGCTACGGGGGTCCAAATTGCTATCAGGGTGGGCATTCATTTTATTGACAAGAATGTTGCTCACTCAAGAATTCAAGACATGCTCGATGATCCTGATGTTGATGTTGTGTACAACGCGCTCCCGAATCGGAATGAGTTGCACTTTGAGTGGACAATGAAGGCAGGCAAGCACGTGCTGCTCGAGAAGCCAGCCACAAACACTGCGTCTGAGGCCACGGCCATTTTCGCTCTTGCGGCTCAGAAGAACCTTGTTGTCCTCGAAGCCTTTCACTATCGGTCAGACGCCTGCTATTTTTCTCACCCGGTACTTATATCTGCACAGTTTTCATCCTGCGGTTCAACGCGTCAAGTCTATAATCGATTCCGGGGAACTTGGGGTGATAGAGACAATTACAGCAACGCTTACTGCCCCACACGGCACTGCACCGGATGGCGATATTCGCTGGAATTACGAACTGGGTGGCGGCGCAACAATGGATCCCGGTTGTAGGTGTTAACTTGGTCAATAATTTTCTGTTTCATCTGATTATTCAGGCTATACGGTCAACGTGTTACGCTATCTCGCAGGAGCTAATCCTACCGCTGTTTTGACGGCAAGAGCCGTCCGCTATTCCACACTGCCTGAACATGAGAAAGTCGACAAGATGGTCTGGGCCACACTTGCGATGGAGACACAGGTCGTAGGAGAGGTACACGCGAATCTGGACGAAGCAAAGATTTTGGGCATCATTCCTCGTATGCCGAAGCTCTCGGCCACCGTTGAATGCTCTGCAGGCAAGATCGAGATTTTTAATTTCTTGGTTCCACACTTCTACCATCGTATTACTGTCTCTCCTAAAGGACAAAGGCAACGCATCGAGAAGGCATATTCTTTCAACGGTAATTTCAAAGGGGAGGATTGGTGGACAACATATAGGTGACCATGAGCTCTTTGACTGTTTGAGAGCCTCACGTACGTGGTTTAGATACCAGTTAGAGGCCTTTGTAGACAAGGTTCAGGGACGCAGTCCCCAAACATGGATTGCGGGGCAAGACACCGTCGCAAACGTTGAATGGATTGAGGAGATATATGCGAAGGTGCTTCGCATAACATCTTCCGCCAAACCGCTGAAATTTTTAGGACGGATTCGGGAGTCGTCCTGCTTCCAGCTATCTGGCCAAGAATCGCGTCGAGTAGATAATTAATTATAGTTCGTCTCGTCATAGCAGGTGGCAGTAACTTTCGACCTTAGATATTCTCCAACTTGCTTCAAATTTTGTCGTTTCAGGTTCCAGATGTATTGGTCTTGCAGTCTTGCAAATTGTACCTCGGCCAAGCCGCTCCGCAGTACTCTAAGTCGGATGTGGTCCTTGTAGGGTGTGGGCCCGAATATTGAGCCCACGTTCCAGCGTCAAGGATCGGAGCATGAATATTGTTGAGCACTTGCATGTGGGAGCGGTAGGCATCCTTAGGCATCCAGTCGATGGGAGAGAAGTTTGGCGGGGAACAAAACGAGGTGGTGACTCATTGATGATCATCAAAATCGACTCCTCAGCAACCATAACTTGTCGGTCTTGCACGATACCCTGCTTCATGTTAGTATAGGCTTGCACATCTGGAAGTCCCCTGCAAGCAGCGATGGAAGAACGCGCCGAGTAGTCTACACAGTAGCCAAAGCTCGTTGGCCTCCAGCGAAAATTCACTCGTCGATAAATTCGAAGACTGACCGGCGGTGTTACTCGTCGAAGGGATCACCGGAATGACGGACTGATCTGCAGAACAGCGCCACAAGCCATGTCCATGTTGTCACCTAGGACATATAAGCACTGGTTGTTTTTCCCCACAACATTACCTTGACTGTGCCCATAACCTTTTTGAACGCGGCGCCGTACGAATTCCACGCATGGAGACCTGATCAACTTGTCCAACAACCGCTCTACGTCGACTTGCAACAACAACCTCACATCCATCTTCCTTCTTTGACATGCCAGATCGAGGGTATATACCCTGGGACTTCCATCCAATGTCGGATGTGCACCATCTTCCGCCCCCCTACGAAGCTCATCGACCTCCATTGATGCCATTATCAGACAAGAAACGGCCGAAACTCGAATTACGTCCATTGCCCACTCTGCCGTTGTTACCCATTGGATCTCAGGCCAGTGTCACGCGTCCCACCCACCGAAGAAGAGCATCAGGCGGAAATTTTGGAACGAAACCTCCCTTGCTGGTTGTTTGCAATCGGAATGAGAATGACTCCCCCATATCACCCGACTCTCCCATCCTCCTTGGTCGTCCGCGTCTCATACTATCTCCAACAAGCACACACGCATTTCCCGACCTTTCGAGATTATCGAAGGCTGTCAGAGCTATTCCTCCAACACCAAAAACACCCCGCTTCCTCGTTCATTCACCTGAGCCGATGAAGGAAAGCTTCACGCCAATCACTCCTGGCTTCAGAATTCGTGCAAGACCGGCGAATGCGAAGAGGATAGCGAGGCATGGATTCGGCGATGGATCGGTTGGGGACATACCTGATAGTGTTCTGGAGGAACTCCGAGCACTGCCCGATAGATCGTTGCTTCGAGGTGAGGGAGGTGACAGTTCCGACAGCTCATCAAGTGGCGAGAGCGACGAGGAGGATTTTATTGCTGGTTACGAGTCGGATTCGATGGTAGAGGAAGCGAAAAAGCGAGGTTCGCTGCATTGGGTCCATGATTTTGGCGAGGATGAGCGATGGATGGCCGAGAGTTATTCGGACATTCTCAAAGCACTATGACCGAGTGTAGCATTATTTATTTCGTCATACGAACGGACCATGACCTTGTTGAACAGGTACCAGTAGACACATAACTATCAGTGGCGCCCATCGAAAAATTGCCAGCTTTGGAAGGTGGAGGAGCTGAATTGTGACATGCATGTCACACGATGACCTTCGCTACATGCGTGCAGCACGACTCTTAACGATTCGCCGCCATGCCGCGCCAGCCAGCGGATGTCCAAGTGTCGCCTTACCTCACCCACTTGACAACCCACCACGGCCAAGTCACGCTCGTTCCGGCAGACAACAATGGTCGACGAAGAAAGGCCAATGAGAATCTCAATAGCAGCAGCAGCTCTCCAAGGTCTACCGACTCCCGCGTTAGCACACTCCAATCATCCCCAACTAAACCTCGAACATCACCATCTGGAGGAATAATGCGCCGTATTCGCCACATTTCGAGGCAACAAGACTGTGAGTTGTTTTTCCCCAACGATGAGACATGATTTAATTTCGGATAGCGCTGGAAGACATCCCGGACTACCCGCCTCCGTCATTCCAAGAAGCCATGGCCTCTACTACGACGCTTACAACATGGAGCGGCCGTTTGACTATTCACTCACAACCGGATTCAGACTCTGAATCAGATGACGATGGAGAGTCCGCGGAGAGAGCTTCTGTCTTGGAAAGACCTCCGAGTCGTGGTAGAGGGATTCTGGACTCAGAGCCCGACGACGGAATTGGCACATCAGTTGTTAATACTCGACCACACCGGCGCCACATGTCTCTCTCGCCATTGCGTACCCTTTTCCCGCCAGCTCGGAACAATCGCGAGTCCTCCTACAGTGCTCCGTCTCATCCATTATCACAGCTACGAAATTCGCCGCATTCACGAAGTACCACTTCACTACGAGCTCCACCGTCTCCACCAGTCTCTCCATCCATTAGGAGCGAAAATCCTCTCGGAGGCCGGCGATTCTTCTCGCACAAGGACAAGGACAAGGACAAAGGGAAAGCGCGAGAAGCGTTGGATTCCTGGCAGATTGTAGAATCACAATGGCCGCCAAATCCATCCAGCCCGATCCTTTCCAGCCCTATTCCTTCAAGCTCGCAGTCTGATCGAGCGTCTTCTCAGGAGCCTCCTACGCCAACATCCATTTCTGCCGCTGTGCCTTCTCAAGGGGCATTTCCTAGAGAGAAGGCCATCCCAATTATCTCCAGCTCTTTCCGAGAACGAGAACGCCGTCAGCCCCAAGCCCACGATGAAGTTCAGTCGATACACACGAGGATTCCGCCTTCACCGACTTATGCCCCACCGCCAACACCCACCGCTGAGGGCCCACCAATCGTGACTGTCCGCTCAAAGAAACCACCACCGCCTCCCCCGCCTCCAAAGCGGAAGCCGCAATTAGCGCCGTCACCTTTGCGCGAGTCTCCGGTTTTGGATGCTGATCTGGAGCGCGCTGTCCGCACTCCTTTGCCGCTGACCCCAGTGATTGCCAACTCGTTTTCGTTTCCTTCACAACCGGCCTCAAGAGAACGCAAGATTATGTTCCATAGCTTCCCAGCGTCTGAAATTGAATCTTCACCTCCTAGTTCGGCCGTCGATAGTGAGGGTCATCGTCACCATTATCCAGGTCGACCGCTCCCAATACGGCCACGCCTCATTGTTGATTCGACTTATGCACACCATCCACACTTTCCGCCACTGGAGATACCTCTCAAGCCGCCTCATGTTCCGGAGGGGTTATTGATTGACTTGGATGATGAGATAGAGACACCGGTGGCCTCAACGGTGGTCGATATTGACGAGACTCCAACTGTTACACCGACTGTGCATGCTCCCGGAGACGTAGCGCTGTTGGTTGATGTCGAGGATACCGTTACGCCTGCCATAGAAACAGCCACTCCATCTTCTGCTTTGGCTGACCTTGCGCCGCTGGTCTTGGACCCTACACCACATCTCCGACCAACATTGATCACCGCCACCTCTAATCGGCAATCTTCGGCATCCTCGGTCGTTGAGCTTGCTCCGACTGCAGCAGATGATTTTCTCGAAATCACCGACCTCGATGTTTTACTTTCGCGGATTGAGAATGATCAGCGGGACGGATCCAACTATGAGGCGTTGCTCATGGTTTCCGACTTTATCGGTCCTGCGTCGCCTCTGGACGACAATAAGGCTAACAAATCGGTGCTTCGCACGGGCACCATCGAGGTTGCGCGGCGGCGTGTGCTGAAAGACGGGCGGGTGAAGCTCAAGCTGGTGTTGTTGGGCACGACTGTCGACCGCTGCGGGATATGCATGTCCCAGTTCAAGAAGGCGCAGGCTGCAAAGCTCAGTGAGCGGTGCGGGCACGTGTACCACGAGCAGTGTCTCGCGCGGTGGACTGCCAAGAGCAGGACATGCCCGCTCTGTCGCATCCCTGTTAGGGAGATGTATTAATACTAATCATGACCCATGGACTATGAATTTTGTTGTCTACTGGTTGAGACGGACATTAGGCATTCATGTGTTTTTCAATGTAGCTTTAGACTGGGTGGAGATTGTACCAATTAATGGAATTCAACTCGGAGTACGGTAGGCGAGATGGTTGAGGATGAATTTCAATCTTGACAGATGTATGACTAGGGGCCTCCGGCACATGTGCCTTAGGCTGGGACCTTGCTTTCATACAGCCTTCTTATATATATATCTGGATAGAATCTGGGAAAAGAACGAAAACCAGCAGAATTCAACACAATAATGTCACTGAAAACAACAGTATTGACAGGTTTTGACAACAACACTTGGCCTTAAGTTCACAAACTGAATGAGGTGTAGAAATTAGTCTCAAGTATCAAGATCAAGCTACATAACCTTAACCATGACAATAAGCAGTCTGCTTTTTCATACCTCAGCTGAAATGATGGAAGTCACGAGATTTCCGCATTAGGGAGGAGGGTTTATGTTTGATAGCAGATGGCCAGATTCCCTGAACCTGACATCCTACTGTGGTAAATCTATACTATCCTATCCCTGATTGAACAACTGCCAGTGTTTGGTTTCACTGTAGTGATTGATGGTAAACATGACCACAACTAGTGAACTTTGACCCCATTCACTGGCATGAATCATCCCCTTTGTACAAAAGCTATACCTAGCCAAGTTAACAGGGAGGTATAGACAACCATTGTATATATGAATTGTATACTGTGAGCTATGAATCAGAGTGCAAGACAAGACTCATGGTTATTGTCTGGAAAGAGTACTGCTTTGGAGCTCCCATTGAACCCCTTATAAGAAGTAGGCTTCAAGTAGCAATTCTCAAGTTGATGGAATGGGCACCAGGCAGTGGCAGGCACCTAAAGCTGTGGTGACTGCAACAGAGCACATAGACACTGAGGCATTGAATAAGTACACTCAAAGGGTAACTTGAAGCTATAATTCAAGTTACTACTGACCCATTGCATTCAATTCTGCCTAGTGATCATCACGGGTGGCATGACCCGTGACGGGCTGTGAGGACGGGCCTGCGTGGGTACGGGTGTGGGCCTGGCCAACCCGATAGCCAGCCGGGGTAGCCAGCTCCAGCCAAGTTTTGACACCTTGAAAATGTGACTGACTTGGCTTGGATGGTCGAACGGCTGTTGCTGGGGTTCCCAAACCCGCAACAGCATTCCCCGACATCGTCTTGATCATTTAGACTGCCTTGGCGTGGCTTGTGTGGTCTGCAGGCCGTGGAAACGTGGGCCATCCGCAGCCCATTGGCCAAAACGCGGTACCCGCACCTGCCAAAGCAGACCCGGGCCATCGGCGGGACGGGTACAGCCTGTACGGGCCACCCCAGATTTACCCGCGGGTGGCCCGTGACAAATGCTAATTCTGCCAGTCATAGCCACATCACATTTTTTGGCCAAAATATTTTAGCAAGAGCTATTTTTTTTTGGTCCCACAGCAGCCTAATCGGGAGGATTTTCAAATTTTATGCACCTGCAGCATGCTAAATTTCCTAATCGGGCAGTAGGTCACACAAAATTTTGGCCAAATGGTCATGGGTCATTGAGTGTCACAGGCCTGCTGAATTGATTGAAATGGGTCAGCATTATTATTAACTATTGAAAAGGTCAGTCCTTGCAATTTTGTATAACCATAACTTAGCTTCACTGAAATTGAAGCAACCTCTCAAAACCCCTGGCAAGAGATATGCATAGCTGAAACCCCGACGTCAGGTCAGAAAAGTGAGTTAACTACTGCTGGACACCCCCCCCTCCCTGTGTGACGTCACACCACGTGATTGCACGTGATGTCCCAAAAAAGGCAATTCCATGATGGGTACGAGAAACTGGTGAAAATGTCATGCAGTACTACTAATTTTCTCTATATATAGTGTCCCTTCTTGTGCTCTCCACCCACATCCACCCTGCGGACATCATTATAAAACCAATTTTGGCTGCAGGCATAGCTGGCAGGTGTGACTTGGGTGTGCCGTGGCTGTGTCATTACTACCCAAATAGGAAATTCCTATCAAAATGCTTATACATGCCTCAGAAGAACATCAAAATCTGCTTTCAATGACAATTATATGCATGCTGAGACCATTAATAGCATTCCTATGTACCCTACAAAAGAAAAGTGAATTAAGGCTACCAGACCACCCCCCCCCCTGACGTCTCGGCTTGTGCCAGCGCGTGCCCCTTGACCCCTGGTGAGTACGTGCACTGGAGCATAAATATTCACAGAGACAACATGATAAAAAAGACTTTACCAATGACAAAAAGCAAAGACTCACAACTGAGCATGCCAGGCATTGCCACTGGCCAGCAAGATAAAAATGGAGTGAAACCCTCTTTCTTAGAGTCTCTCCCTTTGTGTAAATATAATTTAGCACAGATAAGACTAAGATAACCAGGAGCAGGATCTACGGAAGTGATGTTTTTGTAATAAGCACTCAAATGTTTAGCATAGAATCGACAAAACTGTAGGACGGCTGCCTGGCTCGGTGATTATCAATTGTAGGTTGCAATTGACTGAAATATGCCGATCAATCATCGGGCTGTTACAGTTGTTTACCTATGTTTACTTTTCATGTTTACATGTGTTTACTGATTGAATTTCTCATATGGAGGACCTTGCCAGAAAGCAAGGTGATGGTCAAAAACTGTCTATTTTCCCTTGTATTTTGGAAGATCTGAGCCATTTTGGGGGTATATTGAGCTGATCTATGACTGTACTATACCTAGAAACCCAATATCCTTTGCCCAGAGGCTGAAATCAGCTTATCGGAGGGTGGGAATTGCACCGGCTGTCTCGGAGATGGGCAGGTCTTCGGAGTTGGCAACGGACTTTGATGTCCGCGTGCCCCGAGTGACGGCTATTTCATCGGAGTGATGTCAAGGGCCGGATGATGTCAAATCCATCAAGCCGTCAAGTCATCCGGCTCTGGACAAGCCTGGTGAATTTATCTCAAATGCATGGCAAGCCAGCTCCTGGAGTCAGCCCCCACCGCCCTCAAGTAATATCCTGTATGCCGCAGCCGGTAAAGCACACATATTGCTTTATCCGTATGTTGCCGGCTGTGGCATCAATAAAATCAGTAAGTTTTAGTGAAAGCACTGATTTGTTGTCCAATTAGCTGCATAAGGAGTAGCAAATGTCTATTCTAGGTTTTTTCAATCCATGATACCCTCCAAAACCTTTAAAAAAGGTCGAAAAGTGGTTGCTCAGACTGATCAATCTGCCAAGGATCAGCTGTCAAATGTGAAATCGAACCGCAACCATCTCGCCTACCGTAACTCGGAGAGTCCCGGGCCGAGAGACGGCAAACATGAACTAGCATGTCTTGAATTTTGTATATACGATACAATCATTATATTTCATGTATGTACAATTTTGAGGCCATATGGGCTTTATTATTATTATTATATATTATGTATATATATATGTATACACAAATTTATGCTGAAGTTGCTCTTGAGCAATCTACTCAAAATTGAACCAGAAGAAGAAATTTCAACTTGGGGAATAAAATGAAAAGGCTGCAAGTCACGGTGACTTATGGATTCAAAACCTGAATTAGAAGCAGTACATATGTATATAGGAATAGAACAATCTTTACGGTGACTAGGCCAGCTACCCTCTGTACTCGAACCACTGGCACCGGAAGTCGCTGGGGCTCCCGTTACTTGCCTTGAACTTCTTCCTTTGTGGCTCTAGATCCAGGCATGCCAGGACAGCCAAGAGTCCGGTATTATAGGACCATCTCTGGAACGTAGGCATACCTCCAATTGGTGGAACGGGATTGCAGCATCATTCTCCGGCCAATCATCCGTTTGAGCGAGTGCAATAGCGAATAATTTCTGGAGGTCACTATAGTTCATGTCTTTCGGTGAATAGCCGCAAGGTGAAGTGAGGTCCGCAAATACAGCATGATATGCCGGTGTGTCTTGCTTTAGCCCCGGGGCAGATGGAGGATTCTGCACGCTGACCATCTGCTTCATCCAGTCGCCGAGGTCGTACAGCGCAGACCGGGTGCCCTCGGGGATGTGGCTTGGGAAGTCGCGGTAGAATATGAGCGATTTCCCCGTTGCATAACCGCCGAAGATGTTATCGCACGCGAGCGCTCCGGAGGGGTCTCTATGTGGGGTGTACCGAAGCACACACCAGAGCAGCACCCAAAAGAAGGACTCGAGGTCGTGTTTGGCCGTGTGGACGACAGACGTGTTTTCGAGAAGCCCGAGAGCCATAAACGAAGACGTGCCCCAGATAGTCTCAGTGGTCCCCGTTTGACCGACTTTGTGTTCACATTCCCTCGCGTCAGTCTTAGGGAAGTTCCTATGCGCGAGTGCATGAAAGAGCTCCAAGCCTTGGCCAGCGCGTGTAATAAGCAGCGTTAACGTTGTAAGGAGATGGACATTGTCGACATTGAGCTCGATATCGGGATGCACTGACAGCATACTCGCCTCACAGGCGAGGGGAGGAGTGAGACGAGGGAGTCCGAGAGACGGCAAACATGAACGCGATAAAGAGCTGGCATGTCTTTACATAATCTTGTACATGATATGATGGTTTGCAATTTTATTATATTTTATGGATGTTTTTCACTCAGTTTTGAGGCCCGGCCTTCTGGGCTTTACTATTATTATGTATTATGTATGTATGTATGTAATTTGTGCTGAAGTTGTTACTACTTAGTCGCTCGGAATTCAACCAGAAGAAGAAATTCAATTTAAAACTTGGGGGATCAAGTTGCACAAAATAGATTCAAAACTTGAATTCATCTATGTAAATTACATGTATCAAACAACCTTTACCGGCGACTACTCCTACGACGGCTACCCATTGCACTCGAACCACTGGCACTGGAAGTTGCTGGGGCTGAACTACCGTGACTTGGACTTCTTCTTTGGTGGCTCTGGAGCCAATCCGGTCGTACCATCTCTGAGACGTAAATGTGCCTCCAAATCGCGGAATGAGATTGCAGCATCATCATTCTCCGGCCAACCATCCGTATCAGCGAGTGCATCCGCAAATAACGGCTCAAGGACACTGTAGGTCATGTCCACAGGCATAGGGGGTTGAGAGATGTGCTGATACATACTAGCCCGTGCGTTTGGCCGTCCTGGTATCACGTCAAGTGGAGGATTCTGCACCCTGACCATCCTCTTCATCATGTCACCGAGGATGAGAAGTGCGGGCTGGGTGCCTTCAGGGTCATGGACTGGGAAGGTGCGGTTGAATATGATTGATTTGCCCGTCACATTACCGCCGAAGATTTCATCGCAGGCGAGGGCTCCGGAGGGGTGTACATGTGGGGTGTAACGAAGCACACACCAGAGCAGCACCCAAAAGAAGGACTCGAGGTCGTGTTTGGCCGTGTGGACGATAGACGTGTTTTGGAGAAGCGCAAGAGCCATAAACGGCGACATGCCCCAGATAGCAGTGGTCCCCGTTTGCCCGACTTTGTGTTCACATTCCCTCGCGTCAGCGAGTGCATGAAAGAGCTCCAAGCCTTGGCCAGCGCGCTTGACATTGTCATGATTGTGATCGACGAGGGACGCAACATGGGGAAGTAACGTTGTAAGGATGCGGACATTGTCCATGTTGAGCTTGCGCTCGATACTAGTATCAGGCTGCACTGACGGAATACTCGCCTCACAAGCCATACGGTATTTTATGGTTGGGAGGAGTGAGATGAGCATTGAGCGACGGGCACACGCCGCTCAATGTAGGCTAGTAGCAGGCACATTTTGCCGACTTGATTACTCACCCGATCGCATGCCGTGCGCAACAACTTGGTAGAGACAGGAAACATGAACGCAGTAAACAACACCCCGTTACGCGTTACACGTGCCGGGTGACGGCTGAAAAAACTCCTCGGAACATCGATGCTCCGACCACCGGGACTTCGCCCGAGTGTCCCAGCTCCCCATAGAGCAGGTCGATGCACTGGCGTCTTCGTCTTCATCGTCTTGTGTGACTTGGCCGTTCAATGTTGCCGAACTCCGGAACGCAAACTTTGCCGCCGATTCCAGAAAGGGAATTGCGGCGTCATTCTCCGGCCACTCGTCCGCTCGGGGAACTTGTAGAGCAAACGCTTTCAGGAGTGAGGCATGTGTCATGTCCTCGCGCGGGGGTGAGTCGTCTAGATATCCGTATCCCGCAGCAAGTAAATGTTGCGGCGTGGGTTGTGCTGGGCCCGATGGAGGATTCTGCCTCTTGACCATGTACATCATCAGACGACCAAGATCGTAAAGCGCGGATCGCGGGCCTTCGACAGTGCGGACGGGGAATCCATGGCCTAAGATGCCCCATTTGTTCGTTGGATTGTCAGAAAAGACAGCATCACAGGCGAGAGCTCTCGAGGGGTGGTTGTGTAGGGTGTGGCGAAGCACACACCAAAGAAGAACCCAAAAGAAAGACTCGAGATCGTGTTTAACGCTGTGGATGGTGGAACCTTCGTGGCGGAGAAGCTCGAGGGCTATGAAGGGATATGTGCTCTAAAAACTAGTTCCCATAAGCACCCAAATCGAGTCAACATAACGGACCGTCAAGTTGGACTGTGTTGTGTGATTCATTCGATTCAAGTCCTTGTCGTCGTTTGTATCAGCCTCAGGGTTCGCCCTGTCCGAGAGTGCGGCGTGAAACCGCTCCAAGTCCTGGCTAATGCGCTTGGTATGGTCATAGTTGACGAGGGACGCATAGGGAAGCATTGCCAACAATGGTCCGTCAAAAAGGATGTCGTGGTTGTTGACTTGATGCATTAGACGAGCCTCATCGTTCATACGATATTCTACAAATGGGGAGTTAAAAGTATGGCACGCAGGAAGCGGGGACACACTCACGCAAAACGAGGCACAGGGACACGAGCCAGCAGCAAGCGAGGACAAGCGACCATGATTCAAGACAAGAAAATGACTTGCTCTGTTACACCAGGGGCAAAGCTAGCGGCAGATAGCATATGGCAGTTTGCTGGCAGTTTGCAAGGCAATTTTTTTGCTTTGTTAAAAACAAAGAAACCTTTGTCTTTGCCCAACTGCCGCTAGGTCTGCCATTAGCCAACTGACGCTAGCATTGCCCCTGGTGTTATTGCTGAGCTTTTGGTTGCGCTCCCAACCGCCTGCATTGATACCCGACGAGTTTGTGGTGTAACTGGTACAGCGCCTTGATACTGTGGTTGAGAGACCGGTGAGCGTTGCTGGCCGAACCAAGGCCGAACCAAAAGGCCGAGATGATGATCGCATCATCATTCAGATCACCAACGTTTCCCGGTTACTACTCGTCAATCTCTGTTTTTCCTGCTACGCACTAGGGTCATAGATCTCTTGTAGAAGGTATATTCGTGATCGGGTAGCCTTCAATAGCCGCCAGTTTCCTAACTTAGCTTCCGTTTTATCATTCCAAGCTACGATGAAATTGTGGGGGTACAGTAATAATAATAATAAATTGAGCACCGGTGAAATCGCTGGAGTTACTGGCCAGGTCTGCCGCATTCTTTGGCCATCTAAAGGGAAAAGAAATTAGAGTGAGCGTGAGAGATGATAGATGGAAGAAAATTCACTTGATGTCGCTTAAGCGCATCTTTGCGCGTGAAAGTCTTGTCGCAGCCGTTGCAAATGTGGGGCCGCTCGCCAGCGTGGGTGATGCGGTGACGCTTCAGATCGTGGTGCCGATCAAAGGAGAGCGGGCAAATATCACAGGCGTAGGGGCGGGTGGGCGAGGCAGGGTAATCACCGCCGTACAGAGGAGGGGGAACGAAGGGTGCCTGTGATGGCGAGGTAGACCCAGGATACTGCGGACCTTGGCTATAGTTTGCGCCAGATGTGATATCCCCATACTGAAGCGATGGGGGAGCGCCGTAAGGGTTTGACCACCCGCTTGGATTCGCGGGTATGTGACCAGTAAATTGTGGGCTATGGTGGCCGTACGCTGGGTGTTGTACGGTGGAAGGCTGGGAATGACCATACGAATGTGGAATTTGGGAGGAGGATGAGGATGCGGGATGTAGAGAACCATGGGCTTGAGGTGGACAGAACGGAAATGTTGTCTGAATTTTTATTTAGCGGATAGAAATGAGAAAAAAAAATCGGTCACTCGCCTTGTGGCGCTTCAAAGCATCTTTCCTGGTGAATGCCTTCCCACATTCGCATATATGAGGTTTTTCTCCGCTATGAGTTTCGATGTGGCGTTTCAAATCGTGGTGGCGATCGAAAGAAAGAGGACAGAGATCGCAGGCAAATTCGCGCTGTGGGGAGGCCGGATATTCGACATAGCGGAGACTGAAAGAAGACATACTCTTGCGGGAGCTGTCAACGGCACAAGTCGGACAACCACTATCCTAGTCTTATACTTGAAGACCGCATTTGCTTAGTTTATGAGAATGATCACCTGCAGAAAATAAATCTAGGCGAGCATCTTACCTATAAGATCCTCTAGATCTGCTGCCGCTCTCAGGCTGTTTCAGCCGGTTTGGCTGTCCCACCAGTGTTTACGAGACCGTTCCAGTCGGCTGTGTCTGCTGAGTCTCAAATGAATGTCCGACAGGCGCCCTTCTCATTGCAGCCATCGGCCAATGGTTCTAGAACAAGAGGAGGGAGAGCTAAGCCTGAATTGTTCAACTAATGACACGGCAGGAGGACGAAGAAGCCAACCTTGGGTATAAACAATTGCATATTTAGCCCGAACAATTCCGATGGAGATCGTACATCTTTGAGACTACGACCGCAGTTGCTTGCGACTGACACTAGATAGCCGTTGTTATCTTTCAGGACCGCGCACTGACAGCCTGGAAGTCTAGCGAAGTTGGAGGCGGTCGCCGCATCATCGTTTGCGCCCGTCCTGATGGAGGTCGCGAAGAGACGAAACGTCATCTTTTGCATTTTGAATGGGCCGGGTAGTAGTGTCTCGTTGTGGGTACATATAACCAGTTTCTCCGAAAGGTTGGATCAAGAACGTTTCGGACCTGGACAAATCGACATCACAGCTCCGGGGAGCCATTTCAGGAGCAGATGACCCGTTATTATGCGGCTCGGGAATGGGGATGTATGTAGCAGAGTAGGCTTTCCATCGCATCAGAGTCGCCTTGACAAATATAAGAGTGTTGATTGAAGATCTCGTTCGCCACTGTCAGCCTATCAAGACGGGGGAAGAGGAAGATATAGGGGTACCTACAGTTAAACAAGGCCTAAGCATGGCTTTACACGATCGATACTGAGGTTGGTCAAGGCGTTCAACGACTGTAAGCAAACCCGATCTCGCATCAAAGTCAATCAGAAAGTTGTGATCCATTGCCGGGCCGGATTGACCCATCCGTCGCTACTTTGTCGTAAGGGGGTAAATCAGCCTCGATTGCTGCTCTGGGGTGGCGTGTTGGCCAATTGCGCCACAATTGGAGTTGAAGGGAGGAGGAGGAGGCGTCCCACCATTCATATCCATGTGATGTTGAAAGAATTGTCGCGGGCGTCCGGTCAGTCTGAGATAACAGCCAAATGAGAATCGTAGCCGGTTTGGAAAGCAGGGGCCAACTTGGCGGTATATGAATCGCCATCAAGCACCATGAACAACACCCATTCCGCCGAGCCGCAAAATGAACCAACTTCGCGCCAAGGCCCGGTCGTAATTATTGACATATCATGATCAGGGCGTTAGCTCGTCGACTACGAGGATAATACCCCGCCGCATAGGAGCAGAAGCAACCCTCATTTACGTGACCCGGTGTTGATCGCTACATATCCTAGGATGCACAACCCTGCAAACGAGTCAAAATCAAGCCTCGTAGTGTCATGGTTCGCAGACCGCCGAAAAAGAGCGATGATCCTTTGGAGTAAAAAAAGACACCAATGAGAGCGATGGATACCAGGAAGTGCTTTGAATAGATTTGACTTGAACTAAGGGAAGGAATCAGGAATAGATTTCTGACGAAATGGCACAGGCCCGAGCTTTCAGTTATGAATTATATTTAGTCGCAAGCATTGCATGGCTGGGAGTTTGACCTGTCGCGTTGAAGTTCTCGAACTACATCAGCGGTTCCAATGCATACAGTAGCTAGTAGAGCTAAACACCGGGTCAAGCGGAAAGATAGCAGACAACATCGACTTGGACGTACGTACAAGAGCCCATCTGCCATATTCTGGCAGTCCAAGTTGGGACGAGAGTAGCAGACGTAGTGGACTTGAATATTCATACGACTGGATATACGCGGCACGCCAGTATTGCTTCTTGAAGTGTATCGAACAATTCTGCGAGGAAGCTCGCCTCTCAGAGGCTAGAATATCATTTTCGGGGAGACTTGAGTGGTGGTCCCCAGAGTACACGTCTGAGCGACAGCAAGAGGTTCGACTTGAGTGGAATGTGAATGCAAAGATGGTGTGAGATCACATGACATGTTGACGGCATCATATGATCAAAAAATCCGATCCCTTGCAGCTCCCAAATCATGCACATCGCTCCCAGTGCAGCGTCTCCTTGACCCGGACAGTGACCAGCCGACCACATCCATGAGACAAAGATATCGCGGATTTGCACTGTCAGCTGACTAGCTGTGGCAGCTGTGGCAGTTGATGGTATACATACCGGCTTTGCACGTTCAACTCGCGTCCAACAGTGAGCAGCGGAATGCGGACGACCTCGAACATTCTCGTCATAGCTTTCAACTATGCATGCGAGATTATGACTACCTATCCCGGCCGGACCGTTAGCGGTTGCGTCCACTCTCCGCACGAAGTGAAGAGTAAAACCTAATGTGCATTCTTTTTAGGCTTGACGGCTGCTTTATTCGTTTATCGTATCTTTCTCTACCCAACGTTTTTGTCTCCTCTCAGGAATGTACCTGGTCCTGGCCTCCAGAATCCTGTTCTGGGCCAATACCTTACCGTCATCCAAGAAGAAGTCTGCATCCCAATGCGCGAGTGGACCAAGGTGCATGGACGTACTGTTCGCTATTTTGGACTCTTTGGAAAGGAGAGAATACTTTTCATATCTCCGGAAGCGCTCCACCAGATGTTTGTTCAAGAATGGCTTTCTTATCCTCGGGTGTGTGTCCGTTCTTCAGATTGGCAAATTTTCTGAAGTTTTCAAAAGCCTGCCTTCTTACGAAACATACTGGGACTCGTTGCTGGTTATGGCTTGTTAACTGTCACTGGCGACGAGCACAAGCAACTGCGTAAAGCGATGAATCCGGCATTCTCTCTTTCTAATTTGATGGCTCGTAGGGTTTTCTATATCCTTGCTCGACAAACCCGTACTCAAATTCTATAGAAACGGAGATGTACTATGATCACATTGAAAGGCATGGTCATTCCTTGTGCCTTTCATAAATTTACTGATTCATGATATATGTAGCTTGGTCGAGATTCTCAAAGAGCAGCTCAGGAACGCATCAGGGGAACATATTGTGCCGATTTATCCCTGGGGTATGTCTCCAATTTCTAAAGACATCTTAATCTGAGCCATTGAACAGCAGGCAAACTGACTCTCGACATTATCTGTGACACAGCATTCGGTTACAAGACACGCAGTTTGCATGACACAGACAACGAACTTGCTACTGCATACCATCAGCTGGTCAGCCTCCAATCACTTCGCAACATCGCACAGCTTGCGGCTTTCATGAGCCTTCCAGGTTTTGCGAAATTCACAACGTCAGAGTGGGGTTATAGAAACCGGCGCATTTTGCGCTTCTTACCTTCTGGAGGCAGTCTAGAACTGCTCGTCGACTGCATGCACCGGATTCGCGGTATTTCTGCGCAGATGTTGCGAGAAAAAATCGTTGACTTGTCGGTGTCCCCGCACGATATCGGCACCAAGAAGGACATCATGTCTCTTTTGGTTCAGGCCCGCCAGGCTGAGCTCGAACTCAACCCAACCACGACAGACGTTATATCGGACAAAGCCATGATCGACCAGATCCTGACATTCCTCAGTGCGGGTCATGAAACTACAGCCAGCGGAATCTCATGGGTTCGTCGTATAATTGGTTGGGCTTCCGAGCTAAGATTATGACAGACTCTGTGGCTCCTCGCAAAAGACCCCGAAAGCCAGCACAGATTGCGAGAAGAGATTGCCCCAGTATATGCTGCCAACCCACGGCCGGACTACCGCACATTGAAAAGCCTGAGCTGGTTAGATTGTGTTATGTAAGAACTCCCAGCGTCCGTCTCAACCGTCGTCGTCTGCAGCTAATGAATCTTCCAAGAAATGAGAGTCTGCGCGTCTTGCCGCCGGTGCCACTGACTATTCGAGAGGCCGGTAAAACGGCCTATGTTGATGGTGTGCTAGTCCCTAAAGGGACTATAATCACTTGTCCCGTATAACATGCTAGTTATTTGGGGGGACTCTTCGTACTCAATTGGCTGCAGATTCGGGTTGTCAACACCTGGAAACACGTATGGGGCGAAGACGCGGAAGAGCAAGTAGCTGCTCCGTTGCACGGATAGCGCTGACCCAATGCAGTTTCCGGCCATCTCGGTGGTTGGAGCCCATGTCCAAAGACTACAATCCAACATACTCTCACTTCCCGTTTATCGCAGGTCCTCACGCGTGCATTGGGAAGACAATGGCGGTCAGCGAAATGAAGGCCGTGATTTTGTGAAGCAACAGGTCCTAGCTATTAGAGATTTACTGACCGTGCTCCCAGCGCTCTGATTGCCAACTTCGAATTCGAGCCAGCCTATGAAGGACAGATAGCACGCTCGGCTGCGGCGATTACCATGAGTCTGGCTATTTGTTTTTCACTTGCTGGGCGTGAAACTAATCTACGTGTAGAACCTGAGGACGGTATGCCTCTGCGTGTAACGGCTATCTGCCGCAGGGAATCGGAGTAATCATGACGGATTTTTTGACTTGGTTGTCTACTCTGCTATGTACATCATGAATGAATGTCTTGAAAATTGAACGAGTACTTTCTCGATGGCCGCTAGATGCCATCACTATCTGACTCATCAACGCGACTCGCTGACGCGTTCCGGCAATCCTTGCTTCAAAAACTGATGCCGAGTGCCAAAACCACCTCTTCCCCAACTTCAAACCTTTGACGATGTTGACCGTGTGGTTTATGGGGTTTTACTGGCTTTACCGCTCATCTCATCCCTTCCATTCAGGCTTTGCGTCGTTCTATTTCAAGTCCTCGAATATGCGTCGGACTGAGACAGACGCGAAGTTATGCTCGCAGGCCTGAACTCATAAACCGCGTGAACTCTGATAAAGCCCTCTACATTGGCGGCGGTATAGGCTTGGCAATTGGGGCATATTGGGTTTCGCAGTGCGTGAAATCCTAAGCTGCAAATTCACGACTAAATGTTCGTTTCAGCATCGAGAGCGCGCCAGAAACGAAACGCCGCCGTTTCATGTGGGTGTCTAAAGAGGAGGAGGATGAGCTGAGGAAGCAGGCATTGGAGGAAACACTGCGAGACTACCAGGACCGCATCCTGCCTGAAAACCACCCACTAACACAACAAGTCCGGCGAATCACGCGACGCATCCTCACTGCTTCAAATCTGGGCTATCTGCATGGCGATGTGCCCCAGTATGGCAGCGAGAATTTCGACCTATGGAATGGGCTGCCACACGCGGAAATACCCCAAGCCCACGACGTGTCCCCGGAAAAAGAATGGGTTGTGCTTGTCGTCAACGACCGCGATTTCGTCAACGCGTTTGCAGCGCCAGGGCTGGTCTGTGTCTCCACTGGGATCATGCCAATTGCCCAGAATGAAGAAGGGTTAGCGTCTGTCATTGGACATGGTGCGCCGTTCAAATTATTCTATCAATCCTAATGACACTCATAGAAATTGGGCATGTTGTTATGAGGCATTCGGCTGAGCATCTCTCCAAGCTCAAGCTCTTATTCCCAATTATTGGCTTCATGTGGCTCCTGGGAGTGGACCCGCTAATATCGTCTTCGCTGACGCGACTATTCTACTTCCTTCCCAATTCGAGGGCACTCGAGACAGAAGGTATACCAAAGAGCAATCGATGAAGCTTGGTTGAACTGTCTCTAGCTGATATCGTCGGACTCCGGTTGATGTCCAGAGCTTGCTACGATCCCGCTGCGGCCCCAGCGTATGTTGTCCAGCCAAACATTACTTGTGCCCAACAACATGCAGGTTTTTCGAGCGAATGCAACTGAAGGAAGGCGTCCACGTGCCTGAATTCCTCAGCACACACCCCCCGACGCCTGGACGTATTGCGGTAACCCCCCTGCTCATTTCTTCGTCACGGACTAAATCATACCCACCCAGCATCTGAGGACCTTACTCCCTGAAAACCATGACATCTATCATGTGAACCCCGAGTGCGCAAGGCTGGAGGAAATGCGGGCTCGGGGGATCATTGGCCGACAGCGCATGTTTGTCGAGTTTTGACTTTGTTGACTGTAGAGTCAGTCGTCGATTTCAGGGTTTGTTGCCTTGGCTGACACATCTCAGTTAGATTGTACACACCAGCTCAGAAGCATATAAACGTTTTTGACCAAGCTTGCGTTGTGGCGGCTCGGTCGCTGCAGCAGCCTCAAATAAGGAATTGCTCACCCTGCGAAATCCCGTGCTCGACCAAGAATAAAAAAAGTGGTTGTACTGTGGCCAAATGCCAAGCACTCTTCTTCTCAAGCTATATGCTTCAATAGTAGCTTGGCCACTGTGCCAGAGCGGCTTATATATACTTGTCGGTCCCGACTCCGACTGCAAATTCGGAGCACTGCTTCCGTTTTCGGAAGACCGTGCATTCGAGTTGGCCAGAACAAGCTGCTGGCCGGCCGATAAGAGTTGCTTGCTTAAGCTACTTTGGGTTTGATGGAAAACCCGGCATGGCCATTCTCCCAACAATGAAAGGGACGGTACTGAGGACTTGTCTGAAGGAAACAAGCGTGCATTGATCATCACCAACAGTCCAATGTCGAGGGAATTGCATCGGTGGTTTATAACAGTGATTGTGATTGGGTGATTGAACAACTTGAAGTACAGGAGTGAAGTAATGAGCGCAACCGCAGGTAGTCTACACAAGCTGCTTGACTGGACTACATAGCGTACCTACAAATCGGCGTTAGTGTGGTCACACGACACGGCGAATCAAAAACTACGCACTTCCTCGTCCACTCACGAGCGGTGGCCTCGTAGCGGGTGCGATCTGTCTTGTAAAGATGCGCAATGTCGGGGACGAGCGGGTCGTCCGGGTTGGGGTCGGTCAGCATCGAGCAAATCGACAACAGGACTGGTTGATTGGAATGCATGAGTCAGCGAATACAGCCACAGTCAGTGACAAGCGTGCCTTTCGAGATGGTCAGGGCTGGCGACCACTGGTCCCGGAGGATGTCCAGGCATATAGAGCCGTTGGCGTTGATGTTGGGGTGGTAGATCTTGGTGGTGAAGCTGACCTTGGGCGGCTTGAACGGGTAGTCGGTCGGGAAGCTGATGGAGAGGAAGAAGACCCCGCCCGCATATGGCGACTCGCCCTGTTTGTGGCGCATTAGCAATCAGTTAGAAGAAAGGAAACGAGGGTGGAGGGGCAAGCTAGATAAGCAACGCACGGGACCCATTATCGTTGCCTGCCATTGGAACATGTTCTCGCCAGTCGGGCCAGCGCTGCACGACGAGGGCGGGTCGCGGCCGAGGTCAATCAATTCCTGGTGCAATCGTCAGCGCGAGAGCTTACTCCTAGCCACAACACGAGGCCAACGATGGCAGTGGATCACGCACCTTGTTAATGCGCTTTAAGGCCATGTCGAGAGAGGAGAAAGCTAAGAGCAACGACCTGAAAATCGATGAGCAATCGCCACACAATCAAGCAAGGGCAAATGACGACAAAGAAGAACGAGCAGACCATAGTCAGGTGGGAAATGGAGTGACAAGGAAGGCCTTGGGCCGTCTACGGATGGTAGAGAAGAGACTTACGATGGAGAGGAAAGAGGCGGTGGATGGTGGAGGTCGGAGACCAAGCTGTAGCGCTGCCGTTACCCTTGTTTGTCCATGTCCGCCTACAGCTGACTAACGATGGCTGTGCCACGGTGGTAACGACTCATTCAGACTCTTCACGAATATTCTCGAAAGATACGGTTTTTTTTTTTGCATTTTTACAAACACACTGCACAGTATACGGAAAGTACAACGAGAACAAACCTCGTAACCTCGAGAAAATTAAAAGACTTTTCTCGAGGCCAGCTGTAGGATTTCTCGATAATGACTGAGACAGAGAACTGTAACCGTCAGCAGTCTTTTACTGTCTCGTCGGCCGACTCACCTAGTGCAGCAGAATGGAAAGACGCAGACGAGGCGACCTTCCCTAAACTGCTTTTAGATGAATCCAAGATCATGCATGAAATGACACATCTCCTTCCACCTTGGCATCCTCCAACCGACTGTTATCATGACATACCTTAGAGTGTCGATTCGGCGTCACTCTCGTCGTCTTCCTCGTCGTCGCTGATGATCAAGACACAGACGTCGTTTCTGCTATCGGGCCACCGGAGTTTCATAGCGGGCTCGACAACAGACTGAGGCAGTGTTTTCGAAACCAGTGTGCCAAATGTTGGGGACCCGTCCATGATCCTACCATTTTCAGTGTTGGTCTATTTGACAAAGCGAAAACACACCTGCTTTTTTCCCGCATGATACTGAGAAGCCGATCTTTCTCCTGTTTACTTTTCGCAGCCGCTAGTTGCGCCATCAACGACTTGGTCTCCGCAATATGTTCCTCCAGCTGTCGTTGCTTTGCAGCCAACTCTTCCTTGAGACCCATTGGCTTTGGGGGAGGCGCAGTTACTATGGCGTTCGGCAGCAGACTTTGAATTGTTTCGGTAATGAAAGACTCGGCCATGGCGTCCAACGAGAAAGTTGACACGCTCACGGTAGCAGACGGTGTGTTCGAATGAGAAGAACTCGAGGATGTCGATGAAGATACAGGAGGGGGAATGTCAACGGGTTGCTTTGGGAGTGCAGCCTTAAGTCTGTTCTTCTGACTCTTGAGCACGAGCTGGCGTAAGTTGTCCTCCATTGATGCTGCGTCAGGTGGAGTTGAAACAGATTCCATAGGAATCCCTTTAGCCTCAAGCTCAAGTCGGCCCTTCGCAATCCGTTCTTCGAGTTCTTTTTGCCGTGCGAGCAGTGAACGCTTGACGAAACTGGGTCCCTTTGGCGCGTTCTTCATCGCTCGGGGCTCCAATGGCGGAGTCATTGATCCACGATCGACGTTGGCGGTAGCGAGAGCAGAGCGAGACACATTGTCGTTGGGATACGATTCCAAGTGAGAGGCATCCATCTCCATATCGGTATCAACATCCATTTCTGATTTCGAGGAATAATTGGATGCGGAGGCCGGAGGAGGCGGAATGACGAATGATGGAGATTGGAATTTGGACCACTCTGCGGTTGAATGAGTTGTCCATTGGGTTGGGTCTAGTGGACGAGTAGCTGGAACAGAAGACGTCTGAGGGTTTGTTTCCCAGTCGGTAGGCCATGTCGGGGCAGGATATGGAACTGCGTCGTAATGCTGAGGAAGAGGGGGAACCGAAGATTGGGGAGATGTTGTCTCAGCCTTCAACTGGGCGATCTTGAGTGCTCTTTCTTTGGCTAATCTGGCTTTTCTCTCCTTCTTCGTCTCTGGCTTGGGCACTGGTGGTTGTGGGGGAGCACTAGCTTCGCGAATCTCTTCTTCGTCACCTTCTATTTCACCTTCCTCCAACTCACCCACGCCAGCTCCAACACCTTCTACGCGGTACCACCATGCTCGAATCAAGTCTGCGCGGGGTTTGCCCTTTATGGGTTGACCAGGAGGACTGATTTTCGGACTGGACCATGCCTTTCTTGCCAACTCAGCAGTCGCAAACTCGACAAGAGCCTTTCCCGACTGTGGATCCACAGCGAAGTAAACGGGATGGGCTCCACATGCGCCTTTGCTCCATGTTCTGACAAAGTCTTTGGATCGGTGAGTTTTTGGAAGCTGTTCCATGACCAGGGTGCGAGCAGGGTTGGGGATGTATTGATTTGAGGTCGCATGTTGTTGTGTGATGGAGGTGATGGTGACAGGCGAGTAGATGAAGGTTCCATGTTTGCTGTTCTTATCGAGGTCTGGTTTCATGCCAATTGTAAGGGATGCTGGCTTTTTGACCGGTGCTTTCGGAGGCTGGTTTGTGGGTGCGGGGACCGGAGAGGGAGGCGGCGAGACCGGGGGAAGGGAAGACGCTAGAATTGGGAGCTGGGGTAAGACGTGGGGTAGATTTGGCGAATGTTGTTGGTGTAGATTGGAAGGGCCGGCTACAGGACCCCAACCGTGTCCGCCTTCCATTCGTGGGGGGACAGTGTCACGAAATGGCGGAAGCGACGGCATAAACTGCATCGCAAAATCGACAGGAGACGGAATCCAGGGTGCAGGGGACTGTAGAAACGGGACAAGGGAGAACGGGGGAGGCTGAGAATAAGCTTGGCTCCTAGCCATGGCCTTCTCGAGCTTCCGTCGCCGCTTTCTCGCTTTCTTCGACTCCAGTGGCCATCTGGGATCAACAACGTCTTCCCGCTTTCGCTTTTGAACACGCAGGACTAAAGGGTGTGTGAACAAACCTGCGAAGAAAGGAACGAAAGTTTGCGTACTTGGCGGGACACTCGGTGCAGGAAGGGGGGGAAAGCTTGCAGGTGGCAGAGGCACCAGAGGTGGTGCGCCATCCTCGCTTTCGTCGTCCGAAATGTAGATGGGAGAGTGTTTCGAGCCGTGGCCGACCATGGTCAAGAGAAAGGAGTGTGATTGGTCACGAGATCAGATCACTCAGACGTTGGTCAGAATTGTCTCAAGTATCAAATGCGATGTAATAAAATGTTCAACACAATTTACTTCTGGTTCGAGTCCTCGAGCCCATCATCTACCTTGACCAATTCCCATAAATCCTCCTCACTCCAAGTTTCGTCGTCGCCTCTTGATTCCTTCACAAAAACCTACGAGTGATCATGGGCACCCCCCCATTCAACAGGAGATGATTTACTCACGGTTGGCACTGCAGCTAAGGGGTCTAAACTCCAGATGCCTCGCTCAGCAAGACAGATCTACGTATGTTTATTCGAGTGGACTCATTGCCAGTGTTTGTGATCACATACCACCACTGCGTCGGAACGTCCAACGCTCTTGAAGCTGTATCTGGCAGCCAGGCCCGGGAAGAGTGTAACGGCATTCTGTGACGACTGAGAACGAGAACAACATCCCATGATTTCAAAGGACCTACATCAGATAGGACATTGGTTGGCAGATTGAATAATTGACTCCAGATTTCGTACGTATCAGGCTCGTACTCGGAAGGTCGAATATTCCACTGAGCAGAGAATTATTAATCAATATTCGAGCTCAAATTCGAAGTACTAACCAGTGCGGTGGCAACAGGCCCGTCCTCGTCCTCGTCTTCTTCGGGCGAGTATATGCCGTCCCCGATACTAAGCGAACGCACAGCCCTTCCCGTCCCTTTTATTGACGATTTTGTGTAAACCGTTTGTCTTCACCTGATTGTTGGACAATGCCGTGAACTTAGGGAGGAATAATGGTGAGGAAGCTTTGATCTCTCTGAACCGCCACAGCTGGCCCGAAGAGATCTCAGTACGGTTGACCACCTCCGAATGAACCTAATAAGTAGATGTTATCCATGGACCCACAGATATGTTAAAATGCTAACGAAGTTGCCATGAAGAGACCAAACTTGGGATTCGTTGCCGATGGCTTTGATCTACCCAATTGTCAAACAAACCAGATCACTTGACGCACGGAAAAAAATACCAAAAAAGCGTCATCAACTGCCTCGAACGCGTATATAGCTGCGACATATTCCGACACCACAATGTGATTCTGGTCAAGTTGCAAATCAGCTGCGACAACACAAAAGACGGTATGCACACATTCTCGTTGACGGCGGTTGGCAAGTTCTGTTGCTTGTTCTGAATAACATATCGATTGTCGCCCATTCGATGGACAGTCCACTAAAAAGTGTAACTTTACTTATTTGCCTTGCACCAAATATACTGCGCCACGCACCTGAGCGTATGGACCCGGGTCAGGATCATGCTTATAGACTTTCTCTGGCACATAAAGCGGAACGCTGGGCATGAATGACCTTGCCGTTGTGCCCAGTTTGACATTGAGAATTTCGTAATCGCCGCTCTGAGGACCATGGAACTTGTTGGCCTGTTGATTCCCATCAAGCTCGAGATCAGGGTAGGGGAAAGAATGTGCGACTTGGTTGGGCGTAGCGAGCGATACCTGCAAGGCGGACGGCGCCGCCTGAATTAACAGTGCCCCAATAAAAGCGGAGTAAACGGTGAGCTTGGCTAGCATCATGAACGATGGGTCGTTGCTGCCTATGCAGAATGCCTTTTATACCTGTTGTCCATAGGCATTAGTGCGTAAAGTTGGATCGGCACCGCTGAAAGAGCATCATCGCATTTGCTTTGGAGCCGAGTATTGTTGGACCCAAGTATGGAGTAGTGGATAAGTTCTGGGGGCCATTTATGAGTCGTTGAAGCGAGAAGACTACAGAGCACATTGTCAATATATCTTTTGCATGTTAGTGCCTGGCCCGTGAACTAGTACTGAGAATCAGGGGATACGGTCGGTTCAAAAGGGTGTCGCCCGTGCTCGTTCCTTGGTTGTATGTCGGGATACCAAGCTCCACAGCCCACCCTATCGTCGACAACGACCCAGAAGGCGCGCTATCTATGCTCCGCACCTGAAGTCCATCCTCTTGCTGGATGGATTGTCACCTGGGAGGCTCTTTGGTGCAAGTTAGCCGAATATGCTTTGGTTCGATGCCAAGGTGGGTCTGGGCCTGGTATACAGTGTGCGCCGTAGCAAGCAAATCAACTTCTGAATCGTTCAGCGTCGCATTGACCTCAAGTTCCAGTGGGCACACTGGCACATCGTAAGGACAATACTAGCCGGCAGAACCGGAAGGTCAGACCGTGAAACGGTTAGCAACCGGGCTCACAGTACATTCGGAGGGGAGCGGAACCGGTCAAGAGTCAACTCGAGGCACGTGACGGTTTTCCGTTTATGGACTGAGAGCGCGGTTGTTCCCTTTGCACGCGAACCACGTCTTTTCTCTCTTCCCTTTCGTCTTTCCACCGCAAAAGCCGGATGTCTACTCACCGCCCAGCCGGAGAGAGCAACACCAGATAATTCCACCATTTGAGATTTCGAGTCGTTTGTGATTTTCGCAACACATGGCAAACACACAGGCTCGCAGTAAAGACTGACAGGAACTAGAGCACAAATGGTATTTATCAACGCAGCTTATGTCTACAGAATTCCCACTTCAGAACAAGGGCTTGCTGCACCTCTATATCAAGATCCTGTCAACGGACCCACACCCCAATACAACAACCTCCCTTCTTCCTCCACAACCCAACTCGAAGGCATCCCAACCATGAAGACTTTTCTCGACCTTCCACAAGATATTCTTCTCCACACACTCACAATGTTCTGTAACGATTGGGACCGAGCTCGTATTTCGAAAGTTTCCCGTCAACTACGGACACTCGTTAAGCCAGCAATCTTCCGTCGTGTTACTTGGAGCCCCCATTATCACCCCGAGCGTGGATTCGTGCCGGAGGAGCTGTTTTCTTACATCCGGTAAGACATTTGACCTTCCTCGGTCATTTATGGCCACTTATCTTCGCACAGGCGCTTAATAGTAGACGATAAATATGGGCGCACCCCGCCAGCTGATATCGCCTCAGAGCTCCGAAAGAATCTGGCCCGCTTTCCCGTCCTCGATCTGTTGGCCTTCAAGTCTGTCGATATGTCTGACGAATTGATGGAAGCCTTGCGGACCGCCCCGGCGTTGACGAAAATTACCCTTGTGATGCCACAACCAGGGCGTTCCATACTCCCGCCGCGTTTAGCACCCAATCTGAGTGCACCTGCCTTAAAGAAAGTGGTTCTTCGTACATCACTTAGAGTCGCTAATTACAACTATGGTCTCACACGCAGAGAACGGAAGCATGTCGAACTTGAAGCGGGAAACTTCTCTTGCGTCTTCGCTGCGGCCCACACAACGCTCGAAACCCTGATTATGCTTGGAGAGCATCTATTCATTGCCTTTGATCCCACTCTCGACTGGGGAAATCTACGCGAGCTGCATGTACAAGGATTTTGGCCCATTCTCCCGGAAGGGTCTCAACAGGCGAAGATGCGGGACATTCTTGAGGCGCTCCCGCTCCTAGCCGTGCTCAAACTCAATCTTACCGTTCCAAAAGACGAGTCCGAAGCATCGACCTGTGCCATTTCGGAAGACCATTTGCCCCGCAACCCCGCGACTTTTCTCTCCCGTCTCCGCCACTTCGAACTGGCATCGTTGTCCCCATCTGAACGCATCCTCTCCTTCCTGCCTGAGGACATACAAACACTTACCCTCACCCGGTTCCCCCTCCAGGCCGCCGCCCTCAACACCCGGCAGTCCATTCTGACCACCGACGTTCTTCACCAGTTTCTTAAGCCGCTGCAATTTCCTCGTCTCACATCGTTGACCGTGTGGTATCACATCGACTCGCCTGCTGCGCTGGAAGACGAGGATGCGCTCTTATCCGACCTTGCAAGCAAATTCCCCTTGCTCCAACATCTCGAAATCCATCGGCGCTGGAGTCATTACAATGAGCTTCTGGAAGACCGCTGGGACCCCGTCGTGAGTGTAGTCAAATTCTCGAGTTTGTTTTCTTACCAAGTACTGCTGCAGCGTCCATTACGGGAATTGCTCTCCAAATTGCCGCGACTCGAACGCTGCTCGATAGACGTGGACCATCCAGATAGATATGGCCAGCGCGCCTTCCATGCTGGTGTCGACAGGTGGGGCAGCGACCAACGTGAGTGCGAAGACCACGAAAAGCGTCTGCGTCTGCTGGCCATGGACATCGTCGCCTCGTGCCCGCCGCTCCGCCACTTGTCGATGTATCGAGAAATGTCGTACAGCGCCATTACCTACTGGGCGGCCTGGTTTGTGATCTGGGCAGCGGATGGGTCGTTCACGCTTGCACCGGAAAGCGACCGGTATACCGATTGGCTTGACAACAGCACGGATATGTGTTACAGCTACACTGATGTCTAGGAGGGCATGGTGGATGAAGAATTGTTGAGGTTTCATCGGGGTTTTAACCGCCTTTAGGGCTCCAACCTTTTTGTTTCCGTTTGTGGGTTGAGACAAATCAAACAGAAAGGAACAAACATTTTAAAATATTTTAAATAGTTTTAATACAGTTTAAAAATCATTAATATATTTTTGTCTTCCTCATATGTAGAAAATGACAGAAATATGATATAATTATTATGTTGCTATGGCTGCAGGATGATAAATTATTCTAGGATAGTATTTCTGTGGTCTAGAGACATGAAATCACTGTGAAATTCCTTATAATAGACAATCATCAGTATTAATTCAGACATGCTGACATGCTGACTAATGCCATTGATATCTCTATTCCTAAAACCATATTCAGGTGAATCATTACTGAAACTAAGAATAGTTTCTTGAATTTAGAGAGCAGGTAAATTGCTAATGACTAAGTCATTAACTTTTGTTATAGTATAAATGTCTAATATATGTACTTATTGCATACAACTACCAAATGGGACAATTCAAGAGGGAACACAGGATATCTATACATATACATTTAGCGATGGCCAAGTCCGGTTCGGTCCGGTTCTTGGCCATTTTTGGCCGAACGCCGGACCGCCGGTTCGGTTCAAAATCGGATTTGGCCGAACGTGAACGCCGAACGGCGGTTCGAACCGGCCCCGAACCGGCACTTTTTAGCCCAAAATAGCCGAGGGCCAGGTTCGGTTCCGAAACGGCATTCGCCGAACCTGAACGCCGAACGCGCGTTCAGTCCGGTCCGGTTCGGGTTCGAACCGAAATCCCGAACCGGACCTGGCCATCGCTACATACATTGGATATTTTCTAATCATATTATCATGATTATTATTTAGTATTGAGTAACCTTTTAAACCTTTTGTTTTCTTTTATTTACCATTTGCTCAACCCTACAAATAAAACGGAAATAAAAAGGGTTAAAACCGTTTATAAAGTTTGTCAAACGGAAAGTGTTGGAGCCTTAACCGCCTTGCCATTTCACTTTGTGCAACTTTCAAGTTGATCCCCCAAGTTGCTTCGTTTGGTTCAATTCCGAGTAAATTGCTCGAGAGTAAGTCCTTATTGGTGTAACTTCAGCACAACTTTGTGCATACATACACGTATATGAAATATCAAAATTTTATATATATGTAATATGTTCGTTGTAAACCATCATATCATGTACAAGGTTCAAGACATGGACATGGACAGGTAATTGTCATGTTTGCTGTCTCTCGGACTCTCTCCAAGTTGAATTCAAGTTGCACTCGGCAAAGTGTTGCTGCATGTCTTGCACTGCGTTGAGCGCGTGCCCGCCGCTCGTTTCACTCCTCCCATCGCCTGGGAGGCGAGTATGCTGTCAGTGCATCCCGATATCGAGCTCAATGTCGACAATGTCCGTGTCCTTACAGCGGCGTTGCTTCAACTTCCCTATACCACAGCATCCCTCACGCTCGTCGACTATGGCAAGCTCGCTGGCCAAGGCTTGGGAGCTCTTTCATGCACTCGCCCATCGGAACTTCCCTAATGCTGACGCGAGGGAATGTGAACACAAAGTCGAGCGAATGGGAACCACTGCTATCTGGGAAACGTCGCCGTTTATGGCTCTCGGGCTTCTCGAAAACACGTCTGTCGCCCACACGGCCAAACACGACCTCGAGTCCTTCTTTTGGGTGCTGCTCTGGTGTGTGCTTCGCTACACGCCACATGGAGCCCTCGCCTGCGATGAAGTCTTCGGCGGTGATGCAACGAAAAAATCGCTCATACTATCCACCCGTACCTTCCCAGTCCACGTCCCGGAAGGCACCCAGTCCGCACTTCACGTCCTCGGTAGACTGATGAAGCAGATGGTCAAGGCGCAGAATCCTCCACCGGCCGAAACGCTAGATATGCCGGCTGAATTTCACGTTGTATTTCCGGAATTTACTCCACCCGGCGATTTACCTAAAGACATGAACTATAGTCGCGTTCAGACATTATTTGCTATGACACTCGCTCGAACGGATGGTTGGCCGGAGAATGATGATGCTGCAATCTCGTTCCGCGATTTGGAGGCACAGTCACGTCTCAGATAGAGCCACAAAAGAAGAGGTTCAAGACAAGTCACCCAACAACTTCCGGTGCCGGTGGTTCGAGTGCAAAGGGTAGCCGTCGTAGGAGTAGTCTCCAGTAAAGGTTGTTGCACTCCCATATATGTACATGAATTCAGGTGTTGAATCCGAATGATCCCATTGTCACCACCATCAAATCATGAAACCAGCGCGACCTTTTCCTCTCCCTCTGTTCCTTACACTGCATTTCACATTTTATTCATACTCGTCCTTACTGTGCTCGTAGTTTCATCATGTCTCCAGTAATTAGGCCTCAGGCCTGTTTCGCTGTCCATTTGGCAGACCCTTCCAAAGCAGTGCTGTGGCGGCTTTGTTACCCACAGTGCCCAGGCACTTCAGATCCAATCAATTGATTGTGCCCAAGATTTGTTATGGATTTAAACTGAGAATGAACTGTATGTTTTACCTAATACTATAGGGCTCATTGGCAACTCTTAGAAAACGCTCGGTGACCGTTTTTCTGGCCCTCTGATTGGCTGAGGCCATAAGCGAGGCTAAGCGAGCAATTTTTGGGAGCTGTCCACAATCTCTAATCAGACTTGCCCTGTTCGGCCGCCAGTGGTTGCTGACCTAAGCCAACTTAGTTTTCAAGCTTGCTTGCCTTGCCAACCAAAAAAACTATACAATGGCCATATCTAGCGCGTATTTGAAAGAAAACTAATGCTAATCTACAGTGGGTTTTGCCGGAGAGGCTAGATATCTTATAAGGCCCCGTCAAGTAAAATGACGCATGAAGGAAAAACGAAGAATCCATCCCACCACTCAATCCCACGACGGCGACGACTGATACGCATGACTTCGCCCGTTCGTTCCCGGTGCCCCTTGGCTGGGGCTCGAAGGGGACCACGACGGAGATGTCGGACTGTACGCTGGAGAGGCCGGCGCTGAAGAAAGATATGTTAGAAGTGGATGGAATAATTGCAGAGCACGACTTACAATAAGCGGGCGCTGAGAGGCAGACGTAGATGAGTAACGGAAACAAAGCAAAAGATAGAAACCTACAAGCTGGCGAGTACGTCGGGGAAGTGGGAGCTGTTGAGAGGTTAGTGGCGATCAGTGATGGAAGACAACGACAGACAGTATTTGGGCGACGAGGGTGAAGCCATGGGGGATGTGGGAGAATACTTCGGTGAGGTTGGCGACAACTGCGCTGGAGCTGCAATTCCAAGTTAATGATGCCGAAAAAGGAAAGAAAGAATTTCACGTACAAGCTGGATAAACAGGAAGAAAAGGGGGCAAAGCGGTCAGCGCAAGAACGGCAAGAAAACAGAAGCGACTTGCTTGGCGAATCTGAGGTCAAGTAAGCCATCAAGTTCAAACACAGCACTGAAAATACTCACACCGTGGAGAAGCCGGACTGAACGAGGGACTCGTTGGCGAATAGCGAGGTGAAGTAGGACTAAACGACGGCGATTGCGGGCTGTAGCGCGGGGAAGTCGGAGAGAAGGACGGGCTGGTTGGGGAGTATCGCGGACTGGCAGGAGAATATCCCGGTGAGGTTAATATCATTGGTGATGTTGGTGAGTAAGTTGGCGAGGTGGGAGCACGACCACGGTCATAGAACGGTGATGTTGCATAGGGAGAGGTGCCGAATGGCGACGTCGCAGCCCCAAACGGCGACTGTGGAACATAGGCAGGTGAGGTTGGAGAATACATATTGGGGGAGCTCGGGCTATAGGTCGGTCCAGGCGACATCGCATCAGACCGAGTTGGTGTTTGACCCCAGCCAGGCTGGAACGAAGTAAAGTTGGGACCGTCGTCTCCACCGTTCACTGCCAAAGGCGAGAAAGCGGCCTGATCAGCCTTGAAGCTTGACCCCGCTTGCCACATGGGTGTGTTGCTATCATATGGGGTCATCGCAACTTGTCCAGGAGTCATTCCGCCATCGATTTGAGCCGCCAACATATGTTGAACTGGGACCCGATGATCGACAATCGCATCCTTCAGCATGTCGATATCCAACGCAACCTCGAAAGCGCCTGTGCCCATTGGCGCCATTTGGCCAAACATAACGTTCTCCGCAATGCCATGGCAGTCGTCCTTCTCACCCACCGCTGCAGCCTCCATCAGGATTTCAACCGTTTCCTCAAATGAGCATCTCATCAAGGCCCCCGTATCTGCTCGATTAATCCCGTGACGCGTAATTGCCATTAGGGACCCTCGGTGGGTCATCAAGTCGCAAAGAATCGCCAGATGTCGGTAGTTGACGTAGGAACCATCGAACTCGATAACACCACGAAGCTCCTTTAGGATAGCCGCACGAGCGGCTTCAATACCCAACACATTGAAAATTTCAACGCAGTTGTTGGAGTATGTGCGCTTGAAGTCAACACCGTCGATGCACAACACCGTCTTGAGGTTAACACCGTCCGTCTCCAAAACCCATTCCTCTCGCTTCCGAAGAGCGATCCTGCCATCGTCTTCTGTCACCACCTTGTCGTGCTCAACCAAAAACACCTTGCGAATGTCTTTCACACCTCGCAAGCTGACGGAGTTCAACATCGTGTTCTCGAGCTGACGCAAGAAGATATCCTCCTCGACGTTGTCGTCGTCGTCCTTGTCCCCTCCGCCAAGCACTCGACACCGAATGACAAGCTTATCCGAGTTGTCTTCGCTCCAGATGACGAATAGGTCCGTTTTGAAACTTTCGGCAATCCGGCTTGCAACATAGTGCATCGTGAGTTTGCCGACCATCTTGTTCCGGTTGAGCTCGAGACGAAGGAGCCAAGGAGACTGCAAATGCAGTTTGTTCTCGACCTCCTCATCCGGAATAGCAAAGAAATCTTCAACGAAACCTTGATCCTCCTCGATGATTGTCGAGGTGGGATCAGGATCATAGTAGATCTCCACCGCAGAGGTGATTGTTCGCAAGGACGTATATTCGAGTTCATGAGCGACAGTCAAGGCAAGATTGCGGTTGACCGAGAGATGCGGTTGGAGGTAGACAGTGAGGGAAGGCGTCTTGATGTTGGCGGCGACATTAATGATTTCCTTTAGACGAGGGACACCGAGCGTCACGTTTTTGCTAGAAACACCAGCATAATGGAATGTGTTGAGCGTCATTTGTGTCGCAGGTTCTCCAATCGATTGTGCGGCCAGAGTACCACACATTTCACCGGGGTTGACGATGGCCTGGTTGAATTTAGACTCTACTTCACCCAACACCCAATCGAACGCCTCTCGAGTCAGATGGAACCGTTCGAGGACACGACGTGTTGCAAAGGTTGACCGAAGGTGCATTTGGAATCGCAAGACAGCATCTCCATTAGCAATTGCGCTCATCGGATCATTTCCACGAACGACCACAAGTCGTTCGCCCAATTCCCTGACTGCATCAATTATGTATGCTGGCTCGAGGTCACTGGGTTGGCGGCGATCGATACGGAAAATTTGGGTGGCATTTTGGATAATGCGCTGCATGTTGACAGGAAGATAGAAGTTGGTCGTGTTGTCGGCACGGGGGAAGATGAAGGTTCGCAGCAGGTTGCGGTCGTCGGAGAGTTGTGTGTATTCCTCGTCCAGTTTGGCCTGTAATTCCAACGAGCTGTCATCCAGGCCGAGTTGGAGAACACCAGGCATGAAACCACCCTTCTCGTCTGTCACATCCACTCGGTAGTTGTGGCGGAATTGTTCGTCGTTCATAGCGAAGGTCGCGATGTCCTGCTTTTCAATGAAAGCACCATCCATACCATCCTCACCGTAGACGAATTGGATCAAGTCGCCAAGGGAGTTCCGGACCGTGCCATCGTAGCAAACCATCACGTCCTCCAGTGCCTTCACCAATCGCCGTTGGATGTAACCCGTCTCTGCTGTCTTGATGGCTGTATCAATCAAACCTTCACGACCAGCCATAGCATGGAAGAAGAACTCCTGGGGCGTTAAGCCACGCAGATATGAGTTTTCCACGAAACCGCGAGCCTCTGGACTAAAATCGTCCTTGGTGAAATGTGGCAAGGTTCGGTGCTTGAAACCAAAAGGAATCCGTCGACCTTCGACCGATTGCTGCCCAACACAGACCGACATCTGCGAAATGTTGATGAAGGAACCCTTGGAACCCGCCACCACCATCTGCTTCACATTGTTGTCTTCCTTCAAGTTCTTCTGTGCGAATTGACCTGAGTCGTCACGAGCCAGATTGAGTTGTCGCTCGACCAGACTTTCGAAGGACTCTCGAATCGTCATACCAGGGGCAGCTTTTAGCCGGTCGTGTGTGGCATCTTCGATGATGTTCACGACATTGGTTTTGCACTCCGCAATCTTTTTCGTGATGAACTCCATCGTTCCTTTGTCGGCGATGGTGTCACCAATACCGATGCTAAAGCCGTTGTGAAACAGCCAGTAGTTGACCACCATCTGTAGACCAGTGAACAGCTGCCGAGTCGCCTCTGGCCCTTTCTCTCGGAATACTACGTGCACGAGACCACCCTGCGAGGCACCGACAGTCTTTTTCTCCACGGTTCCGAAGATGATCTCGCCGTTTTCAATCAACATGCCATCGTCGAACACGGGGTTGTTGCTCTTGTCTTCAGCGCCACGCAGGATGTTGATGCCGCGAGGAATGACCATACTAAGAATCTGCTTGCCGGACCAGAGAGGTTTAGGCTTGAGGATTGCAGGAGTTGGAACTAGTCCGTCCCAATCAGGAACCCAGAGCAAGATGTTTTGAACTTGGTTCCAGTCAAGGAAGGTATCGCGGAGGGTGAACTTGCGAATGCCGCAAAGCGTGTCTTGGACAATACCCATGACTGGCTTATTGGCTTGAGGAGAAATGATCTATGAATGAAAGATGAGCCTCTGCGTTGGAAGAAACGATAATTCGAACCTGGCGTGGAACCCATGCTATTTGACTGAGCTCTGCCCGCGTCTCTTCGCTCTGAGGCACACTGAATGATTATCAGTCGTGGACGAGGATCAACGTTGGTATACGTACTGCATGTTCATCTCGTCTCCATCGAAGTCGGCGTTGTAAGGAGGTGTGCTGGATTTCTGGGTAAGAGATGTCGAACGACATCACCAATAACTTACACGGAAAGGTTCAGACGGAAGGCTAGAACAATGAGCTGGAATTGACGAAGCAGATCAACAACTTACTGGAATATGGCATCAACTTCACTCGATGACTCATCATACTCATTTTGTGCAGACTAGGCTGACGGTTGAAGAGAACAAAGCTGGCCGAAAGATCAGTAAGAAGTTGAGAGGTTCAAAAACAACAACTCACTCGCCGTCCTTCAGATGACGTTCTACAACCCATCCATATTGAAGGAAAGCATCCGCCCGTTTATTGTATCTCAAGTCAATTCGTTCACCAGTATCCCGTACGACATAGCGAGCACCAGGGTACGCTGTCGGACCATTACGAACGAGCTCTTGCAGATAACTGATGTTGTACGGCGTTACTGAACGAACGATAAGAAACAAAAATGCAATCATTAGTGACACCTACCTCGTTCAGGATACGTCAAGTTCATGGCGATACTTCGGGGCACGCCAACCTCGTCCAATTCGAGATTCGGGTCACCGGTAATAACGGTCCGCGCAGAGAAATCGACCCGCTTGCCCATCAAATTACCCCGCAGACGACCTTCTTTTCCCTTTAATCGAGCACGAATTGATTTGACGGGGCGCCCTGATTTTTGCAACGCTTGGGGAATGCCAGCAATATCGTTGTCCATATAAGTCGCGACGTGGAACTGCGCAAGTAAAGGTAAGAAAGAGTGGGATATTTAGATGGAAAAACGGACCTGAAGCAGTTGCTCAAACTCGGAGATGACATGAGCGGGAGTCCCTTCATTTTCACATCTCCGAACATTGGCGGACGCTTTGATAATGTCTCCTAGCTTGTAAGTCAAGTCATCCTCACTCCTCATGGCGCCACCATCGACAGCAATACTAGGTCGGACTGGAGGTGGTGGAACAGGCAGGACGGTGAGGATCATCCATTCTGGACGAGCATACTCGTCTGAGAGCCCGAGTAGATGAAGATCGTCATCAGAAATCTTTTTGAAGGTCGTATAAATATCTGAGGGGTTGAAAAGACGTTTGTCGGGTTGTGAAGATTTCATTTCCTGTGAAAAGATAAAATGTTTTGGGTGGGAATAATGGAAAGACAATGGCCTACATCATCTTCATCCTTGGGCTTCTTGTATTGTGCGAAAAGTTTAAGCCCTTCTTTACGGATCGCGGGTTGCTGATAGCCACATCCTCCATGACCCTTCTTAGGTTCCTCTGTCTCCCCTTCTGCTGCTTCGTCCTTTGGATCGTCGGTCTCGCAGACCGTCTTGGACTTGCAGTGTCCCCAGACAGTAGCCATCCGACGTTTTGGATCGCGAATGTGACGAATCTTGTCCGCGAAAGTTGGGTCCGACTTACGTATGTGAATTATGTTGTTAGCAAACGATTCTTCATTCAAAACGGAAGGATCACACAAGCACGACAAGGAGGATAAGAGCAAGCCAATGAAGACACCAGACACGTTGCTCACGCTGCGTCACAGCAGAGAACGGTCGGCCATGACGATCCATAAAAGAACCGCATGCATGCTTTTCACACTCCTCGTTCGGCCCCCCATTTCACCACGCAACATCGGGTCCACTGGTCACCAGACTTGTAACGCGGCGATCAAGCGACCGAAAACGCGCGGAACAAGAATGGGCAGCAGAGCGCCTCGATTCTCGAGAAACGACCGAGTTCCGGGTTTGGGGTTCACCACGATGTGGAGAGAGCCCCCAGAAAATTGGGAGGTGGGGGTGCGAAACGAGTAGAGGAAATGAAGGCGCAACTCACGATATCAGCCTTCAATTTCCCGCAGTTGATGCAGATACACTCCAATATCTTCTTAACCTTCAAAATGAAACCTACGAGCAATGAGAGACCTGAGCCGCCATGATTTATTAACACACCTGGATGGAAGACAGGACGCGCAAGCTCAATGTGGCCGAAATGACCTGGACACTCTGACATCCCCTCGCCACACGTTTGACACTTGAAATTACGGTCGATGGTTCCCATGCGAGGGTCCATAAGACCTCCCATTTTGGGCTTGTGAGTTGTTTCGTCCATAACTTCTGGGTGCTCTATCTTCGCCACAGAGTATGCTTTCTTTCGAGGTGTCAGTTGGAGTCATTGTCCGAAAAAACAAAGACGCACGATTTCCTCTGGTGAGAGGATACCAAACTGCACCTCTTTGACCTTGCGAACGGGAGCCGCCGAATAGGCGAACTGGTGACCGAGCATAATGCAGACAGTAGGCGAGGGATGTCGGGACGGAAAGACTGTTTAGGGCCGCAGGAAAACGGCTAAAAACTCGTGAAAAACCGTGCAAGGGATGTATTAGAGGGGTATAGAGGTGTTGGGCGAGCCACAGATGAGTTCTGGGGCAGTTTTGGATGGATATGGGGGAGAAGGGAATTCGGCGAATTGAGGGATAAAGGGCGGGGAAAGGCGATAATGCAGGCGTCAGCAAAGACGACAGGTGCAAACCGACAACTGAGACGCGTTCGGCGGTGTGTATGAGGAATGAGGGCTGCGAGACGGCAGTCGTTGTGTTGGCTCCCACCAACGAGTAAACGGTCACAGTCACACCTGAGGCTTTCAGATCAACAACGGTGCCGACCCTTGTGTTGACTCGATCTATCAGGATGCCCTTCCGCTGCCCTCTCACCCTCGCATGTTCTCAAAGTGCGCCTAGCTCAGCTTCTGGCTTCACGACTTCTCAATTCTGTTTTCAGTTTAGATAACTCGATATTGAGGGAAATATGCAAACACCTTCACCCCGGCGATAGCGTTGCCATCTTACAGACTTGCAAACGCCTCAGCGAGATTGCGCTGCGTAAACTTTTGAGCGAGGATGGCATTGTCGATCCGGCGGACGAGTGCATAGTTCACTTGGACGGCGCATCGAAGGAAGACATTCACAACACACTCTCTTTACTCAACATTGCCACACTGTCGTTCTTCTCATCAACCAAAAAGTTATTGCTCGTATTCTTGAACTCGGACCTGGCTTGCTGTATCCGCGACATGAATAGGGCTGAAAGGCTTGTAGAAAATCTCGCTCATCTGCCCAACGTTGAGATTGAGTTGCGAGGCTCCATCCGCAAGAAAAAACCCACCAAATCAAAGAGCGTACAACAGGAATCGGATGATTCCTTCACGCGACTGTGGCTTGCGGTCATGCGAAACCGTTCAGTGATCGCCTTCGCAATGATATGTGGACATCACTTCTACTCGACTTACTTGCTCTATTCAACCTCGACTCTCGTCCGTCGCGAAACGCTTCGTCCGACACCTAGAAAAGTTAGCCAGGGATTCTCAACTCGGAGGCTGTTCTCTGTGTCATCTTCCCTCAAATCTTTACGAATCAGCGGTTCTCTACTCCTACACCCTAATTTCCAGCCATTGTGGGCGGTAACCCTCCGGAAGATCTCTCTCGACTCTCTCGAGTTCCACTCTATCCCTGTCAGTGAGCGAGTCTATGACATCGCTGCCAATGTCCCCTGTCTTCGCAGACTTTCGGTGCTGGACTCAGAGTTGGACTCTGCCGTTCTTCTCAGATTGCTGGCTGCACTACCGCAGCTTGTTGAAGTTGTCATCGAATCTCGTATCGCTCAGCAAAGTCACCATATTTCCCACCTTATCGACATCCCCAAACTTATAAATGTGAAGCACCTGGCAGCGTCGTCTGAATACATTGCAGTATTCCTTCGTCAGGATCGGTTTTTACCCGCCGGAGAAAATGTGGAAATAACAATACCTATGTCTGAGCTGACCACGCCTACCATCCTGGCAGCATTGGCGCCAATCGAACGTCACCAAATGCCCCGTCTCTCCCTTCGCGTCAACAACTTCGATATAAACAAGGGCGCCGTTTTATTCATGGAGGAGTCTATTGATTTGTCATTGGCTATGTGGGACGCGTGGAACAAGGTTTTTGGTCGAATGAAACAAGTCACGATCGTTGGCCCAGACGCTACTGGTTTGGAGAACCACGCTGTCTTCTCTCGCTGGCTCAGAGCCTTCGCGCAAGTCGAGCGGGTCATTTGGGGCTCGTCGTCCTCGACAGTTATGTCACATGTTCTCAGTCGGGAAGGGATCTACCAACCAAAGTTGATGATAAGCGCCAGTGTTCAATCTCAGTCATCCACATTACTGAACCTTCCGGACGAGTTGCTCCTCGAGATCTTCAACCTTATTCCGGATGCGTTGTTTGCGGTTGGACTCGTTTGTCGTCGACTGAACACCATCGTGCTGCCCATCCATCTTGTCTCGCAAAAAATATACGACCCAGCGACGGGAGAGTGTTTCATCAAACTTTCCAACCATCCCAAGGCGAAAGATGTCCTTGCGTCTTTGGCCATTGCCGTCCATCTCCGGGAATTCAAAGCCTTGCATGTCTCGATACCTCAAACTCCATGTTTCTACCCCGCTATCAATCACCTGCGCCGTTTAATCGACCTTGTCGCTGAAATCGAAAGTGTACAAAGTGTTTCCCTCTTTATAGCCAGCCCAAGCCCAAGCTCTGAAGGCAAGCATCATGTCCATCTACAAGACCGCTGGCTATCCTTGTTCAAACAGCTGCTGGACACGATCGTGAGCAAACCCAGTCGTATGTCACTCAATATCGATGGCTCGCCATTTCCACTTCCTGCCAAGTCTGTCGGTGGATGAAACAACTCATTTGGAACGTTCACCAATTTTGTTCCGCTCAAACTGACGAACCGGTTCATTCCCAATCCCCTCCGAGTCGACGCTTTCTCTGACAAACAAATGTTGCAAGTCGGCTTCGGTCCTCTGAGCTTCCCTTGCGGCTAGATCTCGATTTGGGCTCGTCGAAATTGTATCAGCTTTACTGTGACGTCTTCTTCTAAGCTCAGTAAATCGCTCCGATTTCCCGACAATTATCCAAAGCCAGTTCATTTGGTCATGGCCACGATGGAGACATGTTCGTGCCTTGCTTGATTTCTTGCCGATCATGGGTCCGTATATCACTCGACGGTCAATCTAGAGGCTTATCTCTCCCTGTTCCATTTTTACCTCAGCTCCGCTGCCGTTTCTGCTCAAATTTCCCATCTCCGCAACATTGGCCACCAAGCCTCGGGATCAGTCAGCTGTTTGAGCAACTTCGGTCACGACCGCAACCCGCTCTGGACACTCATTGCACCATCACGCGTGCATCACGTCTCCCAAGTCCTAACCATCTGGATTGCAGGAGGTCAGCGGCACTCTCCGCCAGTTGGGTTGAATCCCGACCCGCGGAGTGGGATACCTGGCTTGAAGACTGTCAAGTCAACTTTTGAAAGGCACAGATCTGAGTGTAAATAGAGAACCTGGATCCATTCACGCATCTGTAATCGAACATGTTTGTGTCTCATATCTACTGTAAAAAGAACTCGTTCCTGTCGTCAACTCCAATGTTTGCATCAGTTTGAAAATGCCGCGATCATTTTCTTTCGCATCATGTTGTCTTGATGTTGTCCCTCCTTGCATTTGCTCTCTTCGCTCCCAAACCTATTCTAAAGGTCTCTGCTAGCCGAATGGAGCAAGTCTTTGAACTGCACGCGAGTGGACACACCTTTTCGGTGGAGCGGATCCGCCGAGTATGCCAGCCATCTTGGGGTAGACTCTGTCAGCTCTGGCTGTTGGATTACGATAACGTTGGCCATGCTTATATGCTCGACCGGCCATAAGATGCCCGAGTTCCTGCCCCGACTCCATTCTGCCAGCTCTGCAAGGCTGGGGCCATGTCGCGGTCTCTACTTCGAGATGTGCTCAAACGAAACCAAGAGAAGGGAAAGGCACCGGAGACGCAAACAGAAAAGGCCGCCCCGACGACAAGCTCGTTCAATCCATCTTCCTCGCGGCGCAGCATCAAGAATCTTTTGCTGCCAGGCTCTTCAGGCAAGACCATTTCTGGCTCGATTCGCTCATCCGGCGCTGCCTCGTTACGGTCCGTCGCGTCGTTGGCGCAGTCAATGGCCAGTTTTTACAGTATGATGACTGGCGGAAACCGTGTACCGAAGCGAAGAAGACCAGATTTCTCCACACTAGGTGTGTTTTGGTCATCGCAATCTTCACGGAAAGCTAACATGACTTAGGTGTACCTGAATGGTATGCTGAAGACCCTCCACCGGTACCTTTGATGCCTGGAACCGCGGAGCACTCGCCCATACCGACTTTATATGCGAGAGGAATGGCTAGTGTCATTCATGAACGGTCGCCTGGAGAGAAGCCCTATATGGGCATTGTGCTCTACAGCCATGCTCTATCGCATTCTAAAGCAGCCGTGTATCACAACGGAGGCAAGCAACTCATTTCTCGCTAGATCACAGTCTGATGGAGCAATGAAGCCAGGATTCAAGGCGAAGTGAGGTTGGACATCACAAAGAAGGATAGCATCAAAAGCGTAGACGTTTGGGTGCGTCGTTCGGGAGGCTAATACTTACTAGCACTAACTGAACACCCAGCTTATCATTGCTGCGGAAAGTATTCTCGATATATTCGCACCACCGATGTATGCGTTCACTGCCAACTTATGGAACCGTGAGATGGGCGACCCTCGGCAGATTGGTTCCTCAAAACCATGGCGAGGACCGTTTCCTGAAGGAACATTCGCCTTTCCCTTCGAATTCCCGGAGCTTCCCAAAGATGTCGTAGTGAAGCATCCTAACGATGGCAAGCGCAGAAACTTGGCGCGAGTCCCTTTGCCGCGTGAGTCTTGTCCGCTTTCTTCTCACTAAAATTAACACAACTATGCAGCGGCGTACTTTATAAACCAAGTTGCTGGCTTTTCGGGAAGTATCAAGTACACTGTGGGCGTCAACATCGAGCGTGACGGGTTAAATGGAATCGACGACGAGCTGGACATGTCATTCCAGTATCTTCCACTGTGCAAGCCCCTCCCACGCGTCCCAACTCCCTTCCCCTTCATCCCCACACGTGAAGACTGGCCATTCAGTCGCGAGACTGTTGGCGGATGGATGTTAACACCATTTGGGGGCAGAGGTCGATTAGGCGAAGAGATAGTCGAAGTCGAGGGCATCTTGGGCGTTCAAGATCCACCGGTCTACACCACCGACGACACAATCCGGTTTTCGCTCCTTCTGTGGTCCAAGAACCCGCTGGCGCTGGAGGCATTGGGGCAGCCTGCCGCAGTTGAAGTTGCTTTCTTGAAATCAGACATGTTTGCCCTCGATGTCATGACTCCACGCACATCTACGCGCAAGAATCGATATCTTGGTCGATTGGCAGCGGGGCGGGCTTGGAGGACGGATGACGGGAGGCCAGATGACAATGAACCGATTCCAGAGTTTAAACTCGTGACGCTTCCCGAGCCCAAGCCTAAAACACTGCCAGAGGGGGCTTCTTATCAAGTTAAGGGTGCATCGTCGTCGAGAATGAAAGAGGTATATGTTGCAGATGAAACAGACTTGGAAGTGGAGGCCAAACTAGTGGAGAAACAGACTGAAAAGCTGGGTTTGGCCGATGATACGAAGGGCTTGGAGAATGGTAATGCCGAATTAGTGCAGAAACAGAGTGAAGAGCTGGATTTGGTTGACGATGGGGGGTCGACCATGGTTGCAGACGGAGAGAGCGTCACAGAGCGAGCCCCTTCTCCAACCCCATCATTGGACGACATTGAAGAGGAAACAACACCGGAGGAAGACCATTTCCTGCGTATGGATGGTGAGGTCAAAGTCCCAGCTTGTACACATCCCAACTTCCGATACACCCACATGGGCCGCGAGGTAAGAATTTCGACTTGCCTGTTCATAGCTTGAAGCCTTGCAGTATGTGGTCCACTTGATATTCACCCACCCGCAGTACAACCATATCTCGCCCAATGCAACCGGAATCCTCGCAGGTAGCCGTGACTCTTTCTGGGACGATTTCTCTGTCTGAATAATGGTCAGAATTTCCGGTCTGGTATGTTTTCGACCGTTTCGGACACCACCCACCGACTCCCGAAAACGTCGTCCAAACGCCTGAAGATCTCGCAAAACTGCCTGTCAGTGGAACCGCAATTTCTGTTGGTCCATCCACAGTTCGCGGTCCCAAGGTGGTAGGCATGGCGACAGAGGAAAAGAGGCCAACGGGGAAGTATACGCGGTATTATGCATTTTAAGACTTGTTTATATGGACTTTGTTGTACCAGTTTTTATAGAGGTTGAGATGGACTTATCGAGGGCATTTGCAGCCAAGAAACAGCAATGAATGGAGTGCAAAAAAAGTAAGGTTTGTTTGTAAGGTACATAGCCTGCAGGCCTAAGTCTTCGTCAGCTAGACTTCTTACACCACCACTCGAAACGTTCATGGACACTTGGACTTTCCAAGCCTAGATGTCAATGGAGAAGAGGCTCAAGACAACCTGCTGGTCAAGGATGGACTTCATCAAAATGTTTATTCAGGTGGGTATCGTATTTATTCATCACACTCATATCCGCGCAAGTCTGCGCTTGAACCTTTGCATCATCGTTAACCTTTTCGGGACAAGGAGGTCCATCTTGATCCCGATGAGCCGCCACTTCTCGTCCTCCGCCGCCTTCCGCTGAGCCTTCCAAAATGCCCGCGCTTCTGCTTCGTCAGCTCTCTCTTGGGCAAGTATCGCCTGATGGGTGAGAACCGCGATACGCAGACTGGGTTGGAATCGGGTGGGTCTATAATCGAGCGGCATGGCAAGGTCAAGGTCCCAGTCGAGGGCTTTGGGTAATTCTGGGATGTAAGGCTCGCATGGTGATGGCTCCATGAGAGGAGGTATGGGGATCGTGACGGGGGGACGAGTTGCCAGAATGGGACGGCCATTGCCGTTGACTTTCATGTCAAGTACTGGCTCGATGGCAGGACTCGTCGTATCAGGAATCGGTTCATTGACTGCGACATGCTGGAGGAGTAGTGAGACACATTCGAGGACGATAAGAACGACATACGTTGGATGACAACCAAGCGGGCAGCATTTGAGACTGGTAGCATGATTTTACTAACGAAGTCTGAAAGCAACGTCAGCATGAGAATCCTCGCAGGGAAAGGCAACCGTACCCATGTAGTTTCCTCGCTGTCGTAGGACGCCTTCCAGGTTCCAGGAATGTCAAGCGACGTAATCGACGACGCTGATTTGGAACATGACTGAAAAGAGAGGGTGGTAAGTGAAAGCTAAGCAATGAGATGAAGAAGCAAATACCATTGCAGGGGGCGTCGGGGCTGTCGAGTGGATGCCAATCGCAGATAACATGATTTCGATTGGTAGTATTTGGTGTTTGGTTTGGGTCAAGATGAGGGGAGGAGCCAAGAGGCAGAGTAAGGTTGTAGTGGGGGGTGCTCGCAGTTAAATATGCGCTGGGAGGGTCAGACATCGTCTGAGACATTCCGCCGGAGACATGTCCCGCCCCCACAGCCTGCCCCACCCCACATTCCGCTCGGAACAGACTCCGCGGAGACAACTGCAAGGTATCCAAAGGTAGATACCAGCAGTTTGGTGACCCAGTCCTATCTAGCAAGACAGCTATGAGAGCGCGGGGGTAGAAACTATATGGGACATGAGATTCTGGGTCGTAAAATGGAGCATTGGTGACCATAAACGCACCTGTTCGTTGTCTCATTTTTTACTCCTGATTGCCATACTGTAGGCGCCGAGACAGAAGACGCCGGAAGCAAGAGCGGCTTCAGCGATACTGTTCACTGCCACGTGCTATTTATGACGTAGTAAAGCTGAAAGAACCCCTTCCGCGACACAATTCTCCGACACAACGAGATCAAGGAAAAAGGAGGTGGCGACACCAGCTGAGCAAAGAACAGAATGAGATCCTCGATATAGTTGAGGCAAGAATACCGACACGAAGTTGCTGAGAGCAGTCAAGAAAGAGGACATATTGCTCTTGTGTCGTGAGGATTGAACGGGTAATAGAATTGGTCGATCTACTGTCTGTAACGTTAGATTTCTGAAGCAATTTCGCAAGTAAAAATATACCCACCGTGCCCTTTCCTCGGACATCGCCACCAACAGCAGGGAAATTGGTCTGCTCCCACAGCTGAACCCAAGTCCAGGGCAACGCCCGCCTGGTGGTAAAGACGGTCATAAACGGTAAATGACCCATTCCAGCCAGACATGCAGGGTCGAGTCGTGTTGGATCACACCTCGGGCCATTCCTCTCACTTCCAGGGCCATTGATTCGACCGGGAAGCCCAGAGGAGAGAGTCCTTTGGAGATTTGATTCGGCACTAGGATGAGTCGACTTGCCGAAACCGCGGAAGCGGGCGTGTGTGGCGATTCCAGCGTTGGTAGCTGTTTGGTGTGGTGGTCGGAGAAACTATAAAAGCCTTGATAAGCTGTTGCTGGCTATAGCCCTTCGTCTTGCGGATTTCGTAGGTTTGTATGTGTAGTAATAGAGCCTACGACATGTAGTCGCTGATTTTAATGCGCTTGAATTTGCCTGGTCATCCTCAGCCTTCAAGGTCACGTCGACTCGTAATGGACTGGACCGGTCGGATTGTGGAGGTAGACACTGTCGAGGGCTTTCACGTAGTGGTAGGTAGGGTTCCGTCGTTGCCCTGCGGAGCGCAATTGACTCAGAGAGATGAAAGCGGACTCGAATATGTTTGTTCTTGTTATGTATTTTCGCGATCACATGTCAAGTTGATTTCTCTTTGCTTTCACGATGACGACGGAATTCGATGTCTTCTCCGACGCCCCAGCCATCGTTGACTTTGACGTTCTCGAGGCATCCAAGGAGAACGTACAACCTCTTGCTTCTGGCCGCCGTGCCACTGCCCTTTCTGCGGTTCTCTCAACTCCACACGCCCAGCGCGATTCCCGCCTAGCTGCCACCCGAAATCGACTCCGCATCAATGTTGAGATCGCACTGGAAGACGATGAGGACGACCCTCTTGAAGCATATTGGCGGCTCGTCAACTGGACGCTAGACAATTACCCCCAAGGCCACAGCAATGAATCGGGGCTGCTTGAACTTCTCGAAGAGGCAACGAGGGTGTTGAAGGACCACAGAGACGGGATGTGGAAGCAGGAGATGAAGTACCTCAAGCTATGGCTGCTTTACGCCAGCTTTGTCGAAAAACCTACGGTCATCTACAACTTCCTCATTGCAAATGAAATTGGGACCGACATTGCGCTGCTGTACGAAGAACACGCTGCTGTATTAGAGAGGGATGGAAGGTGTGTCCTCCTGTTACTTTTTGCCAGTCGTTGACACTCTTCACAGACGGAAAGAAGCCGATGGCGCGTACCTTCTTGGTATTGCACGACGGGCTAATCCGCTTGAGCATCTCAAAGCCAAGCATGCAGACTTCCAGAAGCGAATGATGTTACCGGCCTCTTCTCCCCCCACAACTGCTGTTGCTGCCCCGTCAAGGCCATCTGAAGTGTCTCAACCCAGACGGACCGCCCTTGCAACTACGTCCACAGTCACTCCTGACTCTCTCCCCATCCGATCGCCCGCAATGCCTTCCTCTAACGGCGCTCGCCACTTCCAAGTATTCGAAGACCCGACCTCGCAGGTTGCCGAAGCTGGTGGAAACGCCTGGCCTGAACTCGGGACACGTAAAACACGTATCAAGGAAAATGTCCCAGAGTCAAAGAAGATGGCAGGGTCGACACTGAGGCAACCTGGGAAGAGTCGCAGGCTGGCTTCGACTACAATAACTTCGAGTATCATACCATACGTGGACACGGAGGAAGATCTAATGCCACCACCACCCACTTCGAAACAATCCAAGACACATAGCTCAATACCCCAAACGCCCGCCAAGAGCCAAATCCAGCCATTTATCGACGAGGAAGTTCCAGCAACTCCCAAATTTGTGCCGTTCAGGGACGAGGTGCGTCGTTCTCCTGTTCTCCTACTTGTTCTCGTCTCAACGTTCTTCCACAGGTCGCCGACCAGGCCCCCGTAATGAGCACTCCAGCCCCCGAATCTGTCATGAAGGTCAAAACGACAGCGGACATGCTTCATCTTGGGCCACTCTCCGAGGCAGAAGCTTTGCGGCGCGATCCTCTAAAGAACTACTCTGCCTAACTAGGCCGGCAAGGCCTTGAATGTACTAATAGTCATAACTACTTGTAAAGCGACTACGACCATCACGAATCGTATAATGAAAATCACTTGCGACCAGTAGATTCTCGAAGGTTTTGATTTTCTCGATGGGTACCACCAGTTGTCAGGTTTGTATTCAAGCCACTGTAGGAGTACAACCTCAAGGTTTGGTTATATACGCCTCGAAAACCAAGGTGATCCGGTTCCGATGGATGGTGTCCTTGAAGGCAATGAAATATGCGTGCTGTTCGGTGCTTGGGTGCCTCGTCGCCAACTTGAGACTAAGAGGGAGAGCATTTCTGATTTAATAGACGCTATCTTGACACAGTAAATGGAGGTCAATTTCCAGAGACTCCGGCCATTGTCTTCGCGCGGTTTTTTCTGTGGGTTTGACCAATGTGCCAGATCGAAGCAGGAGACCCGGAGACGGCGGCTGCGAGCATATTCCTGGAGCACTAGCTCGTCGGCCTGACTGAGTGCGACGACCCAGATAACTCGCAGCGAGTTGGGCGGAGCAGGGTATCGGAATCGCGCAGTAGGCGGATAGCGACGGGTGTGGAGTTGAGTTGATTGCTTCTGCCTTGAAGCTTGAGGGCTGTCATTTGATTTGTGAACCCCACAAGTTTGCGGCGTGTTGCAGTTCTCTGTTCTTCCCTTGAGTCATGAGCGTTCTGAGGTTGCAGCAGAGGAAGGACGAATGTACATGTTGGTTGCTGCCAGGCGGTCGAAGAAAAGAACAGACGACAATACTGGCTGGCCACATGGGTTGGCAGACTGCTAGTCCGAGCCAAGGACGATCAGACCGTTCATTCCTATTAGCCTACTTGCCCCAGCTAGAAGAGTTCCAGAAGAGCATGGATTAGTGCCCGCGGAGAAAGAAGCCGGAAGATGAATCGGAGACTGACCTACTTTATGGACGGCTTACGCAACGCAGGAGGGAGTACAAAACCGAGTGTGCTCCTGTCGTTCTTCACTGGTACTCAGTCTCCCGACAGCGATACACTCCTTCAAATGCCCCGCGCATCCTCCATCTTCCTCGTGGCCTTGTTTTGGGCTTCCTTTGCCGCTGCAGCCCCAGCTGTAGCGCTAGCACGACATGAGAGCTCAACAGTGCAAGGTTCTGTCGTCCCAGAAGCGCCTATTGTCGCCACGATCCGAGATGTTCAGAGTGTCGTTTTGCCAGATCAGTCCGAGTATGTGTCAAGGCTGCTTTCTTGGAAGCTACTGTCTGACCAAGTTTTCAGCTGTGGAGTCGAGAAATCCCGCCGTCGTAGTTTTCGCCGTCGCCATCCGTGATGACCCGAATTGCCTCCAACATATACCATGGAAACTTGATACCCCTCTGGTGAGGATTGAACTCGTTGGTCGAACAAACACTGACTCACAGAAAGTATAGCTGTTCATGCGAGAAAAGCTTGTTGATGACCTCATGATGTATTTTGCAAACGCTTGGAACAGACAAGTATCTGAAAGTTCAGTGAACAGCAGTAAGCGATTGAAAAGTTTGGTGAACGTGAAATCCCACGTGACATCACATTGGTCCACAAAACCATCTTCTGCCAGTGACCATCTGCGGCCGCGCATGATTTCAGTGACTCGTTTGACTCGTCCATTGCCTTGCTAAGAATGGGGACTGGGGGTGACAACCGGCTGGTACGGTACGGCGCCGTAGCCGTAGTACGGCGCCGTACTACCGTACCACTACAGTCCTAGTATTGTTTACAAAGCAATTGCGCAGATGACAAACGGCTTCACTTACCAACTGGACTCTCCCAACCCTTCGTTGAACATAGAATGGGTTTTGTCATTCCCCGCTCTCGGGAATGATCAAGCACGGCGTCTTCCCCCCGCCCCCGTTGCTATATATACGCACAACAAGACGAATTCCATGTTATCGACAATCGACAATTGGTAGCATGAGTTCCCTGAAGACCAAAATTCTTTTCACTGGCGCAACAGGTCTCAGATTCTCTCAAGTCCCAAGACGATGGCTGATCCCTTTCGAGGCTACATCGGGGGCTCTGTTTTAGAAAGATTCCTCTCTCGCCCCGATGCAGATAACTTCGAATTCACCGCGCTTGTGCGCGACACGAACAAGGCGGAAAAGCTTCGGGCATTTGGAGTGAAGACCGTTGTCGGCTCGCTTTCAGATGTGGCTCTGATAGAGAGACTAGCCAGTGATGCGGATGCTGTTTTAGCAACGGTTCGTAGTGACCTATCCCCCCCCCTAAAAATTACTAGCTTAAATCGCATGCGTACGGATAGGCGGACAGCGACGATCTCGCTGCGGCTAAGGCGACTTTGGCCGGTCTCAAGAAGAAGTTCGTGGCTACTGGTGTTCCATCCGTATATATCCACACAGTGGGTCTACTCATTCACTTGATACGCATTTTTAACGGCTTCTAGTCGGGAGCGGGGATCATTTTGGATGACGCCAAAGGACTCGCTGCGAGCGAAGTCGTGTACGACGACACTGACGCCGCCCAAATCGCATCCTTGCCTGAGACACAAATCCACCGCAATGTCGACTTGGAGATCATAAATGCTGACGTGGAAGGTTCGTCAGACTTATCCATAACTGTTCTTTCAACCAACAACGGTGACAGGATATATCAAAGGCTACATTGTCGTCCCAACGCTTGTCTATGGATTGGCCAGTGGAAAATTCGTCGACGCCGGAATCCAAAAAAAGCACACTATCATACACCCGTGGCTCCTCTCTTCTTCTCTGGGCCGTGGGAGAGTTGGAATAGTCGGTCAAGGCAAGAATGTCCTGACTAACGTCAACGTCGACGACTGTGTGTCCAAAATCGGTTGCGTACTAAGTACTATTTTAACATCCCCTGCAGTGGCGGACCTATACCCCCTTCTTTGGGACGCAATCATATCCAACCCACAACTTGGCCATGGACCCGAAGGACACTTTTTTGCCGAAAATGGCGAAAATACATTGTACGACCTGGCTAAGAAATTTGGAGAGGCACTGGTTGCGCTAGGCAAGATCGAGAACTCGGAACCCACCACATTCACGCAGGAAGAACTCGCAGTTGGTCAAGTCTCTATCATCATCCATTTCTCACTCGTTATTCCAGGGCTCCTTCATGGGACTTTTGGGTGGTAACGCTCGGTGTCGTGCAAATCACGCGCGTTCCGTACTCGGATGGAATCCAGTCAAGACCACGAAGGATTACTGGAATGGTTTACACGGAGAGGTGGAGTATCTGCTACGCAAGTAGATATCAACGTGACCGCGTCGCATCATGTGATAGGTATAATTCATCAACTAGAGAGCTCGACAGCAAAGGCTACAGCAAGCTTGGCGAACCTAGCACCGAAATAAGCAGGACTAAGGATGCTTGCTTCTCGCTTACTCATTTATATGCTCGAAAGAAAATTCCGGAGAAACATCGATTCGATCTTGGGCGGTATGTATGTCTAGAGAGAGCTCAGTAAACACACAAAGCAGCGGGGAATACCCACTGTCGTAGTTCTCATTGCCCATTAACCCCTCCGCCGCATGACAAGCCTGGTACCCAGCGCGATTCCATAGCAAATGGTCACTACCAGCGTTCTTCCTTTTGGATTCTCTGACGCATGGAATATCAACTGAAAACCACCCCTTAGGCTTCAGTCAAACATAAGACACGCAGGAAAACACTGACGGTATCGATCAACAAGCTGGCAGAGAAACGTGGATAGAGCTGCATCGACACCACTCGTTACAACATTGACGACTGGACTGGTGCCTGAGGCGACCCATGCCTAATCGAGGTAAGAAGTTGGAAGAGAATGCCGCTGCTAATTGTACCCACGGTCATATCGTATTGCTGCATCCCCTTGATTTCCTTGCGGGCGGCTTCATACGAAGCTACGATGTCCTGCGATCCAAGACCACCGCCCTAAATACGAGTGTCACGTCTTTTGGGGTCTGGAGACAAGACGAGTACCTCTTCGGCAGAGTAGAAATGAAACTCGAGAGGCGAGGTCGGAATGTAACCGCTGATCAAGAGCGCTAGATCTCGTCAGTTCTAACAGTGGAAAAATCGGGAGTACTTACCTCGATATGCCTCGAGAATAGTCACAGTGCCAGAGCCGTCGTCGTCCGCACCGGGAGCTGGAAGAAAAGGATTCTCTTGGTTAATACTGTCACAATGTGCGCCAATAACAGTAATCCCGTCGTCGATAGGTTCTCTCGGTTGAATGTGAACAATCTTGGGCCCTGTGAGCTATGGCAAGATTGACGAAGATGGTACCCACCACGGACGTCTGCTTCCAGTGGTGCTTGAAAGGCTTCACTGTTACCAATCGCTGTACTTGGGGGGTCGCCAGCTGCGTGGTATATTCTTGGATCTTCTTCAATAACCACTCCGAGCTAGCCTTCCCTGAATCCGAGTTGTAATAGCGCGTCTCGAAGGCACCGGTAAAGTACTCCAAATTAACGCGCATCTCCTCGATGGAAATCAGTGGTAGAATGCTCGCGACGAGGGTGGAGTTGGGGGTGGGGTAGGAATAACGCCGCTTTTCAAACAGCGTGCCAAAATTGGGGGGCAGATTCGTGCTTGAGTTAGATAAGCCAGAGGGAAAACAGATGCGAGGAGCACGCACACATCGAGATACTCCATCCCCAAACTCTTCGCGTAAAGTTTTTGTTGCTCTGTTATCCAGACCGGCTCGGAATCTTGGAATTGAACAAGACGCAGCTCATTCAAGTCGAGCTCGAAGCCTTCTGAGGTGAGATGAATACTCAAAAAGAGAAGGGGAGACCATACCTCCAACTCCGTGATGATTTTGGAACTGGTCGCCATCGAACTGGAGTACAGCTTGGATAGAATGGGATTGCGCCAGCCGCGCGACTAAGAAAAGAGACCAGATAAGAAGTAGGATCATGCCAGGAAAGAGAGACGAACGACTCTCATGGTCATTGACTTGGATGTGTTGTCCTCATCAAGCTCATGACAGTTCATGACAAGTCATCTTGGCGTGACCCTCCAGAATGTCCTCTAAACACAACCACCAAATCCTCGAAATAGAAGATGATGATGCTCGTCTTCAGCGAATTCGTTTGTCCTTCACAGGGCCTATAGCCCATGATCAACAGACTTTCTCCAGAAAATGCGCTCGAAAGACTGAATGCTTCAACCAGCCGGCCAATCAATGCAGACATGGCTAACATTCTGGGCTCTCCTCGCACTTTGGAGCTAGGGACGGGCAACAACGAGCACCTTCAAAATCGTAAGCTTAATGGTAATTGCTGCACATTTGTTCATACACCGTGCAGTTCTGGCCCGTGTCCAAGCATTCTTACCGGAAATGGAGGCCTCGAACGCTCTCGTCGCGCAAAGGGCTGAAGCAGATCCCAACAGTGTGGATATCGAGAACGTGGACGACGACGAAGCAGTGATAGAGATGGCAACTCCATTGGATTCACTCGCTTCCAAAAAAAGTTAACGATTGCTGGTAGAATTTGGGCCTCGGAGTTTTTGAAGATAAAAATGGGGATTATTCAACGTCAGAAAGCGACGAATCTGAGGAAGAGACAACATCAGGTGTGTCTACCGTCTTCCAGCCAAGTTATCACCTTATATTGGAACAGATTCGGAGAGTTCAGACGACAATGTGGTAATCAATCGGCCAATTCGACCACTGCCAAAACGCGGTCGGGCTCCCCCAGAAATCATTGTTCTGTCGGGAACATGACTCAATAATGTTGCCTGGCGTCTCAACATGGACAATGTAACGAGCAACCAATAGTTATGGGAGTATACAGCGATTACAAGGGTCTACAGTGACTCTATACCGTAGCTAATAGCGTTAAAATGTAATAAATAAGCGGCAAGGCCTACTACCAGTCGTGGAGTGACGTGCAGCCCGGTTTCGCGAGACCCAGACCTCCTCGAAGGAGGCTCGGCAAGACGAGCCCACCAATTATGGTGTTCTCGACGATAGCCTCGACGTCGTGGGGGGTGACACGTCCATACCAAACAGATGCACCGCCAGGGGTGTAAATCTGACAACGCAGTTCAATGAGAATGAAGTGAGAATTCGAGAAAAGCAGACGAACGATGGTCAGGCCAGAGTATCGGTGACCCCCAACATGCGAATTATACAGAATTAACGCGCGCTTGGAGTCTTGCATAGATTTGAGGCTGCTGACAACATGTTGTTCTCGGTCTTCTTCACTCCCTTCGAATTTTTCGAGGGGTAGGTCGATAAAATGCTCTAGCTGATTGTCTACCGTCCACCCACGTCGGTTGAGAGAGTCAGTGAATGCTAGAAATAGTCAGTTTGTGCTGCTCAAGTCAAGAACGGGCAAACCTCTCTCTAGTTTTGGCGCAGCAATTGCACAACGATTGTCGCGTCGTTTATGTGAGCCTGGACCAGCTTATATGAAGAGAAATATAGCTGGAGAGTCTGGAGCACGCACACATTGTTATTACACAGGCATATGGGAGTAGCCACGTCTGGAGACCGGGCTGGTCGTTTGACCCAAGAATTCGTGGGATGGCTGGGTCTAACGCGTTTTTCCAGAGTAACTGGGCTCCCTTGCTGGTAGGAGGGATACCAGTAACTGCTACGTAGTCTGGGAAGACTAAAACAGTCTCTTCCTCGCACACGGAAGCATGGCTGCCATTGAGGATAGTTATTTCGGTCGAGGCTGTGGTGTCAAACACTCCAGGAACGGTCGGATGAGAATGTGTTGCATGAGCAGACGACTTGTAGTGAGCAGAAGAGATATGTGAAGCCAAAGAGCCTCGCGTAGAGGTAACGTCTCGGTCCCAGTCCGTTTTGCCCGTTGAAACCAGTATCTGCCACCAAGGGTGAGCGTCTAAAGCATGTTGACATCATGATTCAACGCACCTGTCGGCGATACGGGTACACACTTCCCAGCATTTGCGTTTCCATGTCCACCTTGAAGCGTTCTGGGTACTCTGGGTGACCATCTTCACAAGGGTCTGCGCAACCGCGACATGGAGCGTCAGTAATAGGAACCTGAGCATTGACGAGTTGCGTTTTGATGTTTTGGGGGTCCAGCTCGTGGCCCAGCGCCCATGCTTTCAAGCGGCGGAGAGAGCTCATGGTGGGGCGAGAATGACCGCAGCGGTTAAGGATGACCAAAAGTTTCAAGTCATCAAGTTTAGAAATCTGTATCAGATGAGATAAGATGAACTACCACGATAAGATTACGCCTAAAATATGACACATCGAGTAGCTTTGCGATTGCCATGAAAATGCGGCGACTCGACGCATGCGGCCAGAGCTTGGTTAAACACACCACTCAGTCCTTTCATCGTCAACGCCGAGCATTCCACGCGCTGCCCCAATTTCCCGAGCCAGCATCAATCCTTCCGCAGTCGACTCGGACAACGAGGCAAGCTTTTCAATAGCTCCAGTATCATCCCGGGCATCTATTTGATTCGCGACAAGGATGAATGGGACCTTGGGGCAGTGGTGACTGAGCTCCACCATCCAACGCTGCTTCACATGCTCGAATGAAAGCCGGTTCCGGACACTGAAGCAACAAAAATGTCTGTTTGCGGATAGGACAAAGGCCGAAGTGTGTCGTACTCAGAAGAGCCTGAACATGATTCAATTGCTATGAAGAGCCGCAACCCACTTACCAACACAGTCAAAAAAGCCGACACACCAGCCTGGTCCAGGCAATCTTTGCCTTCGATTTGTCTACTTTCGGCATGGGAGTCAAAAACCTGTATGGCTCTCAAGCTACAGATCAGAACAGTCTAAGTCTGCTGACGCACCGTAGGAATGTAATTGGAGGGAAATCGGCCTGTCGTCTGAGAGATGCACATCGCTGTCTGTGGTTTGCATTTGTGGTTTGCGCACTCACCAGAGGCTGGGGAAGTGATGCATCACCACTGACAATCTCCCAAGATGTCATGAAGCTTCGCGGCTGGTGATCGCTGATGCCCAGGACGAAGCTTCATTGATCAGAGAACTGTCAAGAACTGTCAGTCAACTTAGACTCAAAATATACTGTTTTTTTACTTGGTTAGGGTTTGGTTAGGGTCAGGTTAGGTTGGTTAGTGTTTGGGTAGGGTTGGTTAGTGTTTGGTTAGGGTTTGGGTGAGGGAAAAGGTACGTTTGATATGCTGTTGGGGGACCTCTGGTAAGCTGCCAATAACGAAGCTTCATGACAGCTCTGACAACTGTCAGAGATATGAAGCTTCATTTCCCCGGGTAGGCCTGGTGCACTGAGTTGGTGACAACGCCCACACACCTTACCGACGCCTTGGTCCCCTACCAGAACGAGCTTGATAGACTACATCGGTAGTTGATGTTCAGTTACTGCGAGTGACTTTTAACCAAGTTGCCATGATTGACACAAAAGCGCTCGGTGTCATGCAGCGATGCCATACTATAGTAGCCATTTCAAGTTCACCAACTGACGAAAGTTGTTTATGACGCTGAGCATCCGAGATCTCTTGATTGAAGAGTAGGGTAGAGCACGGGTCAGGGTCAACCCGCAGGGTTTCAGGGTAGGGTCTGTCAGGGTCAGGGTCAGGGTACATCTATTTCTGAACCCGGCCAAACCCGGACCCTTTCAGGGTCAACCCGGAGGGTCCAATAAGCTGTTGTGATGGGACAATTCCCTATCTAAACATGATTTTTGTCAGTTTTTGGAAGACAAAAAAAATCATATGTCACTCATGTCACTCATGTGACATGTGACATAGAAGTAAATCAGATTGAATATACTCAAAATCTTGAGGAAAAGGTTACATATACTATATCTGAGCCAATATCATATAGCAAAATGTATATTATGTCAAAATTATTGTCCTAAATACATCTTCTGCTTCCATGTTTGCAACCCGTGGGTCAACCCGGACCCGGTTGGACCCGTACCCGGAAGGGTCAGGGTTAGTCAGGGTCAGGGTCAGGGTCAGCCTTCTGAGACCCGGACCCGGACCCGTGCTCCACCCTATTGAAGAGCCTTGCATGTCTGCAGTTATCTAGCAGGGGGCATACTTGGGCCTTCGTTCAATATCCAGGGAAAAGTTGGCAAAAGGTAAACATTGATCCCATCGATTCCTACGATCAACTCAGCACAACAACCCCAATTATGGCCCTAGACCCCTATGACTCTCATGCTTTACGCTCGCCAAAAACGACTTGCGGGACATCAGCGAATTAGACGCTGCTCAATTATAAACACGGAATCCCATACATCAACCCCCACCACCCAACACACCCTGGCCCTTGCTCTCCGAGCGCCTTAGTAGCACATGCATACTTGTACGCGGTATATAAATGTGATTCAAAAAAAAAAGTCACGGTACCGTGACAAAGAGAGTTCGAGTCAGTTTGATCCCAATGATGATGATGTCTGATTCCCATCACAACTTGACTTATTTTCTGACTCCATCTACTATGACCACCACTGAACTGTCGACCGCTAAGCTGTCCACCAGTGAACTGCCAACCATTGAACCGCCGACCACATTCACCTCTCCGAAAGAATTGATGCCCTCCGCACCACCTTTCAAGTTGTCGACTCAGAAGGAGATCGAGGAAGATGAAATCCAACTCGAAGCCCACCTTACCAGCGGTATGATCCGACCAGATGAGCGCTACCTGGTGAGTCGAGTCTCAGCAATGCTGGATTGGAGTAGGGCTAAAACTACTTTGAGAAACTTCGTTACAACAACTGGACACTCATTGTCCCCGGCAATCCGGTGGTAGCCCAGCAGCTGCTCCATACTTTGAAAGCTCGTCGGGAAACCTGCGTGGCGGAGCATGCCGTGGCTCAACGACGTCTTCATGAAATCATATCAACCGTGAATTTTCTCCGGTCTCAAGTGGACGAAGGCAGCAAGAAGATTCTTGATGCGGAACGGGATATCGGTGATGCGTGCCAGGCCTTTCACAAAACAGGACTTGTGGTCGGCCATGATGGTTGCGTTGTCTGTCGCCCGGAGCATGCCGTGGCTCAACGACGTCTTCATGAAATCATATCAACCGTGAATTTTCTCCGGTCTCAAGTGGACGAAGGCAGCAAGAAGATTCTTGATGCGGAACGGGATATCGGTGATGCGTGCCAGGCCTTTCACAAAACAGGACTTGTGGTCGGCCATGATGGTTGCGTTGTCTGTCGCCCCAAGTTTCCCATTGCCGTTTAAGTCGAGGGTTCAAAGTTACTCAGGTTATCGTGTCATTGTCATTGGCTTACATTTCTTGACATTTTATCGATTGTATGTATCTATCATGATGTACATGTACAGCTACTATCAGATTGTGTTTTTCAAGCGTTTCCAGCGAGGGAGACCTATTAGTAAATTGGATTGACAGAACTTGAACACAGACCAAAAATGAATAGGATTTTGATGAGTGGAGAGATTATGGACAAGCACGATAAGGAACGAGAACGATTAGAAGGCTGAAGCTCATACCAGCAGGGTCCGATGGCTGAGTCAAGTCAACGACTTCGGATTGCGTCGAATACTCCCGCTTCTCCTCCCATCCACCAAGCGCTCGAGGTTGCAAGGACTTCTTTGTATCGTTCAATTTGTTGCCTGTTCCCCCTCTTGGACATAGGACAACTTCTTCCGCATCTGCACAAGTTGCGCCAACAGATGCTTTCTCCCTTCAAGTTCGGTAATCTCGGTAATCATCTTATCCTTGAGTCAAAGTTCTTTCTCCTTCCGCACCTCCAGATGTTCTTCCCAATCTGTTGGCAAATGATCTTTCAGGTCCGCGACCTCGCCATTAAGCTTCAGGTTTGCGGCGAGAGAGTCGACGGCATGATCTTGAAGGGTACGGTTGGTGGCTTGGATCATGATCTTAATAAGCTCCGCCTGGAGACGAGCGTAAGTAGTCAACTTTTAGTGCTCGGTGCTGGTGTAGCAGGTCTTGGTCACGGTGTTCGGGCACTGGCAATAAGGCTCCTGTTGTGCTGTTGAGAAGGGTTTCGAATAGTGAGGAAGAAGTACCTATGGGGCTATTGCTATTGGCCCGCCGGCGCTTGAAAGGGGTTATCGTCCAGAGTCCTGGTAGAATGGAATGTTCGTGAATAGGATACCAAGTTTTAAGTTGGTGCACTGACAACCGCAATGGTCCCAGTGGCGATGTGGCGGCATTAGATGAACCGTATGCTGGCGAGGTAAACAAGCTAAGGTCTTGGGCACTTCCTGGACTCGGTGTTTGGGCAGACTGAATGATTTGAGCCTTCGAGAAGCCTGGGAAGACGGCGGGGTCGAAAGCGTCAGGAGAAGACATGAGTGTTAGGTGTTTAAGAAGCAGGATAGTCGTAGTACGATTATTCTGTTAAATAACCGGACCCGGAGCAGGCTGAGGGCAAGATCATGTCCGAGTCCAGCCTGAAGTTTTTTCGTCCCAGATGATCTTGATCCAGCCTTACTCATTAACATCTTACCCATTAACATCCACTATGGCCATGAGCGAAGAGTCCAAGAATCCCACCAAAGGCTAGTATTTCCGACTCTCCACAATTCAAACTTGAACGCCATTTAGATTGTCTTTTAGCTTTAACTGGACTTCATGAAGCGACAGACGACCGATTCAAGGGCGGGACGGGGGGGAAACCACTGCTCATCGCGTTGAGGACCTAAATCCAACAGCTGGTGATTGTGAATGCGAGAAAGGTAAACCTTGATCCCATCAGCTCCTACGATCAACTCAACCGTGACCATGTCCTTCAAGCAGTACGCCCTCTTCCCTCCAACCCCGACAACAGCTCGCGGTGTGGCCACAAGACTCAGCGCGCATAAGGAGAAGATCGTCTATACGAATGGCAAAAGCGTCATTGTACCTCCATTCGTAACCACCGCTGCAGCTACCTTCTGACATGGCCCTTAGATTCGCGATCTAAACGTACTCTCTACTCGGATACGATATAGCTTGGCTGAATAGCCAACGTAGAATCCCCTGCTAGCAAAGGCTTATGTTGGCCATGTCCAAAACACCAGTGTGGCGCGTATCTCGCCTACAGGTTACTATTGCGCGTCTGCCGACGTCTTTGGCACGGGTTCGTGTGCCACTCTGACGTTCGATTCTCACTGATTCTAATATTTACCCCAGTCCGCGTCTGGGACACTGTTGGTGAAGACAATGTTTTGAAGGGAGAATTTAAGGTCATCTCAGGGAAAATGTGCGTCAACAACTTATCCTCCGGCTTGCCTAATACTACTTCAGTAACGATTTGGAATGGGATGGGGAAAGCAAACGTATCATCGCCGTTGGGGATGGACGAGAGAAGTACATCTAGACGGGGTTAGATCTGCGTCTCTCAGGTTCAATAGGTTCGGTCATGCTTTCATGTTTGACACGGGCTCTTCGACTGGGGAAATCAGCGGGCACACAAAGGTATGTAACTCCTAAGCTTTTCTCATCAAGCTGACTTTCGACCTCAACAGGCTATCAACGCCGTTGCGATTCGACACCAACGGCCATTCAGAGCTGCCACCGCAGGAGATGACGGCCTGATTATCTTCCACCAAGGTGTGTCGTCTTCTTTCCCCAACTATACCTCTCAAACCATTGTAGGCACACCCTACAAGTACGACAAGGTCTGTGTCAGTTTGTTTCGATCTACTCTTTCTCAAAAGGTGTCCCAGACAATCAGAACACATACGAAATTCGTTCAGGACGTTCGTTACGCGCCTTCTGGAGATCATTTCACCAGTGTGGGGTCAGATTCGAGGATCTTCCTTTACGACGGCAAGACCGGCGAAACGATTGCGGAGTTTACAGACAGTCCACATACGGGTAGCGTTGTGCGTTCTTTTTCTTCCAGTCCAGTATGTATTCCGACACTCCGCAGATGGCCTGCTCGTGGAGTCCAGACAGTAAATCATTCATCACTTCGTCGGCCGATTGTACTGTCAAATTATGTGGGCAAACAGGCTCGTTTCTTTCGGTGTCCTTTTAAACAGTTGCAGGGGACGTTGAAGCACGCAAAGCAACAGCATCGTGGTCGCTTGGCTCTGGTGTAAATAACCAACAAGTTGGCAACGTCTGGACTCGCGAAGCGGATCTTGTGTCGCTATCGTTGTCTGGTGATCTCAATGTCTTTGATGCCAGAGCAGGCAACAAGCCAGCACGGATTATAACAGTATGATTCATTCTCCGTTGGGACATACGTTAACTTTTTTTTTCAGGGTCCTCAGAAGTCTATAACGGCCATTGCACCCTCTACTTCAACGACATTCCTTGCTGGTACTGCAGACGGTCGAGTAGTCGAGTTCACCTCGTCGACTGGTGAGGCAACCGCCGTTCAAGGCGACGGTCACACCAATATTGTTGTTGGACTTGCTGCAACGCCCACCGGCAAAGTGCTCTCAGCTGGCTATGATGACCGTGTCCGCGAAATTTCCGGTGGAAGCTTTGCGAAAGGCTCAGTCGGCACTGGGTCGCAGCCCAAAACGCTTGCTGCGGGTTCAGATGGGACCGCGTTTGTCGTTGAAGCTGGAGGTGTGGAAGCCATCCGTGACAACCAGAAGGTTGCGCAACTGTCGACGAGCTTCAATGCGAGTGCGGTTGGGGCCAGCACCAACAACGTTATTGCTGTCGGTGGAGAGGTGAACTCGACAATATGGTGGATATAATAACATGGCTCAACCTTTGCAGGACCAGAAAGTGCGGCTGTATGAGTGGAGCGGCACCAAGTTCACGGAGATCGGGCTTCTTGAAAACAACAAGGGTGTCGTCTCTGCTTTGGCGTTCTCGCCTGACGGCTCATTACTGGCTGCGGGTGATGTACGACGTTTCTTATCAGCCTCTACTCCATCTACTAACGATTTTTTCCAGTCCAGCGGACGGATAGTCCTATTCGATGTCAAAGAGAAGAAGATGGTCACCGCTCGATGGTCTTTCCATTCTGCTCGCGTCAATTCTTTGGCTTGGACTTTGGACGGTAAACATTGTGCATCCGGTTCATTGGATACACATGTCTATGTCTGGAGTGTGGACAACCCGTCTCGGAACATTGCTCTCAAGAACGCTGGACCTGGCGGAATCAACGGGGTTATGTGGGTTGCTGAAGGCAAACTCGCTGGTGCTGGCGCCGATGGATGCGTACGATTATGGGAGGTTAAGCTGCAATAATGAAAGGTATCGTCGGAAAGGAAAGTGTATATTTAGTATTGGACTCTGAAATATCATCTCTCTCACCATCCCTCACTGGCAATTCAACAGAAAGAGCAAGACATTCACCGACCATTTGCCATCACGCTGATGTCATGCTGATTTATCATCGGTGAATTCAGAACAAAATAAAGGGCAACAGTTCTTCTGGTTCGTGGCCAACATGTCTGCGGAACCCACTCTGACTGAAACGCCTCCAGAAAAGGTCGAGTTGACAGAACAAGAGGCGGAGGAATACCCCCATGGTTTGAAGCTGGCACTGTTATTGCTCACTCTTTGCATCGCCGTGTTTCTCGTTGCGTTGGACAACACTATTCTTGGTGAGCTTCATATCCCAATGCTTCGTAAAATACCGAAATGCCTCAAGCCACTGCACTTCCAAATATTTCCGACTATTTTAATTCGCTGGACGATGTTCCGTGGTACATCAGCGCGTATCTCCTGGTATCCAACCGTCATTTAGTTAGCACAAACTGAGCTTTTTCCAGACAAGCTCTTCATTCCAACTGCTCTTTGGAAAATTGTACTCGTTTCTGCCAATCAAATGGGTACGCACATGTCCCCCTGTCCTCGGTTCATCACCTTATTCGCAACCAGGTGTTTATATCTGCGGTAACAATATTTGAAGTTGGGTCAGCTATCTGTGGGGCGGCACCTACTTCGACCGCTTTGATTGTTGGCCGAGCTATCGCGGGTTTAGGCTCTGCGGGAATATTTAGTGGGGCTCTTATTATCATCTGTGAGCGCAATTTGAACTTGCTCTCCCTCAAAATCCTGCAACTAATACGACTTGAAGCCCACTCGATTCCTCTCGAAAAACGTGCGACATATCTAGGCTTGGTGCAAGGAATGTTTGGAATCGCATCTGTGGCTGGTCCACTCCTGGTATGAGTCTATATCGAAAAATCACGACTCTGACATAGACTTAAGGGTGGTGCATTTACTGACAAAGTGACTTGGAGATGGTAGGCGTATTCTACGATATTTGAATGATTGTTTGGCTGACCGTCGTTTGCAGGTGTTTCTACATAGTAAGCATACAACCAACAACTGCTAAGCGCTCAACTCCCGCAGAACCTTCCTGTCGGCTCGATAACCCTGTTGTTCATGACCTTCTTTTTCAAAATGCCGCCAGCTAAGCAGCAAACACTCTCGGACACCACGTTATGGGCACGAATTAAACAACTTGATCCGCTCGGGACCATCACGTTCGTCCCCGCTATTGTGTGTTTGCTGCTCGCGATGCAATGGGGCGGCACGAAGTACGAGTGGTCCAATGGTCGCATCATTGCACTTTTCGTGCTTTTCGGAGTTTTACTGGTTGCTTTTGCGGTCATCCAGTGGAAGGTTCAAGATTCCGGAACTATCCCACCAAGGGTTTTCAAACAACGCAGTGTATGGGCAGGCTCAATTTTCGCATTCAGTCTTGGTGGTGGATTTATCCTGCTGGTATACTATGTGCCGTGCGTGTTCCAATTTTACTGTGTACTTTGCCTGAAAGTGATGCAGAATATGGCTCCAGGCAATCAAAGGCGTATCCGCTGTTCATTCAGGCATTGACACCATACCGATGATTGGCTCGCTGGTGTTTGGCATTCTTTCATCAGCAATGGTCATTTCCGCTGTTGGATTCTACGTCCCTTTCCTATACCTTTCCACCATTCTCATGTCGATCGGTGCTGGCCTATTATCAACTTTCACCACCACCACAAACACTGGGCAGTGGGTTGGATATCAAATTATCTACGGTGTTGGTGTCGGCTTCGGCGCGCAAATTCCTGTCTTGGCAGCTCAGACTGCTCTGCCAGAGGCGGACATGGCGGTCGGGACGACAATTCCCATGTTCATGCAGTCGATCGGCGGCGCGCTTTTCGTTTCCGTTGGGGCCAACATTTTCGCGGGACAGCTCGCCAGTGGTTTGGTTGCGCACGTGCCCGGAATAGAGCCCTCCATTGTGCTGAATGCGGGGGCCACCAGCCTGGCGCACACCATCGACCCGCAATATCTCCCTATCGTCGTGGAAGTCTACAATTCTGCACTGATGAAGGCGTTCAAAGTCGGGATCGCGATGAGCGCGCTGTCAATTGTTGGCGCGTTATCAATGGAGTGGAGAAGCGTTAAGCTGAAGGGTCGCAACAACGTAGACCGTGTTTAGCTCATGTATACGTGGAGACGTGGAGAGAAAGTCTCTATCCGTCCTTGGCTCTCCGAGCACTCAGAATCTCAGAAAAAAACTTTAGCCAGAATTTATGAAAATTCCCCTTTTTGAGATATGGAATGGCCATTATTTGAACGCACTCCAAAGTCGCCTCATAGAGACAGTCTAGACGAACTGCTTCAGAGTAACAGCGTTAAGTACCACTACTTCAACATTCAAGACAATTCGAAACAAACGATCTCTCCTACGTCATGGCACGTGCTAGTTATCCTCTTGCTTCCGACGTCTTCTGTCTCGGCGCACTACAGTCTGAGTACAGCAATCAAGAGTAAGAACAGAAAACGAGACAACGAAAAGGCGCGTTTATGCTCACCAATGCACCATTTTACGACGTTGAATCTTATGTCTCAAGCAGTTTCTGCTCCGTGCTCTCATCGGTGCCTTGCTGGATAGGACTGGGTCACCAAGCTGCTCGTATGCACCTTCGTTACCTTTCAGTTGTCTCCGCGGAGCCTGTTCCGAGCGGAATGTGGGGTGGGGCAGGCTGTGGGGGCGGGACATGTCTCCGGCGGAATGTCTCAGACGATGTCTGACCTTCCCAGCGCATATTTAACGGCGACCGCCCCCACTATAACCTTACTCTGCCTCTTGGCTCCTCCCCCTCATCTTGACCCAAACCAAACACCAAATACTACCAATCGAAATCATGTTATCTGCGATTGGCATCCACTCACAGCCCCGACGCCCCCTGCAATGGTATTTGCTTCTTCATCTCATTGCTTAGCTTTCACTTACCACCCTCTCTTTTCAGTCATGTTCCAAATCAGCGTCGTCGATTACGTCGCTTGACATTCCTGGAACCTGGAAGGTGTCCTACGACAGTGAGGAGACTACCTGGGTACGGTCGCATTTCCTTTCGAGGATTCTCATACTGACGCTGCTTTCAGACTTCGTTAGTAAAATCATTCTACCAGTCTCAAATGATGCCCGCTTGGTTCTTATCTAACGTATGTCGTTGTTATCGTCCTCGAATGTACCCTGTCTCACTACTCCTCCAGCATGTCGCAGTCGAAGAACCAATATCCGCTACAACGAGCTCTGTCGCCCAGCCGGTGCTTGGCATGAAAGTCAACGGCAATGGCCGTCCCATTCTGGCAACTCGTCCTTCAGTCTCGATTCCCATACCTCCCCTCATGGAGCCATCACCGTGCGAGCCTTATATCCCGGAATTACCTAAGGCCCTCGACTGGGACCTTGACCTTGCCATGCCGCTCGATTATAGGCCCACCCGATTCCAACCCAGTCTGCGCATCGCTGTTCTCACCCATCAGGCGATACTCGCCCAAGAGAGAGCTGACGAAGCAGAAGCGCGGGCATTTTGGAAGGCTCAGCGGAAGGCGGCGGAGGACGAGAAGTGGCGGCTCATCGGGATCAAGATGGACCTCCTTGTCCCGAAACGGTTAACGATGATGCAAAGACTCAAGCGCAGACTTGCGCGGATATGAGTATGGTGACTAAATACGATACCCACCTGAATAAACATTTTTTGAATCCTTTCTGAGCTCGGCTGAAAGCATCCTTAACCTCTTCTATCCTTGAGCCCTGTAAGTCGAATTTATCAAGTTGGCGGTTCATATGGGGCTCCTTGTCTCGAAGAGCCAACTGGCAACGATGAATCCTGAACAACATAAAAGTACACTAAAACTGGCGGTCGTTTGCGTCTTTTCCCTGAGCCTTACAAGTTGCATTCGCCTACTTGACCGAACACACAACGGTTCTCCGTTCAACGAAGGAAATCGTAGATTCGTAGATACACACGATGGCGCGTCGATGCCATGCTCGAGGCAGGCCACATTGTGCGCCGTGTCGGCAGAGACTGATCCGGGCCGGACGCTGACCCACACAACGGCCGGGCCGAGGCTGCCGCCAGGTTGTGGATGAAGCCATCCGGCCCGTGACTGTTGACACTCCTCCCATCTTAGGAGGGTTTCAAATTCACTCGTGTTATTATTGACACATAGTCTCACTCCCAAGTCTCGATGCGGCGAGAGCAAAACAATACTATCAACGTTGACCTCACCTGTAAATTATGTACAACCTGCACCGTGACTGTCATTGAGCTGGAATTATCTTCTTCAGCCACGCCATTACGTCCAACAGTTCATCGTCACGGAGCCTATGTTCGAGGTTGGAATACTCAAGGAAGCTCAGTCCTTGCGGTGCGCCAGGCGGGTCTGACCGTGGTATGCCAACTTCGTTGATTAGGTACTGAGCAGAAGCTTGGCCGAGCTCCAATGTAACGATTCTGTCCGCCGTTCCGTGTCCCCAGAAGATTGGAATGCTCGATGCATGAGATGAGGTCATCTGTAAACTTGGTCAAGACTGGCGGGCTATTCATGCTATCTTAATAGACGGACCGATTTGAATTTGTATCGTAAGGGAAGACGTGAACTGAGCGCAATCAGCCCGCCCAGCTTTGTGGGTATGGTCAGGCCCGTGAGGAGGGACATAGCGCCGCCTTGGGAAATTCCACCAAGAACAATACGGCTTGGGTCAACACCAGACTCTGCGATGGTGTCGGTCAGGAGAGTGTCTAGAGCCATAATGCTCTGCCGAATTCCTTCTTCGTCTTCCTCGCCAGCGGGGGGCGGTGTTACGGGCAGATCGTAGGTGTACAAATCAAACCAAGCTGGCATCCTGGAACCGGACTCGGAGGCGGTAATTCGTCTGACTCGCCTGTGTGGTTCATTATTCTCCGCCCCAAAAAACACGAGAAAACACGCACGCTTGAGGCCGAATGCACTTTACATGGCTCAGATCTGGGTCTCGTTGGATGTATTCGGCAACTTGAAACGGGTAGTCATTGGCATTGCCGCCAGAACCCTTGGAGGAGGTCTTGAGGAGTTCGTGTGAGAGTAAGAAAGACTTGCGTGGAGGAATATGACAATGGCGGTACCACTAGTACCGTCTGCGGCAGGAGTTACTAGGTAACGCAGTGGATGCATAATTTCCTGAATTCAAGTGACGAGCCGGGAGAAAGCTCTGGAGAGGATGTGGAAAGGTCCTGGAAAGGAGACATCGCCTTATTATGTAACGCAGTAATGAAATGACAGGTCAAGATTATCGTTGTAGATTCAGAGCAAGCTGGGGGAGAACTGGGTACAGTGCGCGCCCACAGGAATCTTCATGGCCAGAGGAACATTGCGCGACAGACTCGGAGACTGGCAAGCTCCATCTGAATTGTTACATAAGCGTTGACGGTCCGGTTAAAACTGCCATGACACGACTTTTTAAAAATCCTACCGCGTATCGTCCCACTTGTTTCTCACCTTCGTCTTTCCTTTCACCACCATGTGAGTAGCCTCCCGAACTCTCTTCTCAAGATGAAAACTTCTACTGCAAATGAACGCGACCTTTTCGTGGGCGTTTTCCTTCGGGAACCATTCAAGTCTCTGAACTTCCTTTTTTCTGTTTTCACGTTGGACGACTTTGGACTGACGACTTGGCTCAATAGAACAACATAATGTCCCTTGTCTACCAGGACCCCAAGAGCATGGCTGACGGCCGTCAGCGCGACCGCATTGCCAACTACACAAAATTTTGGAATAAGGACATCACCACCGAGGATGCTACCAACACCGAAAACAGGCGCGAGAGCTACACCGACGTTGTCAACGGTATATTTCCTTCTCTATCCCTCGTCGTAAGCTCAATTGCTTTCACTCCAGGGTACTATGATGGGGCAACCGAACTATATGAATACGGATGGGCGCAGTCGTTCCACTTCTGTCGCTTTTACAAGGGAGAGGCCTTCGCGGCTGCTCTCGCTCGCCATGAACACTACTTGGCTGCCCAGATGGGTCTCCGACCTGGCATGCGCGTTCTCGATGTCGGCTGCGGTGTTGGTGGACCGGCTCGGGAAATTGCCCGTTTTGCGGATGTCGAAATCGTTGGCCTCAACAACAACGAGTTCCAGGTCCAGCGCGCACGGAAGTACACCAAGGCTGCCGGCCTAAGCGAGCAGGTTACCTTCGTCCGTGGCGATTTCATGAAGCTCGAAGAGCAGTTTGGCAAAAACGCGTTCGATGCTGGTGAGTTTTGCTTTACTTCCTTGTCCGTAATTTTCTTGCTCATACTTGTTTAGTCTATGCCATTGAGGCTACTTGCCATGCGCCGACATGGGAGGGTGTCTATGGTGAGATCATGAAGGTGCTCAAACCCGGAGGCACAGTGAGCATTTAATTACCTATCAACTCTACTTCATCTCACCCACTTATAGTTCGGTGTTTACGAGTGGTGCATGACCGATGACTGGGATCCCTCTGTTCCTGCCCATGCTGACCTGCAACACGAAATCGAACTTGGAAACGGTATTCCTGAAATGAGGCCCATCAAGCTTGCTCGCGAAGCACTCCAAACCGTCGGCTTCGAAATTCAGCATGAGGAAGACTTGGCTGACCGACCGGACCCTGTACCATGGTACTACCCTCTCGAGGGTGATATCCGCAAGGCCCAAACTGTCTGGGACTACATCACAGTATGGCGGATGAGCTGGAGCGGTATCCTCGTCACGCAAAATGTCGTCTGGACGCTTGAAAAGCTCGGCCTGATTCCCAAGGGCACATACGACGTCGGCGAGGCGCTCAAGGTCGCTGCCTTGTCACTTGTGCGTGGGGGGCAACAAAAGGTGTGTTTCTTTGGACGCTGCTGTTCATGAACTTGATGCTGAACCATTTCTGTAGTTGTTTACCCCGATGTATCTTGTGGTTAGCAAGAAACCAGAGGCCTCGTAGACTTTATTACCCGTATTATAATTTTAGACCCTTTATTAGTCGTGGATGCCCTTCTGCAGGCCTACATATTAGATTCCTTTTGGAAGACTGCCATGCTTTGTCGTGAATGTCTTTGCAATGAGTTGTTATTCACTGGGGATAGAGCAATCTATTTGGCTGTCTCACGATGCTCGTGTGGGTTGGCAGGAATGGCTGATTTGGGAGGGGCAGATGACTGAGGGCTTGCCTACAACTGTCATAGCCAATGGGAAGGCCAACTATAATGCTCATCGGACTCTTCCATTCCGAGAAAGCAGTTTGCGCTCAGCTGGTAGTAGGGGAGAGGGAGTAGCTTTGGGGCCAGAGTCAAAGGTCGAAGAAATAATACTGGTCGTTGATCCGTCCTGGTTTTGGCTAAATACTGGTGTGGGCAAATACTGCAGTAATACTGACGGTGTGACGCTGACATCACCAAATATCCGTTTTGGGATGGGGTTTGATCCTCCGTGATTCTCGGAGGCCCGCGTTCAAGTACACTTTTGCCCGATTTTTCTGTTGTATTTTTGTAACAATAATTGATTCAAGTGGGGCTTTGTGCTGGACTTAGCTTATCTACTATAACTGTACCATGAACCTTGGCTTGCTCCATAATTTATTTACTTCTGGAACAGCACAAGGCATCAAATAGACACAATAATGTATGTTTGGGAGTAAATAATTTAATATCTGGTCTAGAGAGCAGGGTGCCTGTTGAAGCTATACTCTTGGACCATGCTCCCAACCACTTACCTCTCTGTAGGTGAGCAGAGCTGCTGCCCTACTGTTTGATGGGTATGGCGTGACGACAACGTGACGGGCATCGGACCGGGGAACAGCCGGCCAGAAAAACCCGATTTGGGTTCAGTATTTGCCATCAACGGGTGCCGCGCGGCAAAAATATTCAAAAATGGAAATTGTTGACAGTATTCTGTGATACTGCTCGCCGCAGGCGCCGCTCAGAGAAATTCACTCTTGAGAGAGGCTTGTTTTGCATGTAAAAACAGTAGGAATACAATGCAGATATCTATTTAAATCCCTCTCTTTTCCTTTCCTCCCTCCTTCCTTTTTAGGAATTTTTATTTTTCTTCTTTCGGCTGCCCACAACACCAGTATTTTGCCCTGGTTTTTACTTCCTTCTGCCTCTCACGATGATTCGACGACATGGCTCATGCCCCACGGTGAACGTTTGAATGCTGTTTGAATGCGGAGGCTATATTTATAGATCGTCATCACGGTTGCTCTCCATGTGCTCTCATGGCTCACCTGGCTCAACATCACTGTTCTTCGCATATATACCGACAGTCGACGTTTTCTTTCACTCTCCCATCTGCCCAGGATGGTTCGCCTCCTCCCCTCTTTCCTTCTCCTCGCTGCGAGCGTCCACAATGCTGTCGCGCAGACACAATACCTCCTTGGGCTCGGTATTGCTGACATCACTGGCCCTGGTGCGTCATTGAGTTCTCTGCACTTGCTTCGCTGTCCGCTGAAATGGCTCAACCAGTCACCGAAACTAACATGGTACGAATGGCGACTTTCTGACAAGTTTTCCGTTGAATTATGGCGCAGATGGGTTATGCTTCGCTGGGCCAAACGGACTCTGGCTTGCACCAGCGTCAACGCGCGCGCGCCTTCATTGTTGGAGAGACCGGCAATACTGCCAACCGGATCGTTTTCATCAACGCGGACATTGCGATGGGTGACACCGGAATTCGCCGAGCAATTCTTGCCAAACTGGCTGCGAAATATGGTAGCCTTTATACCGCCCAAAACTTTGCGCTGTCCAGCACCCATCAACACAGCGGCGTTGGCGGGTATCTTGAGAATCTGCTGCCTCAACTTACTGCACTGGGATTCGTTCAGGCGACCTATGACGCTATCGTCCAGGGCGTCGTTCTTGCTGTCGACCGAGCTCATGCTTCGCTCAAAACGGGAACTCTGAGCATTGGGAATGGGACTGTGGTTGGCGGAAACCGAAATCGCAGCCCAACAGCTTATTTGGCCAACCCTGCTTCAGAACGCGCTCTTTACACTAACCAAGGCGACGACCAAGACACAACCATGAGTCTGCTCAACTTCGGTGCCGACCGTGGTTTCCTATCATTCTTCGCTGTCCACGGGACGAGTATCTACGAAAACAACACTCTCATTAGTACAGACAACAAAGGCATGGCGGCTTATTTGTATGAAGGTAACCTGCAGCTGTCTGGTGGAGTTTTTCTCACAAATTTGTCTAGCTTCCGTTGAACCTAACGCGATGCCCGGGGCCAATACTTTCGTCGCTGGTTTTGCTCAAGCCAATGTTGGAGACACAAGCCCCAACACGTGACATAATATTTTTATCTCTCTCTAAAACTCATGTCGTCTTAGTCTTGGTGCTTTCTGCGAGTCCCCCGGACAGCCATTTGACGGCCAACCATGCCAGGCCAACACCTCTACTTGCGGCGGGACTGTTCAACAATGCCATGGCCGTGGACCCGGCTTCCGACTCGACCCATATGGCTTCCACTCAAACACGATGATTGCGCAGACCCAAGTTGACGCGGCAAAGTCAATAATGGGCGGGAAACTTTCACCTGTCAGCGGGACAGTCAGGAGTGTCCACATTTACTTGAAGATGGCCAACCACACGTTCACGTTGCCGAATGGAACCACCGCGATGACTTGTCCCGCTGCGATGGGGTACTCTTTTGCTGGCGGAACGACGTAAGTTATGGTTCTGTCAGCTTCTCAGAGAAGTTGACTTTTTTTTCCAGTGATGGTCCTGGAGCGTTTGACTTTGTGCAAGGCGACAACTCCACGTCCCAGTCCGTCCGCCGATTTGCCATTCTCTCCTTCGTTCTTATTTTCGTAGGAATCCCTTGTGGGAAATCGTCAAAGGCGCTGTAACCCCCAGTCCCTCTGCAGCTCAAATTGCTTGCCACGCGCCGAAGCCGATCTTGCTTAACACCGTACTGCTCTTGTTACCTTGCTTTCCTGGAATAACCTTCTTTAACAGGGATATGCCACATTCCCGTATAGCTGGTCACCGGATACCGTCGACATTCAGATGCTCAAAGTGGGAAATTTCGTCATGGCCCTCATACCCGGTAGGTCCAACGGAATTTGACCTATACCTCAAACTGAGCAAATCAGGCGAGCTAACAACTATGGCTGGACGACGTTTGCGCAACGCTATCCGCGCTGCTCTTATCTCGCAAGGTGTTATCGACAATAGTGCCTATGTTGTCGTTTCTGGTCCAGCGAATACTTATGGACATTACATCACAACGCGTGAGGAGTATGCCATCCAGCGTTATGAGGGCGCTTCAACGCTATTCGGACCCTGTTTGTTTCCTGCTTTTTTCTGAGAATTTCTTTTTCTGATATCATTCTAGACACACTTGAAGCTTATATCGACAAATACACCTCTCTCGTACCCTTCCTTGCAGATTCTCCTTCTGGGACACCCGCGTCAGACGCTGCCCCGCCTGCCCTCCAGTCATCTGCCATTTCTCTACAAACTGGTGTTGTGTTTGATGCGGCTCCGATTGGCAAGAGCTTCGGTAACGTCCTTGTCGATGCTGCCAAAACCTATACGGCCGGCCAGACGGTCTCCGTCCAGTTTGTCGGCGCCACACCAAGAGTATATCAACTTGTTCATTCCGAGTCAAGGGCTTACCTCTTTCACAGAACAACCTGCGTTTGGAGGGCACTTTCCTCAGTGTTCAACAACTGGCCAGCGGCGCCTGGAAGGCCGTGCGATCTGACTCCCACCCGTCTACGACGTACCAGTGGGTGCGCGTGAACACCATATTGGGCACGAGCACTGTTACGCTCAACTGGACGATTGAGGCGGGGACGCCTGCGGGGACTTACCGCATCCAGTACTTTGGCGACTCTAAGCCGTTGATAGGGTCCATCTCTGCCTTCACGGGCACGTCTGGAAACTTCACGGTGTCTGCATGAGGAGGTAGTTATCACTGTTAGTAGGATACCCAATGTCACGTGCATAAAATTTCTTGACCTCGGTGTATGCTGAAGAGGCTCGTCGATGAGCTTCTTCCGGCAGCTAGATGTCCTCGACGGGTACTTCTAGTCTCATCTTACACCATAAGATATGCTAATCCAATAATTCAAGCTTTCAGAAAGCCTGAAAACCCTTTGTAGTCCAGATGACCTGCACGAACGACTGATTAAGCCCTGCCTGTAAGCCCTTGCATTCGCTTGAATACGACTCTCACAGCTCGAAGAGAATCAGGGACCTCTGTGCAAGTGCGCGAGCATGACGTGTTGGAGGCCATTCACGTCAAGTTTCATGACCACGACGATTTTCCCGTGGCGGACTACTTTACTGGGCTCGGTGCGTGTGCTCTTCGCGCCAGATGTCTTTCTGACTATTCCCATAGGCTACATACTCTCGATGCAGAACTACGACACGCAAAGTTTTGCTGAGCGCGTCAGGCTGCTTGCGCTGTACGCCAAGCTATGCAAAATGTCGGCCGCCCATGTCAAGTCCCGCCCGCCGACGACGGTCCAGATGCTGTGGAGTGGTGATGCGGTGCGTTGTGGACGTGCCCTGTGTTCTTGTGGCTGATTCAGCCAAAGATGACACTTGGCTCGAGCCTTGCGTGGTTCAAGCCGCGGAAGCACTTTCAGTTAGCGCGGTCAGTACGCGCCAAAGTGCTTGAAGAGCTATGGGGCAGCACTGGCGCGCTGATTCATCCGACACCGATGCAATTGTGTTTCCCGAATCCGGAGGGGTCGTTGTTTGGGAGTTGCTGGGGGGACTGTGCCGAGGCTGTCTCGTTTTCCTCGTCCGTGTTACTTGTTTTTCTTCCTTCAATAACTAAATGTTGTTGGCAGCCTCTGGAAACACATTAGTGCCCAGACTCCCCTGCGAACATTAGCAGTCAATGTCGCACTCGTCAATACCCCGCATTCTAGTGACGAACGCAGCGCGGCAGATATGATCTTAGAAGAAGGAGCTAATGAACCTGGAGAAATACTAGGGTTACTCAGGCGTACCGACGCGCTGCGCTCTATGTGCAAGAATTGCCAACATCTTGCGAGCGTTGTTGGCGCGAAACTCGTTGACTGTTCCCATACTGCATCCATGGAATCATCCTGCTATCCTCCCCCTGAACAGGTTCCACTTTCAAGAATATGAGGGCGCAGGCACATGAGGTCAAGCAATAGCAATAGCAAGCAACCCCACAGACAGCAAAAAATGAACATTCTGTCTTTCGAATATGTAGTCGTGGCATATATAATGATTACATCTGGGGCACAGGAACTTTGTGTACTGTGGTCTGCACACGCTGGAAAACAGTGTTGGGAATGTCTTCAACTGGAAGAGAGATGACGCGGTAGATCTTCTCGCCTTCATAGTAGGATTCCACCGAGAAGAAGTCGCTAGCTTGAGTAGCCAGTCTGGCGAATTGTGCGCTACACAAGTTAGCAGGGGTGGAGGCTGGGTGGGCACACACATTTCAGCGAAGGTGCGGGGGTTGTCGCGTTCGATTTCCTTTCTGAAGTAGGCAAGGGTACATGGTTTGCCTTTCAGCCGCTGTGCAGCGTTTTAAGACGGTGACGAAACGAGACCATAATAGCCTTGCACACCTTGTACAAGTCCATACGCTCTACTTCTTCCAAGCCACCGCATATATCGAGTCTTCGTAGCACGCGAAGGCTGCCAGGAGGGATGTCGAGGATGTCCGAGTCCATTGTCAGTGTGTGTGTGTGGGTGGACACAACGAGTCAGTCTATATATATATAACAGCCCTCGAGACCCCTGACACTCTTGCCGAAACGGCAACCGTCCGGCAGCATCGAGCCCCCAGAAGTTGATGGTCTGTTTGTATTGTCTAATCCGTAACATAGTAGGTTCTCCAGTCGTACTATGTATATATAATCCATCTAATTCCTATTGAATTATTACTAGTATGCGACCCGCATTCGAGTATCCCATCCAGCCATCTATTCCTCCAGTTGAAATAGCGCCACCCTCACCTCACGTTTGAGAGGCAATGAGTCGACTTCGACACTGCAGGTGCCACGCAAAGCAACCTCCGCATCTTTGAGCTGCGCAAAGAAACCAGGATTTGGGCAGATAGAGGGTCTGGCGAGAACGAGTGAGCGTAGCGCCTGATGGAGAGACATTTCGGAGTGCTCCATGAGATAGAGAGCAACCAAAGTTGGGGAACGGGAGACAGCTGCTGAACAATGGACCAGGATTTTGCCACCTGACTTGGCGATGGCGAGAATGATTGCGTTTGCCTTAGAGCTCGCTTCGGCGATTGGCGACGATGCACTGTCGACCAACGACAGTCGCTCGTATGTTATGGATGGAATGATTTCGGCAGGAGTTGAACCGATGCTCAGGACATGGGTAATGCCCTGGGCAGAGCAAAAGGCAGCGCGGACTGCGGTGCGTGGACCAAGATAGAGATAGGGCAGAACGCGAACAGCAGCAAGTTGTTCACCGCCAGTACTTCCAGAGGGTGTATTCTTCTTCGACTTCTTTGGCATGACTGTAGGTGGAGGAGACGTGAGTGAGCAACAGCATGTTAGAGTCACAGTTGTCACTCCAAGTCGGATTTGCTGCTTGTTCACTTTTGTTAAGAAGAAGGATATTGGAATACAAAGGCGCTATCTGACTATCTGTATCCATAAGTATTGTAATACACGGCACCGCTTGATACAGTCTCCATCCGGACAGCATGAGCATCCTGGGCTATCGCAAACATCTGTTCTGCAGCTGCACTCTGTCGTACCTGACCGGTCTCCGGAGTGATTCCTGTGTGGATGTCGAAGAATACGATAGGATCATATGCAGCCGAGTTGATAAAGCCTTGTGGGTCTTGAAGCCCGATTGCCCTGGCTGCTGCACAACCACGGACGATTCTAAGTGGTACATTAGAGCCCGTAATGACGCTGACACAGGACAAGACAACCTTTTCGTGACCTCGACATTATCTGGCGGGAGTTGGCTCAAGATTTGCATGAAGGTTCCTGCTCCATGCTGCAGCGTGAATTGCGTGCCGCGAAAAAGTGGTGTGATCTGGATGAAGCCGGAAGAAACTCGCGGGGGACCCCCAGGAGTGCGGGGCGGGAGCGTAACTCTGCCTCCCCTGAGCACAACCCGTCCCATGGGCAAGGCCACTGCGTCAGCAGTTGACACGTCCGTTTGGAGTCGATGATATTGGTTAAGCGTCGTAAACACCTTGTACACCTTGTTTTCTCTGATCCAGAGACCAAGGCTTTCCCTGCTCGCCCGAGCGTCTTGCATTGCGAAATTGTAAGAGATCAATCCTGTGGGTTCGCGGATGGTGACGATGACACTCATGCTTTGGCTGAATCTAGTAGAGTGCTGAGATTAGGGTGCTGTTGTCCTTGGAGATGAGGCAGATTAAGTAGGGTGCCAATGGGTGACGGAAGTCAAGGTTCTCTACCCATGGGCGTACACACACAACAGCTTTCTTTATGATGAGATTGCAGAGTGATCCACGAAGTGCTTATGTAACATAAACCTCATTGGCTACTTATGTGGCGTCCCCCCAAATATAGTATACGTCTGCAGCCGTACATGATGGGCGATAGCTTTACTTCCTCAGTCACTAGAACACCGGCGTTCCAGCGCGGGACTAAGATACGATAGTTTCCCAGGACTCTAATGATGTACACAGCAGGCCTCGTGTAGGCCACATATCTGTGTCATCACTTTGTTGTCAAATGGGAATAGTGGCAATTCCAAAGGAAAACAATTGAAAAATGTTGAAAATGATTTAAAACATTTATGAGGAGGGATAAGGCCGCAAGTGGCAGAGAGCCGAACCATGACCTTGCTGGACATATGTCATACTGTAAGGGCAACCCCGGAGGCCTGAGATCAAGGTCCTAGCAGGGGAGGATCCAAAGAGTGAATAGAAGTAAGCAAATACAAGTGAGGCTGACCTAGCAGGGGAGGATCCAAAGAGAAGAAACTCTAAGGGTCCGCCTGCTAGGTAGCGGAACTATATACTGCGCTCTTGACGCGCCAAGGTTGATCGTTGCTCCGTGCAGTATGCCTGCGCCATGTCGCAGGCCAGGTCCCAGGGGGATCGCCAGGCGGGGCGGCGATGCGCCTGACGGAGGCGGTGATGCGATCACCGGAGTCGGAACCGAGTCGGACCGGAATCGGGATCGTCTCCGAGGGGCCGAAAGGGAGGTTCCCCTGACATCACCCCCCCTTTGAATGCGGCGTCCCCGACGCATAGACCGGAACGGAATCGAGTCGAAGGTTGCGGAGGCGATGTGCCGTGGTTTGCCAGGGTACTTACGGTAGAACTCCGCGATTTTGTCCGGGGCGAAGACGCGGTCGAAGCGGACCCACTGGTCGTGCGCACGCGTCGTAGCCTTTCCATCTGACGGTAATTCAGCCGTTTATACCTCACCCTTGCGTCCAAGATCTCCTCTACTTCCCACTCCGGGACTCCGTCCTCGAGGTCCGGAGGGGGCTGGTCGTAGCCGGGGCGTCCGTCGAAGGGGGTCGTCTTGGGCGAGCTCAAGCTTGACGACGGGGAAGACCGGGTGGAGCTTCGAGTAGCGCGGAGGGAGGTCGAGCTTGTAGGCACCTTTGCTGATCTCCGCGACTATCTTGAACGGACCGAGGCGGCGGTGGGAGAACTTCTCCGAGGGGCGAGTCGTCCTGATGTCAGAGGCATCCAGCCAAACACGGTCGCCAACCTTGAACTCCGGAGACGGAGTGCGTCTCCGGTCGTAGTAGCGCTTATACTCTTCCTTGGCCTTAGTGAGCGGCCTTGGCTTCGGCAACCCCAGTGGCAATTCGGTCGCGGAACTCGTTCACAGACTCCATAGCGGAACGGGCTCCGGGTTCAAAGCCCATGCGCGGAAGCCGTCCCGTGTCCGTCATGAAGGGGACTTGCTGCGTGGATGAGTGGACGTGGTTGTTGTAAGCGAACTCCGCGGCCGGAATCAGCTCATCCCAGTCGTCCTGCTGATAGTTGGTGAAGATCCGCAGGTACTGCTCCAACTCCTGGTTGACGCGCTCTGTCTGACCGTCCGTTTGCGGATGATACGCGGTGGACGTGGCTGGCTTGATGCCGATTAGACGCCAGAGTTCTCGGGTGAAGTCCGCGATGAACTGTGAGCCACGGTCGGAGACGTACTTCTCCGGAGTCCCGTGATGGCGCCAGACATTCCGGTAGTAGAGGCGGGCTGCTCCTACTGCGTCGACCGTAGTATGGCACTCGGAGAAGTGGGCTCGCTTCCCAAGGGTGTCCACGACGACCATGATCGCTCGTACCCATGGGCCTCGGGAGCTCGACAATGAAGTTGACGGAGACGGTATGCCAGCGCTCCGGGGGTGTTTCCGTCGGGTGTAGCTCTCCGTGGGGCAGTCTCCGGAGCGCCTTGGTGCGACAGCACAAGTCGCAGGTCGCGACGTACCGGCCGATATGGCGAGACATCTGAGGCCACCAGTAGTTCCGGGAGACCAACTCCAAGGTCTTGAAGCGACCGGCATGTCCGGCGACTCGAGTGTCATGGCAGAGCTCGATGATGCGCCTCCGGAGGTCCTTGTCCTTGGGCACGACAATCTTCCCACGGAAGTGGAGGAGACCACCGGAGACGGCCCACTCGTCGGAGCGTGAGGAGCGGGGGGCCTCGAGCTTGACCTTGGACCTTTAGGAGTTGCCGGGCCGCTAGTGCGACGGGCTCCTCCAGGTCAGGCTCACCGGAGAGGGCATCGCGAATGTCGCGAAGAAGTTCGGAACCGGGACCGAAACGGAAACACCCTCGAGTGCGCGGGACGTGGAAGAGTTCGGGCCACAGAAGGACGACGTCGGAGTTGTCGGAATCGATTCCGTGGTCGGGTCTCCGAGAGAGGGCGTCAGGTCGGCCCATGTCGCGACCGGGCTTGTGGTGCAGCGTGAAGTCGAACCGGGAGAGGTAGAGGGACCAGCGGGCCTGTCTCCGGTTGAGGTGCTGCGTCTTCCTGAAGTACTCCAAATTCTTATGGTCAGTCCAAATCTCGACGGGATGCGCGGCACCCTCGAGGAAGTGTCTATACTCCTCGAGTGCGCGGATGATCGCGAGCATCTCCTTGTCGTGGATTTCGTAGTTGCGCTGGACATCATTTAAGCTTTTGGAATAGAATGCTACAGGGTGCCACTTCCCGTCCGGGGCGGATTGTGAAAGAACCGCCCCGTCGCATAATCAGAGCTGTCCGCCTCGAGTCGGAAAGGCCGTGCGTCGTCCGGAATCGCCAGGACCGGTTCCGAGGTGACCGCGTCCTTGATCGCTTGGAACGCGGAGGCCTCCGCGTCGCCCCAAGTCCATTGCTGGTCCTTCTTGGTGAGCGCAAAGAGAGGACGCGCGAGGGCCGAGAAGTCGCGAATGAACCTGCGGTAGAAATTAGCGAACCCAAGGAACTGCTGAACATCCTTCTTGTTTTCCGGAGTCGGCCAGGCGGAGACGCCTGCGACCTTGACGGGGTCCATTTCGACGTGGTTGTGGGAGATGATGACTCCGAGGTATTCGATTGACGATTTTTCAAGTCGCACTTCTCCGCTCGGAGGTACAACTTATGCTCTTGGAGTCGGCGCAAGACCTCCTGGACGATCTGTCGGTGTTTCCGGAGGTCGGAATGGGCGATCAGGATGTCGTCCAGGTAGATCATGACGTCTCCGGAAAGGATGAGGTCCTGGAAAATGTCATTCATCATCGTTTGGAACGTCGCGGGAGAGTTTGTCAGGCCGGAGTACATCACCAAGGGCTCGAACAGGCCTCGGTTAGTCCGGAAAGCTGCCTTCCACTCATCACCTTCTTTGATCCGGACGTTGTTGAAGCCCCAACGAACGTCGAGTTTGGTGAAGTAACGAGCGCCTTTGAGCCGGTTGATGAGGTCGTTGATCAGCGGAAGGGGGTACCGGTTTTTGACGGTCATCGCGTTGAGGGCCCGATAGTCCTGGACAAAGCGGAGTCCGCCGTCCTTCTTCTTGACGAAGAAGACCGGAGACGCCATCGGAGACTTGGAGGGGCGAATCCGGCCCGTCGACAGCCCTTCCTCGATGAACGCGTCGAGCTCGCGTTGCTCAAGGGGCGAGATGGGGTACACCTTGCAGTTGGCCGGCTTAGCGTCGGGGACGAGTTCGATGGCGTGGTCCCAGGTTCTCCGTTCCGGGAGCGTGTCGAAAGACTCCTTGTTGAAGACGTCCTGGAACTCTTTAGCCCAGTCCGGGATCTCGGAGGGCGGGGGAGCGGAGTTCCTGGCGAAGGCTTCAGCCAGGCGCTGCGAGACAGTACTGCCAGCGCGTATCTCCTCCGAGGGACGGAACGAGGTGTAGAAGATGCGGTCACCATCTTCAAGCTGACCATCGTCATCGTCGTCGTCAGAGTCCGGCGTCAGATCAGGCAGGCCGGAGTCGTCGCCGGAGACGGAATCGTCTCCGTCATCAGACCCAGAAAGGTCCATGGCGCAGACCGAGGGGAACGGGCCGGAGCGGAGTCGCTTCTGGAGCAGCCGGAGTCGCCGTAGCTCAGTCCGTTCAACGCGTTCTTCCTCGCGGCAAGTGGAGCAGCCGCGGGGGCACCGCGTCATCTTGACCTCCTTGGTTTCCCAATCGATCTCTGGGTTATGCTTCCGCAGCCAAGAGTACCCCAGGATGAGGTCTTGTTTACCGAGATGGGTGACGGCGAGTTGAACGCGCTCGGAATGGCCTTTGTAGCGTAGGACCAAGTCCGCGATCTGGTTGATGGAGCCAGCATCATTCGGAGTGCCATCGACGTTGAAGACCGGAATCGGCTGCGCCAGGGTGCGGACCGGAATGCCATTCCGAGCGACGTAGTTCGTGTCGATGAAGTCGGAGGTGGCACCACAGTCAACAAGCCCAGAAAGGGAGAGCTTCAACGCACTGGTGGTGGACTCTAGCTCCAACGGGAGGTGGAGGGAGTTTACTCCGGGGAGGCAGCGACAGTGTACTGCTTGGGCAATTTCTTTTCCCAGGCAGTGAGGCGGCGAAGGACGACAACCGGAGTCGCGGGCGGAGTCGGAGACGGAGTCGAAATGGGGGCAGGGGAGGGTATGTCTTTCGTTTCAGGCTCGTTGTAGGGCAAAGGAATTGATTCGTCATACAAACAAGCGAAACGATTTATGGACGCGAACGAGGGCACACCAGTCACTCGTCGCGGGGGACAAAATCCTCTCCGGCCATCGACTCCGCAGCTGTCTCCGGCAGCGCAGCTGTCTCCGGCAGCGCAGCTGTGTCCGAGTAGCGGGCGATCAACTCCGCTAACATCTCGTCACCGAGTTGTTGGATCACCTCGTCGAGGATGTCCATTGAGCGG